TTAGTAGTACTATGCTATCTAGTCCTCTTATAAGAAGGGATATCCTTCTTATATTAATTAGAGTTCCTCTAGCTAGAAAGACTACTTAGATCTATCTTATAACTCCTTATAGACGTATATTTGTCTTTAGTAGAATAGAAAGCTATAAGCTTAGCTCGAAGATAAATGCCTTGCTACTCTTATCCTCGAAGTTATAGGGGTTATAGCTAATTATAAGAAAAGTGTAGTTATAGACTAAGGGAAGCTAATGTTAGCTTACTCTTATAACTACATTATATCCTTATAACTCCTATAAGTTAACTAATAAGAAGCGTAATAGCGATGCCGGCGTCGTATAGGGTCGAGATAGTTATAAGTCTACCTTTTAAGGGCTATAAAGGGCACCCTAAGCCGTAGAGGCCTTCTAGAGCTTAGCTACTAGATGTAATTGCTAAAGGAACTTAATTTTTTAGTCTACTGGCGCACGGCACGATTATATACCAAATCCGCCAAGCAATGGCTTACTCCGGCTTCGCAATAACACAGGTAGAGACTCATGTCTGTGGGATGACCCTGGCGTGATATATCTCTCGGGGATTAGCTAAGCTCGCCGCAATCTTGGCACGATGGCCGGTCCGGTCTGCTAGTCGGCGGGCAACTTTTATCAATACTCTCGTCGCTGTTGCGCAGATCCGTATATCATCCTCAGAAATGGCGTTTCCCGGCATGTCAGCTCCTGGCTTGGGCGGCCAAGGTGTCGGCCTGGACGAGCAGAAGCTGAAGGAGCAGCAGATGATCAAATTTGTGCGCACGCGCTGTCGACAATGAGTGAGACGAGCAGTCGATACTGACACAAAACCAGATGCAACAAGCCATGGAGTCATGTCCAGCAAAGACTGCAATGTCAGGTGTCATGGGTTTTGGTCTGGGTGGTCTCTTTGGTCTCTTCATGTCGAGTGTATGTCAACTTCGGATCTGTCAAAGGCCGCCGACTAACTGAAGATTCTCTCACAGATGCGATATGATGCTCCCATGACGGCTGGCGCAGACGCAATCACAAAACTCCCAGTCAAGGAACAGTTACGACAAGGATTCAAAGAGATGGGCAAAGCGAGTTGGAGCAGTGCAAAGAACTTCGGTCTTGTTGGTGGCATTTTTGCTGGAACCGAGTGCTGTATCGAGGGCGTAAGTCAACTCGCCACACGTCCTGCCTTTTGTCCGGACTTTTACTGAACAAATCCACGCAGTTCCGCGCAAAGAACGACTTGTACAATGGCGTAGCAGCTGGCTGCATCACAGGTGGTGCTCTCGCCGCAAAGGCCGGTCCACAGGCTGCTGCTCTTGGTTGCGCCGGCTTTGCTGGTTTCAGTGCCGCTATCGATTACTACATGCGCATGCCGAACGACGACACAGCCGCCGACCCCATCGCTTAGGCGTCTATGACCTCGATTCATGTAATACTAGGAGCATATGGTTCATGTTTGGGCAAAATGGCGTTTAAGAAAGGTCCCCTGACCACGGAGTTTGTGGCGTACGAGGAAAATCTTGACTTTTCTTTCTGGTCGAGGGCATTTGCCTATTGGCCCTTCGACCATGCAATACCACATTACCCCACGGAATACACATCTCAACTATATCTGCAGCAGTCTGCAACTGCAATATCCAAGACGATCTCGGCTCTGCTTTGAGCCTCCTTACATCCGATCATAGCATCTAGGCACGGCTAAACGACAACTTGCCCCTGCTTCCATCGGGGTGACCGGTAGATCATCGAATATCTGCAAGGCGGGTGCTTGTGGTTCTAGACAGCAGAACGAGATGCCGCATGGACAGCATCGCCCCTCTCGAATTTAGCCATCTCGAAGCCTATAGTATGCATTACAGAGTGCGAAATGCTAAGAGCGCGTGCAACGGCCGCTCTTCTGCCATAGTGCTTGGTAATGCTTGGTAGTGAATATCTTTTGATACCAAGCTTTCCAATAACCAGCGTCTCGGTATACCGTCTTCTTGGGTAGGTGTCGACTCACGATCGCATACCAGGCCGAGTCTTCAATCTCTGACCTTCTTTGGCACTAAGGCAGTCCATCAATATCTCGTTTAACCGCTGCCCCGCGTCTCCGCATTAGAAGGAAATGCGGATGCGGGAGCGGGAGCGGAGCAATAGAGCAGGGCACGATGGCTCTTTGCCTGTTCGCCTGCCGCTTTGGTGGGGCCGCAAAGGCCAGTGCTCTCTACGCTCTCCTTCTGTGTCCATCTTGCGAAAGCGACGACGCCCCTGCAATATCCAGTCAGAAAACCTTGTCCTTTTAGCCTGTTCGCGCATGCGAGATGTCTCGGTCGCTGCATGCAGGAACAGCAAATTGCTAGAACATGATCAGATTATCCGGCGATCTGTAGACAGGAACGAGGTTTGTAGTAGTAGAGTATGTGTATATATATGTAGGTGCCCATCTCTGTTACACCCATCAACAAGCAACAACCCGCAGTCCTTCGTTACACTACATCCTCTCCGCAATGTCTATTCGTTCGCTACTAAGCTTCGGCTTGCTGGCCGCTCCTTTGGTCTCCGCTCTGCCTGCTGCAGACCACAAGTCCACCTCGTGCAGCACCAGCACCTCGCACTCAACTTCCCACTCTTCCTCCCACTCCTCGACCAAGTCCTCGGCACACAGCTCTGCAACTTCTGCTGTTGTCACCACCACCACCAGCTCCGCTTCCAACACTGTTCAGACCACGACTCTGCTGGCAACAGCCACTGGCAGAAAGGGCTTGAACGACTACGCAAAGCAGGCCGGCAAGCTGTACTTCGGTACAGCTGCAGATGTTCCTGGTACCAACGAGACCACCGACAGATACTACCGCGCAGAACTTGCCAACAGGGATGACTGGGGACAAGTTACACCTGCCAATGCCATGAAGTAAGAGAATCCTACCATACTCTGAGACATATGACTAATCGCTTTCTAGATGGGTCTTCACAGAGCCCGAACAGGGTGTTTTCAACTACACCGAGGCAGATATCTTCCTTGCGGATGCTGCCCCTCCTGGAAGACTGGTCAGATGCCACAACTTGAACTGGTACAACCAGCTTCCCGAGTGGCTCACTTCGGGCACATGGACAAACGAGACCTTGACGAAGGTTCTCCAGAACCATGTCACCAACCTCGTCGAGCACTTTGGAGACCGTTGCTACGCTTGGGATGTTGTCAACGAGGCCCTGAGCGACAGTGGCACCACCGGTAATCTGGCCGACAACACCACCTGGAGATCGGATATCTGGTACAACACCATCGGTCCCGGTTATGTTGCTGTTGCCTTCAAAGCCGCAGAAGCCGCTGTCAAGGCCAAGGGCCTCAAGGTCAAGCTCTATTACAACGACTACAACATTGAAAGTGCCGGAGCCAAATCCACTGCCGCACAGGCACTTGTCAAGAGTCTCAAGGATGCCGGAATCCAGATTGACGGTGTCGGTCTTCAGTCACACTTCATTGTTGGTGAGACACCGTCGAAAGCTGCTCAGATGGCCAACATGCAAGCATTTGCCGCGCTGGACGTTGATGTAGCCATCACCGAGCTTGACATTCGTACCACTGTACCCGCCACTGCTGCAGCTCAGCAACAGCAGGTCCTCGACTACGCCAGCTCTGTCGGTGCATGCGCAGACGTAGACGCTTGTGTCGGTATTACTGCTTGGGACTTTGATGATACTTACAGCTGGATCCCCTCGACTTTCCCTGGCCAAGGATACGGTGATCTTTTCTTCCAACCTGGAGGATACAACACTCCACTCGTCCGCAAGGCAGCCTACGATGGTTGCATTCAAGTAAGCGAAGCCGCATTCCACGATCCTCTAACATGCTAACAATCGTGACAGGGCCTCACCAGCTAGAGCTTGAGATTTCCGTCAATATAAGGCAAACACGTTCTTTGACCTTTCCGAGGCGCTGGCAAGCTTCCATCATCTGCCGATTTTGAGTGGTTCGATTTTCGAAAATATCGAGACACGTGGTATATATGTGCATAGTCGATTGGTATGAAGAATTTATCCTTATTAATGCTTTGTAAGAACGTCTTGATTGTGATATCAGTGTTGTGGTGTCGGTAAAGCATCCGATTGGCAATAACCTGACCGCTCGTGACTCTGACCTTTTTTTCTTCTTCCTTTTCTTTTCTTGCTTGAACATGCTTTGTCTTACGGGCGATTTGGTTGGTACAGAAATTCAAGCAAGCTGCTCGCCTAGGACATTACACGTGTCAAGCTGGGTGTCGAAAGTACTCGAAGGAGGAGTCTCCAGGATGATGTCTTTAGGGTTTGTGCTCGCGTCATCGAAACGGGTGGGACGTGTGTGACTCGACATGTGGTTGAGTTCATCATTTGATGCTTGGAGGCGTCGTGGTCTCGTGATTGTTTGCTAAGTCAGATGGGGTCATGTAAACGAGCCTCGGAAGAAGCGCGGCCATAGTTTGACTATTCACGGTGAGGCGGCATCATTGTTGTTGATTATGGCACAGTAGGCAGCACCGGAGAGGCATGCCGGCGAGAAGTACAATACAGTCCAGACTGCCGGCAAACGGTAAGTTTCGGCTTGGAGCGCACGAGGGAAAAATGGTCCGAGACGATCTAGCAACGGGCCATGTCGACAATTCTGATGGTTCAGTGATGACGATGATGCATATCTGCTCATGGCTTTTGGGACGTGGCTGGCAGATGGGCAGAGGCGCGGCGGAGATGCTGCACAATCTATGACTTGGCAAGCTGCTCGACCTGCCTGATTCGAGGTTCCCCGCAACACAGTCTTCGGCTCTAACCCCGTGTGGCATGCTGTTACTCGACCAAAACTCAGGTTCACGCCATGTTTGCTGGTCACGCGGCTGTCTTGATGGTCATCGCAGACTAGGCGGCAGTTCTCTGTGTCTCAAGCGGCGTGCAATCCGACGGCGAGCCCATTCGATGCCACGGTCGGAGAGTGCTTCGTAGCATCAGCGATCGTTCCGATCCCGGCCCTGCCAAACCATGGCATCAGGAACCATTATGTAAAGTTGCAAAGCCTAGTCCGAAACAGTTGAAAATGTGCTCGACAGAGGGTGCAGCAAATCACCACGAGGTCGAATCTCAGCGGGCGCGCGATGCTGTAGCCAGCATGCACGGCTTCGTCCTTGTCGCGACCGAAAAAATCCTACTCCGAGTACAACGTCAACAAGAACCGGTGTCAGCCAGCGTCAACAGCAACAACCTGTCGGCACCCTTTCTCGTTGCCAGCTTGTTGCTCCTTCCTTCCGTCTCCTTGCCTCAATCCTGCCCCGCACATTTGCCCACACATTGGTACCTTGCACTAGAGGGGCGCCCTTATTTTTGGAGAGCGTCCGCCAAAATACAAAATTACGTCTCCTCGCCCTGAGCTCAGATCGAAACCTTGCTCCCTGCGGTGAACCAAGCCGGCCAATCATCCGAGCGTCCCCCCTTCTGTGTCCTTCGCGCGTCAGGTTGCAGAAGCTTCTTTGCTCTGTCTGGTCCTGATCGTCTAAATTTGTTTCCTTCACACACACACCATTATTCCACTTCACGGCCTCCCTGGACCTTTGCGCGCTTCTCCCTCGACCGCTAGTCGCTCTGCAGGAGAGCTGTTGCTCCACGCCCCTCAATTTTCTTCTGAAGAAAAAAACGGTTTCCTCTAACCTGGGCACGGTCGCCATATCACGTGGTGGCTTGCCCGATACTCCTGGTATAATGCCACTGATGATGCCTACAAAGACCGTAGTAACCATCAACTCGACTGGCCGTCAGACGGCCTCATTTGTCCGCGTCGCCTCTGCTGTAGGCTGGCGCGTGAAAGCCCAGGTTCGAACTTGCGATGGTCTAGTCGCAGAGGAACTCGCCGCTCTTCCCAATGTCGAAATCGTCGAAGGAGATTTGTGCCAACCAAAGGCTGACCTGATCCCCTTTCTGAACCATCTTTTCGAGGGTGCCAAGTTGGCTTTTATCAATACTACCCACTGGGGCGATGAGGTCGCTATTGGCAAAGCTTGCGCCGACGCTGCCAAAAGGGCAGGCGTGACCCACTACATCTACTCATCCATGCCGGATCATTCTGTTTACAATCCAGACTGGAGACCGCTTCCCTTGTGGGCGCAAAAATTCACGATAGAGAACTACGTCCGACAACTTGGAATCCCCGCCACTTTTACCTACACTGGAATCTACAATAATAACTTTACCTCCCTACCTTACCCGCTGTTCCGCATGGAACTTCAAGAAGACGGCAGCTTCATCTGGAAAGCTCCCTTCCATCCCCACGACCCGTTGCCTTGGCTAGACGCCGAGCATGATGTTGGCCCGGCTCTCTTGCAAATCTTCAAGATGGGTCCGAACGCCTGGAAAGGCCAAAGGTAATTTAACACATTGTGCTATGATGTTTTTCTCCAAGCTTATGCTGTCCAAACAGGGTTACACTTGCTTTCGAACGACTGAGCCCAGTCCAAGCCTGCGTCAAATTCTCACGTGGTGTAGGCAGGCCTGTCAAATACATACATGGTCCGATAGATATCGAGGTCTCCATCCCCAGCGGCTACCGGGAACATCTGGAATCGCTTCAGGAGACCCTCGGTGAGAAGAGGGCTGCTTACTTTGGACCTTTGGAATACCCCCAAGAAGCCAGAAGCCTGTGGGAGGGCTACCGATCACTCGAGGAATACGCTCGCGAGGTGTTTCCAGATGAAGAAGCTGCCAACGGATTGACATGGATGGACGACGACAAGGAGTTCCCCGAGTACGCCGAGAGTAATGGAGACCCTGATGAAGATCGAGACGAGAGTAGCGTGGGAAGCACCACGAATCACACGCCTTTGTGGACTCCAGGAATCCGGACGCCATTCAACCATCCTGAAGCCGATGCCCACAACTTTTTCGTGGGCAGCTGTTAATCACCCGCATTTTCTTCGCCTGACCGGATAATTGTGACTCGCGGTCAATTGCACGCGAATACGAGCTTTTATCCATCCAATCAAGAACTTCCAAAAAGTGCATTCTAAGGTGTTTTGGGGGGATCCAATAACAAGAAAGCAAACACATTGGCGTTACACGGCATAAAAAGATACATGGACGAGATTCGTGGTTACCCGAATTGATCCAATGATCACTGTTCGAGGGCACGATGTACCATCTACTTGGTGGATGGCTGGCTGACAGGCTGAATTCGGTCGAAATGTCATATGCGCGGGGAGTAATTGTTTGTTTGTTACTTGCAAAACCACAGCGTCGGCGTACAGTGCATAGGTATTGCGACCTTGCCCCGAGGCTTTTGCCTTGCGAGCATGCTTTTGTTTTGTTCAGCATTGTTTGCCATTCATACAGCCCAGACAAGATTTATACAACTCCAGGTCTTACTGTTTCCTCAGATCTGGTAATTATCTTTGGAGCATAATTCTAGAAAGAGCCGTGACAAGATCAAGCGTGTGAAGCAAAGTCGTTTGTTCGTTATATATCTATCAACAAGAAAACGAGCCCGTAGACCAGGTTGACCACCTTTCCAAACTCCTACAGATCCAATAGTGTACACCAAGAACAAGAACTAGAAACGCTCGACGCTGTCCGACCAAAATGACTCCAGACCAACAATACGCCCTCAGATAGGGTATCAAGCTAAACGACAGAAAGAACGGAAAAACAAGAACCATCAAAGAGCTATGAGGTGCCGGCCTCTTCACTCGACAACGCCAGATGAAAATCAACGCTCGCTATGCTATATAGGTATTAAGAAAAAGACATTATAAGAGAAGGAAACCCGTCAGAAGATTGTGACGCGGTCGGCAGCTAAGCATTGGGCCAGCGCATACGCAAGCCCTCGCTCCAGCGGCCGTACAAGGCATCTGCCAGCATGCCGATGTGTTCCAGGCCAGTCTCGACTTTGCCAGGCATTCTGTCTTCCAGGATGGCAGTGCGAAGAATCTTTTCGCGTTCGCTGTCGACGAAGGCACTTTGTCTTCGCATCGAGCGGACGGTAGGAGTCATTTCCGACTTGTATGGTGAGGTCGGGGGTGTGACCAAGGTCTCCTTCTCCGTCACAATGGGGGCCTTCTTGAGCGAAGGACTACTGCGCAGGCTAGCAAGCTGCAAGCCTGGCATGACTTGAGCTGCAAGTCTAGGATCCTTCTGGACTCGCTCGAAGATTGCTTTGAGCAACAACAATTCGCCCTCAGGATCTGTTTCATCTAAGATGTTCCAAGCTTCAGCCATCCTGGCCAGAGCTGTCTGCTTGGGTCCAGGAGCGGTAGAGGCATATAATTCTTGGAGTGCTGGATCAATACACTTTACGTAGGCGCGTCTTCCAAGAATAGCTTCCTTTGTATCGGGCATCATTACGGCAGCGGCAGGGGGCAGGTTCTCGGAGTCTTCGACAGCTGTCTGTGACGATCCAGAGCTCGAGGGACGGGCTCCACCGGATGGCACGCGCTTGAATTGGCGCACAGTCGAAGCTCCATTTCCAAACGACATATCGAGTCCCAGAGGTTGTTTTGCCTGAACAGAATGACGGCGAGTAGTGTGGTCGGAGGTCGAACCTTGTCTGCTGACGCGGCGTGCAGTGGGAGTCGAGCCAGATACCTTGCGAGTTGTGGCAGAAGGATCAGCATGATGTGAGGGAGAGGTGGAGGTATGCTTGGATGTGCGAATGGTGGCAGCGGGATCGTATGAAGGCGAAGCACCCGATGAGATGTCGAGGTTTTCCATGGCGGCAAAGGCATCTTCGGCTTCGCTGTCCCATGCAATCATGTGTGAAGGATCGCGTGGCTTGACGGTCTGAGAGTGGTAGGTTCCCGGTCTGACGGTGTCAAAGACCCAATCATCGTCTTCGTTGGGTGCGTGGAGCTCATGTAAGGTCTGCTCGTAGTATCTGAGACGATCCTTCTTCTCGTTGGCGATGCGGTTGCGAGCTCTGTCAACAAGCAGCTTGAGAGAATCGACTCTTCCGGCACGCTGGATGAACTTGTGTTTGAGAAGAGTCTTGGCGGTAGGTCGTGTGTCGGCATCCTTGTTCAGGCAAAGGGCAACAAAGTCTCTGAACTCCCTGCTCCAGGTGCCGCCTTCGAGTCTCGGAGCCTTTTCCTTGGGAATCAAGAACAAAACCTTCATAGGATGGACCTGGCTGTGAGGGGGTTCGCCGTTGGCAAGCTCCATGGCGGTAATACCTAGACTCCAGATGTCTGCTTTGAAATCGTAACCCGCTTCTTGGATGACCTCAGGGGCCATCCAGAATGGAGTGCCGACAAAGGTCAGACGCTGTGATTGGATGTTGGTCAGTTGGGCAGCGACTCCAAAGTCGGCAATCTTGACTCTGCCTGAGCTTGACAGGAGAACATTAGCAGCCTTGATATCTCTGTGGATTTTGCCCGTGTTGTGCAGGTAGTCCAGGCCTAGCAGCAGCTCGCGCATGATGATGGCGATCTGAGCCTCGGTGATGGGGCCGGATTTGAGCTAGCACGAGTCAGAGAGGGGCTCTGGGGGTATTGCGTCTTGACATACTAGATCCAAACACGAGCCTCCACCAAGGTATTCCATGACGATCCATAGTTTGACGCCGCGCACAAAGCTGGCCTTGTATCGTGTTACGTGCTCGCTCGAGCATGTGCTCAAGAGAGCGATCTCTTGCTGAATCTCTTGAATGTCGTCGTCGCTGCCTTCGAGGTCGATCTGTAGAGATGATGGTCAGCTGGTGTAGCAGGTTGGTATAGGGGCAGGGGTAGCAGTACGTGTTTGATGGCGACCAGGTCACCAGTGGCCTTCTCGACGGCCTTGTATACGACACCAAAACTCCCACTGCCCAACTCTTCCAGCATGTGATAGTCGTCGGCCATGGCGGCTTCTCCCAGGGTAGGGTGCATTGTTATGATTCTTGTGCAGCCGCGGGCTTGGGTGGCTTGGGCGTTGCAGCAGACAGAGAGAAGATGAGCTTGACAGTCGAGGGCGGAGCATGCATGCGACGGGCTTTTGTATCAAATTCTATGTCCGAAAAGCAGCGAGAGCTTAGTGCTGGTCGTATCGCAGCATTGGTAAGAAGATGGCCCCCCAGACGCCAGCCATGCCAACCGTCGGCGTTGCCCTGACAACCTCGGATGTGCCACAGCAGCCCGATACCTCTGGAGTATCATATTGTACTCGTCCTCTGTCTTTCTAGAAGCCGCCTGTGCCGTGCACTCCATCTGATCGTCCGTGAGCCGCCGCCCTGCAGCCACTGTATCTTGACTGCACTTCTTGTCTACAGCTCCGTCTGCAAGACCTGCTCGTCCATCGCTTGTCTGCCACCTCCTTTGGGCCTCCAGAAATGCCGAATACCGCCTACGCACTGATAGTCTAATCTAACGTCGCAGCCAAGGACCTTTTTCTATGACGATGGAATACTGACCATGGTACCACCACGATCGCCAAAGGGTCAATGAGTCAAAGAGAGGCTCAACTCGATACAAAAAACACCGTCACCGCGGCAATCTTATTGTCGCCGCACCCGTTGTCTGCCCTTGTCCACCGCTACAGAGCCCTGTGTTGCTTCAATCTCAAACTTCTACCGTTACCTGCCGTCACGAGCCTGCCAACCACATTACTCGCTACCGGCCTAACCGACGCACCATATCCTGCTCTGACTCTAGCTTGCTGACCGAATCGCCATCTTCTCTCGCATCGCTGACTGACAGCGGCAGTCACTGCTCCAAGAGTCTGTGTTGACACTCACTCTTGCTTCTGAAAACACCACCGCAGCCTTGACCATCTCTAACCATTGGGCACTCACTTTGCATCAGGCCACCATTACAGCATCCACTCTTGGCCGTTCTACAGCCCCGACCAAACAGGGTCCATCCCATGCCCCTCGGCCGGGGCACAAGACCACATTCTAGACGTTATCAACAGCTCCTGTGCTACCAGACGTTGTTGAAGCAATCTACACTTCTCGTCCAGAGTCACAAGCTCTTCTTGACTCGCTCGACGAAACATCAAGGTAATGTCTGAAGCGACCATCCGAGATCTCGATAACTGTTGTTATCTCGTTCCTTGATTTGCGTAGCGTTCAGCCGGAGATTGTCCCACCATCAATACTTCTTGAATCCCGATGTTTGGCCAGTCACATGGTCGCAAGACTGCCATTGCATCGGGCCGCGACAACTCTCCACGCCTCGAGGAAATTTGGGCTGCAACAATTGTACGAATATGAAGTCATTAGAGAAGCACGAGCTGGCGGTCAATCTTCATTTTTTTTTTTTGACAAGAAACTAGGCTCCTGCTTACGAGATTAGTGGAAGAAGAATTTTTTTCTCGTCCAACTGTGGACGAGCTGACGGACGGCGGTGAAGTAAGGAGAAGACTTGTTCGAGATCGGTGTGTTTTTGCAGACCTGACTAGTAAGCATGACGAGTGCAGGAGATGATGGCGTTCGGTTATCGATGGTGCATAAATGAAACGGAACCTTATCCCAGCCCTGCAGCCTGCAGGTCATGAAGACGAGGCGAGGATCCGACGTGTGCAAAGATAGCGGTGGTCGCGGTTATCCGGACTTCAAAGCGTCAGTGCTTTGACATGTGAGGCAGCTAGCGGATGGCAATTCCTTCTCGAAGTTTCATAAGCTTCCATTCTGGACGCTCAGACTAGACGTGCGACCCTGACTGAATCAAGCGTGTAAGTAGTGTCGTGTTTGTTTGGCTCTTGAGATACTCCAGTGACTTATGTGCTTTGAGTGAGCGGCACAAAAGGGTGCGGACGTCATGATAGGCATGATTGCACAGGATCTCCAACAACCAAGAAACAACGGGAACAGCTGGAGGTGTGGGGCAGGTGACGCGAAAGAATGAACCGTGGCCACCCTGCCACAACTGACAAAGGCATGAACTGCCGTCGCATGATGACTGATGGAGGCGCAGTCCTGTTCATGCCGGCACTGCTGAAATCTTGCGCGGAAACCATCATGAGCTGTCAGCACAACATTGCGCCTCACTCTGCTAATAAGATTCATGATGGACGAGGCTTCCAGCGGACCTTCTCCGAAGCGCTCATCGTCGACTAAGGAAAGAGTCAAGAGCTTGGGCCGCGGAACAAAAGCGAAGACCAAGAACTTATTGCATCTTAATAAACATACTTTAACCCCCGAGGAGGAAGCCACCAAGGGTCAAGAAGATGATCCGTATGAGGAAATCCGCCACGACCCAGCATTTGATCCATCACAATTGGTCTCTCAGAAGCCAAGTCTCTCGACTCGTATCGCGGGCGGTTTCTCAAATGGTGTCAAAATCATCGTTCACCCTCAAGATGCCGCAAAGAAGCTGGCTGCTTCCAAAGCAGCAATAAAGGATCGACCCTATCTATCCGAGGAAGCTGACAAGGAGTTTCTCGACGCGCATGACAGTCTGTCGAGAGCGAAATCATCAGCTTCGCGCTCCAATGGGTCCGTCGACCAAGAAGCTGTCAATGATCAGCGTGAGCGCGTCAAAAAAATCGAAGGCCTACGACAGAGCAGAAAAGTGGCCTGGACGTCAAGCCGCCACTTCAGACGCGCCATCGTCTTTCCAAAACGCGAGTTTCCATCGCCGCCAAAGGAGGACTACACTTATGTCGATGCTCAGACGGGCAAGCGCCGTGTCGATTGGATGGCTTGGTTGAAAGCACGCCAGCTGAACGCCATAGAAAGCTTTGCCACGAACCGGATGGGCCAGATTGATTACACTGGACAGCCTCCCTTCGACAGAGAGGCTTCGTCTCGCTTTGTAGAGCGCATCCTTATTGCCTCTTCGCCATGGCAGACCTTCTTTCTCTCATTACGCAGTCTGTATCTCTGGGAGGATCCTGCGAAGTCTAGAAAATGGCTCGCGATCTGGCTTCTGATCTGGTATCTAGACTACTGCGTCACATTCATATTGGTTTACTGTGCTGTCACTGTCCTACTGAACAGGTTTCGAAACAGGCAGGTCGAAGAGATGCGCGAGTTGTTATACGTCTGCACTTCAGAAAGGAAGTTCTGCTTATAAGTTCAGTGCTCTTCTGCAGGAGCACGGCTCAGATTGGATTGATCCCTTCATCGAGAGTGCAGGACCCAAGATACAGATGCAGTTGTCTGACTTTGCCGATACACTGGAATCATTGAACAACTTCTACGACTGGCGTGATCCAAAGCTCACATGGGCCACTCTCTTTTGGTTCTTGACGGCAATCCTGCTCGGCCTCTTCACACCCAGCGAATATTCTATCAAGATTGTGAGCATGTGTTGCATCATCATGTTCTTCGGATCCCGCTATGTTGCTCATTTCCACCCCGAGTTCCGACATGTTGTCAACGCCTTCAATTACATCTTCTGGGGTATCCCTAACGATGCAGACTGGTCAATGAAGTATCTCAGGGAGAAGGCTCAGGAGACCAGAGCGGGGCTGATTGAAAAGAGAGTCCAAGAAGAGTGGGAAAAGGATCTCTCACAGCAAAGAGGAGGCTTGGCTGCTGGTAGCCTCGACATTCCTAAGATCACAAAAACAACATGGCCAGGAGAAGATTCATCGCCGGATAGCGAGGATGACGATGCTGCAAGCTTCCACACAACAGACTCTTCGTGCAGCATTCTTGATGGCCTCGACATCTTGTCATTCAAATGCTCCATGCACAACGTGCCTGGTCGATTGGTCATCTTTTCGGATGGTCTTCATTATCAAAGGACGTCTCCAGTTACATCGGCACGCAAAGAAGTCTGGCGTCGCCTGTGGTCAGAGCTTGTTGAGATGGAGAAGATCGATCCAAAGACGGCTGGACTAGTCAAAACAAAAGGCATTCGTCTTGCCTTCGCAGACGGAGCCGAGGCGAAACTTGAGCATGTCCGTCAGCGTGACAAGGCATTCAATTGCATCATTGGATTCTCTGGTCTGCAATTTCAAATTGTCCTCCCAGGAGCGGCGACGGGAGCCGACCACGAAACTTTTGGCCAGGATAATGGAGAATTTGGTTTCAAAAAGGGTTGAGCCATGGGTTTTGAGAGAATTGGGTTGACAATATGCATAATGCGACCAGCTGGCGTCAGAGTTAATCACAGCATAAAAGACTGATCAGCTGTCTAGCGTGTTTGCAAGCTCAAGCAGGCCTCCGAGTGTTGAAAAGAAAAAGAAATAACCTAGCCCGTAGCTACTGCCCCCGAGACTCCTCTGCGCAGAACCAGCTATACCGTCCGCCCTCAGCGAAACAAAAATGACAGATAGCAAAACCAAGCCCTGGTCGATATTTCCGATTGACCGAACGCCGAAATGCAATCCAAGAATGATAGGATGGTTCATTCTTGCTAAGAAAGAGTAGTCATGAAAGAAGATCGCCGACGATCGGCGGGTTGATTGGACCATCTATCGCACAAAGTTGTTAGCACGGCTAGGTTCTCAAGGACAAGGACTAGGCAGTAAATTACATCCTGACTCTTCTGTCGTCGCCAGCAGAAGCGAATATGGCTGGATTGGTGGGATGCCAGGCAACCGAGTTTACAGTGCCAGGAGGATGTGCTTCGAGTGCGACAACGAGTTGTCCAGTGTGTTTCCGCCAAATATAGACTCGTGAATCTAGCAAGTCAATTAGCAAACTTGAAGCATCTTGGGATTTGATGCTTGTTGTTACCCTCGCTGCCACTGATGACAAAATTCTCCCCAGCACCACCAAAGGTACTTCTGATGACAAACTCACTTTGCGTCAGACCATTGTAGCGTTGTAAGACTTCGCCAGTGTCGGAATCAAGGAGTACCAGACGGCCTTCGTTCATGCTAACGAGAAGCGACTTGCCGTCATGACTTAGAGTGGCACAAGTGAGTCTGTCTTCCATGACCCATTCGTGCAATTTTAGGCGTGTCTTGAAATCGTAGACGATGACGCGATTGTCGTTGCTTATAGCGACAAGGCGGGAACCATCGGCTGAAATGGTACAGTCGTTCACGCGAAGACTTTGAGCATCGTTACTAACCCAAGAATGCAACGTTGACTGGTCTGATAGCTGGTAGAGGCCAAGAGGTCTTCTAGAATCTTGTGAGCCAACGATGAAGCTTTGACCGTCAGGAGCCCAGGCAGCGGTTGTGACTGGGTAGTGGAAATGGTCTACGCCGCCAACGCGAGTGCCGGTGCGAGCTTGATAAATGGCGAGCTCTCGTGCTTGTGAGCATGCGAGGATGTATGTGTCGTCGGGACTCCAGGCAACGTAGCAGACACCGCACTCATTGTGAGGCTTTTGTTGGTTCAAGCGGCAGATGGGCATCCATGAGGTAGTATCGTAAATGATAACGGTATTGTCTTTGGAAGCGGTTGCCAGCATGGAGCCATCGTGTGAGAATTCGAGATGCCAAACTTCATCTCCATGATGTTGCAACTCGTGAAAGATATGTAGAGGGAATTGGTTGCGTTCACAGACGTGGTCGTGTAGCAGCGAAGGAGGCTGGGTGGTGTTATGATATAGACACTGGTCGATGTGCTGTTGCTGGACGTGGTCAAGGAGGACGGCGAGGCGGTGCTCGGGGATCATGACGGATGGCGATATAGATTCTAGATTCGAGGTCAGTTTGGCGTGTGCGTGGAAAGAGTGTCGGGCACATACTGGACAGCTCAGACAATAGATGTCGTCTTGAGTTACCGCTGGCACCATCCCAGTGAGCTTGTTGCCTCAGATCTTCAGCTCGGCGACACATGATCAGGCTGGACAGGGCGTGGAGACGGGCGACATCTTGATGTAGCGGAGTCAACTCTTGGCGGAGAACCATCAGAGCCTTGGACAGATGACGCAGCTCGAGCAGCTCGAGATATTTCTGTTGGCGTATTAGGAAGACCATGTCGTCTCTCTTTGCGCCTTCACACAGCGGCAGGCCTTCGCGGGTAGCGTCGCCGAACAACAAGGCTTCAGCCTCTGACCAGTCGCCATTCTGAACAGCAGTGCGGAAGGCGGCTACGTTGGGGACTTCGAGTTCGTAGCCACTCTCCTGGCTCAGTTTCTGGGCGGTGGATTGGTAGCCTAGGTCCGAGAGACTCTGGATGATGATGCGCGTCACCTCTTGTCGATTGTGGCCGTAGAAGTCGTTGGTCGAGAGGGCGGTGGAAAGCTTGTCCGAGGGCGGAGCGCCGTTCGAGGTGTGGTTGGACTTTTGGTCGTCGTCTTCTGGCAGGAGGTGCATCCTGTTTCTCTTGTGGGCGGCCTCTGCCTCTGGCGGCGACGCACTGCGCGGACGCTTGGCGGCCAACAATGCAGCCACGGTTCAGGACGAGTCCAGGATGCTCGTCGTGGTCAAGCGTGTGCCACGGCGTCGATTAGTGATGGTCAGTGTCGTGTGCTTGTTACCAAGGTGCGTCGATGGTCAAGGGCGTGAACAATGATGGTCAACTAGAAGCCTCCCCCACTCCCGCACCGAAGCTCTCCAACATGACGTCCGTCGGCCCAATCTTCACATGTCACGACTACTTTCACTCTTCTTCTTTTCTTCTCACGTCTTATAGTATCCATAGTCTTTGATTCCATAACTACAATCCTGTTTGATAGCTGTAATCTCGTTCAATAGATACAACAAAGCCCTCACTCTACTCGTTACACTTCCAGTCATCTTCAAGTCTGCACTGGAGAACCACCACCTCTGAACCAGTCTGATCCTACACTCACTTCGCCGCATGCAGAATTGGCAGGCACCGTATACATCCGATTCTCGCAACACTCCCATGTCTTTCCGGACCCATCAGCTTCCTGCATGATGTACTTGTACTCGAACCTGGTGCCCTCGGCAATCTCGAGCCTGGCGCCGAATGTTGGAGCTCCTGCACTCTGCGGGTTCGTGACTGACATCGACACCGCTTGGGTTGGCGACCAACTGCCGAGCTCTGGGATACTGCCAACGAGGATGATTTCTTCTCCACTGTTGTCGAACGACCCACTGACTTCAAAGATCGTTGTGGCATCGCGAGAATTGCACGCTTCTGCTTCGACCTGGAGTACGACACTGCCGTTGCTAGCCATGTTGCAGTCGCCATGTGCGTGTTGCTGGTACATTACTTCTTCCGGATTGATGTCACAGCTCAGTGTCGACGTCGAGTTGCTCATGTGCGTTTTTGCCGTTGCAAAAATCTCTTGGTTGGTCCTGTTACTCCCTTAGATCTTACTCTTTGTACTGAGCATCCCACACTTACGCTCCATCAGTAAAGTTCTGCTGAACCGCGAGACTGAAGTTTCCAATGCTAAAGTAGGGAAAGAGTTGGAAGCGGAAGTCGTTTGCTCCGCAAGCTATCCACTTTCCTGTAGGCACAGCCATACTGTAGGACTCATCTTGAAGCCACGAGTTGTCTCCCCAAGATGTCTGACAGGTCGCCGATGAATTGGCACCACCATTTGAGGACGTCACATCGAACTGGATACGATAGTAGTTCGTCTGGCCATCAGGATTGCCTATCGGCTGGGGGGGGTTCAAATTTTTGATAATAAAAGGAGAGTATGCCACTGCAAGAGAGCAGAAAGCAGCTGGAAGAAGCGGAGCCTTCCACATCATAGCTGGACACAAACAGGACAACGCGGACGGTAGCAAGGAGATTCAACAATTTCAAGAAAAAGAGAGAGCGATAGCTCGACTCAGGTTGTAGCACCTACCTTATGAGGTTGACTTGCATGATGTGTTTCGTCAGACGCAACAGAGATCCTCCTGCAGATCTTCTCATTACACGGACAGCTGCACAAAGGCGGCACAGCAACAGAGAAAAAGATGGCTGCAAACTCAACAATTGAGTGTTTCACGGACCAAGTTGCGCGCCGGATGTGCAGGAGTCAGGAACTTGTCAACTTTTGTTCCCATGCCGTGCTGCATGAACGCTCGAGCCTCGAGCCCTCGAGTCGTCCGGACGATCACAGCCGGCCGCGTGCCGACCATTTGGCTTTGTGTCCAGTCTCATCTCTAAACACTCGGACTGATTGATGCTTTTCTAGCTTTCGGATGTCTGAACCAACAGCACTTGATACTTGACGATGCTCGATACCTTCAGACTGACTCGACCATATATATCACTGCTGCACTACAAATGCCAGATCGGTATCTATCCGTGAGACTCGAGAGGCTGCATGCATCGATCTATTGACGGGTCTATTGACACCAATGCTGCACCCCACTCAATGTGCTTCACTGGTCGTGTAACAGAGCGATCAGGCTGCTAAAATTACAAGCTACAATGAGTACTAGACATTGCTGCCTGCAGTGCATGGCACAAGTGGCGGAGTGCGTGAATCGATGAGCACGACCATTTGGAATGCAGTTGGCACTCAATGACACAGCGAACAAGGGACATTGAACAACCCGCTCGCAATATCATTGCATTGTAAAGCACAACAGACGGCCTATTAATTGGCCTGAAATAGAACAGAGGGCAATAACAGGATTGTCGGCGGCAACTGCAAAGCGCCGATTTCTACATCGACTGGTCCCGTGACGGCGCTAACTATTTCTGACTAGCCACCATAGAGCGAGAAGGCAGTCCAGATGCTTCCTTCTCATGTATCGAGAAGTCGATGCTTGACAATGAACTGAAAAATCAGTTGTTGAATTTGGACATAATTGACTACCGTGTCAGCTCTGCCACGAGTTCTTGTATAGCAGATTGTCTCTGCTATATAGATCTGATGCATAGCGGAGATGCAAAAAGTGCACGCCCTTTTAACGAGACTATGAAGTGATGCTCTCCTTGCAAGCAACTACTTTGTCTCAATTATCGAATGTTCTGAGTGATACCTTGCAGAGCTCTTGCATCGCAGAAAGACGATACACTCAAATAGAGATTAATGACAGGCTCAATTTTTTCCGAGTCATTCCATGTGTAATTCTCGCTGAACTATATTGGATATTGTACATGGAACTATTCTAATGGTTTATGCCTTGCCAAGCTCCTTCTCGAGCGCTGCAATTCTCTCCTGTTCAATCTTGTCCTCTTCCTCCTTCTTGCGTTGAGTCTCAATGGCAAGCTGGTCAGGACGTCTGATAGCGATGTCCTTGGGACGGAAGTCACTGAACAATTGCTTGAGCACCTTTTCGATGACCCAGCAGCCACAGTAGTCGAGGATCATGACGGTAGTCATGGTGATTTTGAACTCGGTAGTGAAGGGGACAAGCTTCAACTGCTCGTTGATCTCGGGCACAAACTCTGTTGCGCAGGAAAATGCAACAGCAGTAACCATTACGATACCGTAGTACATGCCCTTGTTCTCCTTGATAGACTCACGGAAAGGACGACCTTGGTAGTTGATGGCAAAGGTCGAAATTTGCTGGATGAGCTGCAGGAGGTAGATGGCAGAGTTGAGAAGAGAGGGCTCGAATTCACCCTCAAGATCGATGTCGGTCTTCTTGGGCTCGGTGCGTTGCACATATCTGGAAATGTAGATCAAGGTGACAATGTGGACAGCGAATTGTCCAAGGACAGAACCAATGATGTATGGGTTGAAGATGTTGGGTTGAGGTCTCTCCTTGGAAAGTGTTTCGACGGTCTAGGGAATGAATTAGCATTGATTGGGAGGCAACACGTAGAGAAAGACATACCTTGGCGCGCGAGATGGAGAGGAAGCAGACACTCATCAGCATACCACTGATGGTGACCTGACCATCACCGAACTTGATTCCGTCGAGATACAACACACTCAAACTGTAGGCAGAGATCAAACAGTTCAAAGCCAAGATCTTGTACATCTGAATGGTAGCAACAAGAGTGCAACGACCCTGGCGGATGATGTTAGGGATGGCGACGACGTTGGCCAGCTTACTGGTGAAGGGAGCAGCGACTGAGGCATCGCCAAGCTTGATAGTTGGCGGCTCGTCGTCGGTAAGAGCGTCTTCCATCATCGAAATTGACATCTTCTCGGCCATGGCACTTGCAGCATTCTGAGCCTTTTGTCTGCGCTCTTCCTGGACAGTCAGAGGTGCCTTGGTTCCAGCTTCACCATCCTTTGCAGTAGCGTTAGCAACCTCGGCCTTGTGCTTGGCTTCAGTAACAGCCTTGAGAACTTCGCTGGTGGTACCCTTGTTGGCAGCTTCGCGTTCCATAGCCTTGTCGTAGTGAGGGTTGCCGGGACCAGGAGGGTAGAGATGAGCGATGTGAACAGGAACGGGAGGAGAAGGTTGGTTGAAACGCTTCATCATAGCACATTGCTTCTCGTAGACATCCTTCATCTTGGTTTCTCTGAAGTTCTGGGCGATCTTCTTAAGATCTTCTTCAGTTCCGTTAAGTAGAGCAACACCAATGTGGGCTTGCTTGAGTGCACCAACGTCGTTTGTACCATCACCAGCCATTAGAGTGACGTAACCAGCGTCTCTGAGACCAAGCAGAATTTCTTCCTTTTGCTTGGGCGAGACACGAGCGTAGACCCAAGTGTGGCGGATAATTTCCTTGAGAGCCTTCTGACCAGTGAATTTAGAGAGAGCGTAACCAGTAACACATAGATCCTTTGTCTTGATGATCTCGGGGTCGATAGGCTCAGTCGGGTTGACAGGAATGCTGACCTTGTCGTCGATGCTTCTCCAGACAAGGTTTTTACCAGAGTCGTCATGTTCAGGTGCGTCAAGAATCAGAGTCTCGCGGTCGACAATCTCAACCTTTCTAGCAACATGGATGGCGGTGAGAGGGTTGTCGCCAGTGATCATGATACAACGGTGACTGCTCTCGTTCAACATACGAACTGCCTTGATAGCATCATCCTTGAGAGGACATTGCAACACAAGGAAACCGGCAAATTGGAGGTCACACTCAGCCTCTTCGCGCTTCATGTCATTGATTTTGTTCTGACCAATCTCGTCGCTAGTAGAGATGAACTTGTAGGCAAGGGCGAGAACACGAGCACCATTTCTCGAGAAGTACTTGAAAGTCTCCTCGTACTTAGGAGGAACATCAACGAGCATGTTTCTGATGGTCTCAGGAGCTCCCTTGACACCGACAAAGGTGCTTCTGGTTTTCTTTCCGGAGTCGCGTTGAGTTGTAACGACAGTAGCGACAGAGCTTTGACGCTTGAGGGCAGAAGAGAATTGGAATCTGCGCTTGATTTGAACCAGATCAGCAACAGACTGACCAGTGCCCTTCGCGGCGACAGCAGTCTTGCTAGTTAGAGTATCGTTGCGTCCGACAGTCCAGCCAAGAGATGCGAGAGTAGCTTTCTCCATGGGCTCACCAACAACGTCTCCATCCTCAAGTTTGACAAGAGCATGAGCTGTAGCGAGCACCAAAGTAGTGCAGACACCTGTGTCGTTCAGAGGTACGAGTTGAGTTTGTGCACCATCGGTCTCGGCAGGGGCGCCTTCCTGGCCTAGAGTCAAACCAGCAACACCATCAACGACAAGATCTTCTCCGGTCAAAGTTCCAGTCTTGTCAAAGCAAGCAATATCGACACGGCCAGCGAAAGGAATACGGAAGGGTTCTGTGCAGAAGATGGCGTACTTGCTGAGGGCAGCAAGAGAGGTGTTGACGGCCAAACTCAATTCCATAGGCAGCTCAGGGGGCACGACGCTAGTGACAATAAGGACACAGTCCAGGAGGAGCTTCGAGCGCTTCCTGTCCTTGGCGACGCCCTCGGTCCAGACATACCAGGAAGCTGCAATAGCAAAGACAGTGAGGAACAGAATGAAGAGCAAGGCTTCAACGTTGTTGGCTGATACGCGCTCAGTAGAGTAAATCATGGTGCGAACGAGACTGCCCTGACTGGTCTCGAAGCCAGTTCTGACGACAATAGCCATAGCCCCATTGTCAGGAGCTGCAGGAACGCCCGAGACGACAGGGTGAATCTTGTCCGAGTCGTCCGAGCCAGTGTTGCCGTGAGTAACCTGGAGAACCTTGGTGCCGCCATACAAGAAGGCAAGCTTGTCGATACCTTCAGGTTCAATACGAGCCTCAGAGGGGCGGAGCTGAACAGAATCCTTCAGAACAGGAGTACTTTCTCCAGACAACATAGCCTCGTTAACAATAGCGGAGCCCTCGACCAGAAGCATATCGCATGCAACACCACTATCCTCCTTGGTACGGCCAACCGAGACAAGATCCCCGGGCAAGAGCGCATCACTCTGAATTTCAACCCACTTCTTCTCTCTGTATACCCAGATGTCGTAAGGCTTAATACTCATGCCGCGAAACTCGGTCAGGGTACGCTGTCTCTGCCAGACGACAGTGCTCTCAAAGACGACGAGCATGAAAAGGGTGAAAAGAGAGTAATACCAGTATTCATCAAGCATCCAGAGGCCGACACAGAAAATCTGGAAGACGAAGAAGGGGGCGACAGCGTGCTCCTTGAACAGTTCTGTGAAAGAAGGAACGGGAATATCGAAGGTATTGGTGCCATAGTATTGCTGGAGACGGGCGATTTCTTTTGCGGTAGTAAGACCCTTTGACTTCTGGAACTCACCAATGGTGGGCTTCACTTCTTGATCCAGGGGGTAGGACAGAGGGGCAAAAGAGCCAGTGTCTTGCGAGTACAGGAAACGACGCTTCTGGAAAAGAAAGGAGATGTTGGTCTTGCCGTCGACAGTTTCGCGCTCAATGGGACAGATGTCGGCAATGCCAGCATTTTCAGCAGGGAGAACCTTGATCAGACCAGCGCTACGCACATCAGAAGCGCGAGTAGTGGTGAAGAGGGAGCGGATGTTGATGTTCCAGAAGGTAGAGAGCCAGAAGAGGGATTGGATGGTAACAATGCTGCCAGACCAGACGAAGGTCCATTCTTGACCGTTGAAGTGTTTCTCGTAGCGCTCTTCGGACAGGTAGAAGGCGAAGAAGACAGGCCAGATAATCAGGAAAGGCCAGACATAGGTGTGTAATGCCAGAGGCAGCGGGTTGTGGAGCGAGGCGAACTTGACCTGGGCATTATCCACGAGCGGCGCCCTGGAGAAAGACATGGGTCAGTGGGACAGTGTCAAAGGATAGTGAAGAGCAACATACATGATGGCGGATGTCAGGGGATATAGCTAAGATGCAACACTATCTACACGTCGCCTTATGGAAGCATTCGAAGGCCCAAGAAGTTCGGCGAGCCCGCTGGTCAAAAGTCGTGACCGGGGCTTATCAGCTTATCGCGCGCCCATGACTGCAAGCAACCGAGTGAGCAATAATTTATCCTGCCTCCCCGTCCGGGAACATCACAAGACACACGACACGCACCATGGCCGACGCAGCTCCAGCTCCCGAAGAGCCCAAGATCTCTAAGCGCGCAGCCGAGAAGGCGGCCAAAAAGGCTGCTGCAAAGGCCGCAAAGGAAAAGCACAGAGAAGCCGCTCCTGCCAAACAGCCCGCAGCAGCCACGCCTGCTGCCCCTGCCGACCCCAACGCCAACTTCAAGCAAGGCTGGTTGAAGGGCGTCTACAACGAGAAGCCCGTCCAGGACGTCCAGACCCGATTCCCTCCCGAGCCCAATGGCTACCTCCACATCGGCCACGCAAAGGCCATCACAGTCAACTTCGGTTTCGCCAGAGCTTACGGCGGCAAGTGCAACCTTCGCTTCGATGACACCAACCCTGCCAAGGAGGAGGAGCGCTACTTCACCAGCATCAAGGATATGGTCAGCTGGCTTGGCTTCGAGCCTGCCAACATCACCTACAGCAGCGATAACTTCGATGAGCTGTACCGTCTGGCCGAGGAACTCATCAACCGCAACAAGGCCTACGTCTGCCACTGTACTGCCGAGGAGGTCCAGAAGGGAAGAGGAGGTTCTGATCATGGTCCACGTTCCGTCTGTAGCCACTGGAGCAGACCTGTTGATGAGTCTCTGGAAGAGTTCCGTGCTATGAGAGATGGTAAATACAAGGCCGGCCAGGCTCTTTTGCGCATGAAGCAGTACCTCGGTACCAAGCCCGAGGAATACGCCGTCACCGAAGAAGACTCGCCCGAGACCAAGAAAGAGAAGGCCAAACTGAAGACATTGGCCGAAAACCCTTCCATGTGGGACGTCGCCGCCTACAGAGTCAAGGACCAGAACTACCACCACCGCACCGGCCACAAATGGAGAATCTACCCCACCTACGAATTTACCCACTGTCTGTGTGATAGCTTCGAGGGCATCACCCATTCTTTGTGCACTGTTGAGTTCGAGACTCTCCGTCCTGCTTACAACTGGCTCCTAGAGGCCCTTGACCACAAGATTCCTGCCTCTGAAGAAAAGGGTCCCATGCAGCGCGAATATGGCAGACTCAACGTCGAGGGTACCATCCTTTCCAAACGTAGAATCCAGATGCTGGTTGAGGGTGTCAAGGCTGGTGGTCAGCAGCCCTCTGAAGAAGAGGAGCTTGCTGGAGCTGCAGAGGAGCTTCAGATCGCAGAGACTGGCGAGGAAGAGGCCGGCGCCGAGACTGCTGTCTCCAAGCCTGTCTCAGGCACACAGACGATTCCTCCTGTTGTCCGTGGCTGGGATGACCCCCGTCTTTTCACCCTTGTCGCTTTGCGCCGTCGCGGTGTTCCTCCTGGCGCCCTGAAGAAGTTCGTTCTGGACCTCGGTGTGACCAAGGCCAACGCCGACACCAAGATGCACATGCTGGACGCTTCAATCCGCACCTACCTCGAGCGCACTGTGCCACGCTTGATTGTTGTTCTCGATCCCATCAAGGTGGTCATCGACAACCTTTCCGAAGACTACCTCGAGGAGCGTGACGTGCCTTTCGATCCTAAGGACAAGGAGAAGGGCATGCACAAGCTTCCTTTCACCAAGACCATCTACATTGACCGCGACGACTTCCGTGAGGTCGATGATCCTGACTTCTTCCGTCTCGCCCCTGGCAAGTCTGTCGGTCTACTCTATGTTGATCACCCTCTCCGCTGTAAGTCATTCACAAAGGGCGAGGATGGTAAGGTCAATGAGATTCGTGCCGAGTATGGTGCCGATGTACCTGCAGGCAAGGCTCGCATCCACTGGATTGGTGAGTCGGCAGCTCACAAGTCGCCGATCAAGGCCGAGGCTCGCATCTTCAACTCGCTCTTCAAGAACCCCCGTCCCAACGAGCTCGACTGGAAGAAGGGTGGATACTATGAGAACGTGAACCCCGATAGCGAGATCGTGCATAAGAATGCCATGATTGAGGCTGGCTTCCTTGACATTCAGCAGCGTGCACCATGGCCTAAGGAAGAGGGCGAGGCCAAGGGCAACACCGGCCCTGAAGCTGTACGCTTCCAGGGTTTGCGTACCGCTTACTTCTGTGTCGACAAGGACAGCTCTGCTGACAACATCATCTTGAACCGTATTGTCAGCTTGAAGGAGGATACCAGCAAGAAGTAAGGAGCAAGTCATTTTCTGGAGAAGTTCAAAGCGAAGCATAAGAACGGCGCATGGGAGGCTTGAGTTACGAGAATTACGACGGGGCTTGGCTGAAAAGAAAGGAGTCATTTAGAGATAGCCAAAATACCCCATCTTTCTGTTTAGTACTTCAAAGACATTTGACTTAATGAGGGACATGAAAGATAACACTGCGTCTGAGCATCAGGGTTTCTAGTCATCATCATCTCCAAGCCTGACAGAACCCCAACCATTTCCATCACGATGAGCGGCCTTCTTGTCATCACAATACAGATGTACCCACCAAGAGTAAGCACCCGTGAACAAGCCCCCACCAACAGTATTACCCAAAGTAATGGGGATCAGACATTTCCATATCAGCATGCTTATCGACATGGGAGAGCCAAGGAACATGGCAGTGGAACCGAGATACATGTACTCGACTGTATGTGGACACTTTGCCGCTGTCGAAATGAAGAAAGGCCAATGCAAAGCGAGAGCTTTGCTGATACCATCTTGGTTCTGCGTGCCCAGCATCATGGAGAAGGTCACTAGCCAGCCGCAGAGAATAGAGCGGAGGAAGATAATGTGCCACTGCGATTCAATAATGTCTTGAGAGATCATGGAGATGGTACCGCTTCTGAAGGGGTCTTCACTGAGAATCTCAGTCAGGCGGGTGAAGACACCAGCGAAGAGTAAAGCGCCAACGAGGTTGCCAAGCCAGGATACTATGCCACCGCGTAGGTATTGGAAGGGCGATCCTTTCCGTTCCAAGGCCGTCATCACGAACCTGTGATTCGAGTCAGATTGTGTATGTTCAATCACACGTACGGAGTAGAGCTAGAAGCTTACCACATAGGGTATCCAGTATACAACTCAGCTCCCACCAGATACACCAGAACAAGGCCCACGGGGAATGTAATTCCTTGTAAGATACGCGGGAGTCCTGGGTTAGTCTCTGACAGCCCTGGAGTGCCAGTAACCAAAGTGAGAGAAAGCAAGCCTCCTGCCGAGATCAATAGAGCACCATAGACATTTTTGAGAAATGTTAATTGCAGATCCTCCTCCAGATGGTGAACGCCGGTCTCGAAGGTCTTTTCGGCAGCCTTCTTTGGTGACAACGCTCCTGTAGACATTGACGTGTTCCAATTGTTCAATCAGGTGAGTGGATGTTGCGTTTTCGGAACTAGACAGCTCGAGTAATGTCTAGGAAAAAGGTTTGGCTCAAACATGAGTTGATGGAAGGTTTGGGAGGCTCCAGTCAATGACGCAGTTCTGATACTATGATCGGTGGGCCTTCTTGATGATCCTTGATCTTATCTGATCATTCTTTCTAACGGTATTTGAACATCCTCAGACCATTTTTTCCACCGCTAGACGCGTTCAGTGTACGCATAATGGATGTGACGCGTTTCCAGCTGAAGAGATCGTCATTCTGGTTCCAATAATTACCTAAGTCAACGGAAACTCTAGACCCGACTATCAGAGAGTTAATGTAGTGGTGAAGCTGGACAAAACAGCTCCGGAGACACATGTCCATAGGCAGTTACATTAATTCATCGAATAGCAAGGTACCATAATGAGCGGCTCAAGAAGATGTGGTGAACATCAAGGTGTGCCACCAACGTCAATTGTAACGAGTACATAACAATCTGTCTACCCCGCGATATGAAAAGTCAGGGTCGCTTTCGGGCGCGTCAGGCGTCAAGCCATCGGCCCCGCGATTCAGATTGCCGACCAGAGCTCCCGCTGTGACAACCAATCTCCAAGTCTTTGAACGCCAGGCCAGGTTGAAACCTGCCGAAACAAGACTCCGAAACTATGAGAAATATTGGTATGATTGAGCGGTAAAGGATCATGTGTCGGCGAATGAAAAACAATCTCCTTCATTCTAGCAGGGCTGTTCGGGCAGATGGGCGTGAGAGATGGCGTGACATCTTGTCATTTTGGCGGAATAATCGCTCCACAGCCCAATTCCGAGTGGGGCCTTTGTTGGAATGATATGATTTAGGCAGTCCTTGCGCCATGTGAGGCATGACTGCATGTGATACTTTTAGGTTCATCAAGGTAGTATAAAGGGACATGATTTCCTGCTACAAAAGGTTTGACGACATCTTGAAAACTCACAAACGTTTCCCTACCATTTTTGTCGCTGTCCAACGCTGAATACGCAAGAAAATATGTGAGCATTGCCTCGTGTTGTCGCTGCCCATACTAGGAACCTAACAATGGACATGAAGACCAGTTCTACCAAGACTATCATCACCATGACTTCTCCATCAGCAGCCCTTATGCAAAGCATTCGCTCAGGCACCACTCACTTCAACGCAATGACCCCCAAAGACCGTGTCAAGCTTGTTGCAATCATGGGATACTGCACACTCGCCTTCAGTGCACCATTTGCGGGAGCGGCAGAAATGAGCAGACGTACACGCGATGACAATACATATGCAAAGATGTGAGTGCTTGGCTGGAGCAAGAGCAGATATACAGTCAGGCTGATTCAATTTCAGGCGACCACTCAGCTACAGAGACTGCCTAGCCTATGGCTCTCGTCTCGAAGACTATGCTGGTCTTGGTCGCCGACTTTGAGCAAAGATTGCAAAGGTTGTCCATGAGATGATGGGTATTTTCAGAAATGCGGCGTTTGGGAATCAGCCTAGTACGGCTTTGCATGGATATTGGGCGTTTGGGCATATGCATAGAGCGTGAGAAGAGCAGTGTTAGTGTTGTTACTCATGACATCCAGGAATAGGAACGGCAACCCTTAGACGGTCGGGCATGGCAGTAGCAATAGATGCCAAACAAACTCCATGACGATGCGTTATAATAATACAAGACTTTGATGCAGAAGAAAAGGATCAACTGAAACGATCACCCTTCTTGCTCCTGTACGGTGCAGAGCTCTCGAAGGGACTGTGGCCCCCGCTCTCAGCAGCATGACCTGAGGCGGGTGACATGTCTTCGGTAGCTTCTTTGCTCGGGTTTGCGTGGCTGTCTTGTTTCTGGGGAGGAACGGGATAGCGGTTTTGAAGTTCGCGCATCTGCATGCGTCTCTTGTTGTCTGCTTCTGCGCGCTCGGCACGATCCTTGTTGATGCTCTTCTTGGCAAAGTAGTATGCGCCGCCGCCTGCGAGGATGAGGACGCCCCAGCCGTAGCTGTAAAAGCAAGTGGTGTTAGAAGGATTGTGTTGCGATTTGGACTTTGGTTGGTGAAGCGTACCCGACAGATCTGACCTGTGGGGCAAGTTAGTTGGCTGACGGCGTGCGAGACAAAGGGCTGTTGGACTTACAGTGTTCATGGTTAGCGTATGGAGGGTGGATTGGCAGTTGCAAGAAAAGTGGAAGGTCACAAACAAGTCGATGGTCAAGTACAGAAGAATCGGGCAAAGTCGTGACAGACAAGTGGTTGCATCAGCTGATGGAAGTCCCAGCCGCACCATCCCTGCCAAACAAGCAATTGTAGCCGACTCCTTCTAATTCACATGCATCGAGTGCGGACTGCACGACCGTCTCATTCATAACCACCAAGTCACATTCACATCTCTGCTAAGGCATTGTCGCAAACACCCTCTGGCTGGCGCATGTCATTCCCTCGCAAACAATGACCGGTGTTAGCGGAAACAAGGGCCTTTAAACTCACCACCGAAGCTTCTCCGCCTCTTGGAACGCATTCCGTCATCCGAGTTACCAAACTCTAGGCTACACCACGTGGGAGCCAACAATATCCGCCCACTCGACATCGCGACACATAGTCATCCACCGACAGACTCGTTGCACCTCTCGCACACGCCCACTATGCCGCCCAAACGCAAGGCCGCCGCTGCGTCTGCCTCTCGTCCCTCCAAGCGTGTGGCGTCGGGTGTGAACACTCCTGTCAGCATGGGCAGCAGCGACGACGAATACATGTCCGACGACCCAGACGACTACGAGCCTCAGAACGATGATTACGAAGAGACCGTCAAGAAGTTCCAGCCATCTTCCTACCGCTCCAAGAACATCAAGCCCCAGGAGTCAGATCAAGCTACTCGTCTTTTCAAAACCGACAACGACCTCTCCGCCCTAGAACTGAAACCCGACCACGCAGTCCGTCCGCTCTGGCTTGACCCCCAAAAGGGCAGAATCGTCGTCGAAACCTTCTCTCCTTCGTTCAAGCAGGCCCAGAACTTCTTGATTAACATCGCTGAGCCTCAGTCGCGAACCACAAATGTCCACGAGTACACAATTACTGGTCACAGCCTGTTTGCCGCCGTCTCCGTTGGTCTCACCACAGAAGACATCATCCGACAACTCGAGGTCTTCTCCAAAACAAGGCTGCCCGATAGTTTGAAGGAATTCATCTTCACCTCCACTCAGTCCTACGGAAAGATTCGTTTGGTCTTGAAACACAACAGATACTACATTGAAAGTCAGGATGCTTCTGTCTTGCAGATGCTTTTGCGTGATCCTGTCGTTGGTCCCGCCAGGATCCACGAGACTGACGAGTTAATTCAAGAAAAAGCTCCTCAATTAGGAGGCTTGGTAATTCCGGGAACAAAGGACGCCGCTGGCATCAAGCAGGCCGAGGCTCAAGCACAGAGAGAGGCTGCAAAGAAGAACGATGACGATGATGACGAGGATGATGATGACAAAAAAGAAGAAGCAGAACAAGACATGACGGCCTATCTTAGAGACGAGGACGATGATGATGAGGGAGACGAGGTCCACTCTTTTGAGATCGACGGTGAGAAGATTCAGGCAGTTCAACAACAATGCAACGTCAACCTAGGGTTGCCTCTGACGAACGAGTACGATTTCCGAAATGACGACATCAACGCGAACCTGGACATCGATCTACGGCCCATGGCTCAGATTAGATACTATCAAGAACACGCTCTCAGTAAGATGTTCGGTAACGGTCGTGCCAGAAGTGGAATCATTGTCCTGCCTTGCGGCGCTGGTAAGACTCTGGTCGGCATTACTGCTGCCTGTACTGTCAAAAAATCGGCTATCGTCCTATGCACTTCTGCCATGAGTGCTTACCAGTGGAAAAATGAATTCTTGAAGTGGTCGAACATCAACCCAGATGACATCGCCATCTTCACTTCAGGCGAAAAAGAGAAACTTAACCAACGAGCAGGCATCATCGTTTGCACCTACAGCATGGTCACTCAGAACACCCGAAGAGCCCACGACAGTCAGCAAGTCATGGATTTCATCCAGAACAGAGAGTGGGGTCTGATGGTTCTCGACGAGGTTCACGTTGTGCCCGCCGAAATGTTCCGTCGTGTCACATCCAAGATCAGGTCGCACTCAAAACTCGGATTGACTGCTACCTTGCTACGAGAAGACGACAAGATCAAGGATTTGAACTTCCTTATCGGCCCTAAGTTGTATGAAGCCAACTGGCTGCAGCTGTCAGAAGAAGGTCATATTGCTCGTGTCCAATGCGCCGAAGTCTGGTGCCCTATGACAACAGAGTTCTATGGTGAATACCTCAAGGCTCGCACTACTAACAAACGCTCTCTGCTTTCCACCATGAATCCCAGGAAATTCCAAGCCTGTCAGTTCTTGATTGACTACCACGAAAAAAGAGGTGACAAGATCATCGTCTTCTCTGATAATGTATACGCTCTCGAGAAATACGCGAAACGACTAAAGAAGCCTTACATCTACGGAGACACGCCTCAAAGAGAACGCGAGATGGTTTTGCAGAACTTCCAACAGAACGAGTCAGTGCGAACGATCTTCTTATCTAAAATAGGAGATACCAGTCTGGATTTGCCTGAGGCTACTTGTCTGATCCAAGTATCCAGCCACTATGGGTGAGTCGTACATCCTTCACTGCTAGTAACAACAACTGACATTTTTGACCTCAGTTCCCGTCGTCAAGAAGCTCAGCGATTAGGTCGAATTTTGCGTGCGAAACGCAGAAATGATGAGGGATTTAACGCTTTCTTCTACTCTCTTGTCTCGAAAGACACGAACGAGATGTACTACTCGTCAAAACGTCAAGCTTTCCTGGTCGATCAAGGTTACTCCTTCAAGGTCATTACACACTTGACAGGAATCGATAAGGTCGAGGGCCTCCATTTCCGTGACACGTCCTCACGCATGGAACTTCTCGAGGACGTCCTCATGGCTGGTGAAGAAAGTGGCAGTGTTGAGAACATCCAGGACGATCTTTTCAGTGGAAGGCAAATGCACAAAGGACCAAAGGGCAAACCTGGTGTCCGACGCACAGCTGGCGCTCTCTCGGAATACGCTGGTGGTAAGGATATGGCGTACATTGAGTACAACAAGAGCAGAAACAAGGAACTCAAGAAGAACAAACCAACAAGTAAGTTCTTCAAGGATATCCAGAGGACGAACGAGAAGAGAAAGGCAGCTGCCAAGATGGACAACATGTAGTGGCTTTGCTTTCTCTCTATTCAAGAACAACAGATTCTTGAATATCTTTATGATTACGACGGAGTCTCGGGTTCAGCAGGCGCCGTGTCTCTCTTTTTGAACTTCTATAGCAGAAGCAAGCATCTTTAATCTTTCACAATGATGAAGCAGATTGGCATGTTGGTGTCTCGTATTTAGCTCGTCAATCTCTGATATCCATCTTGACAGTATGCAAGACGAGGGAGATGTGTGCTCGTGTACAAGACATACTTGTACTTCATTCTGGATCAAAGCATGAAGAGACATAAGTTTGCGTGTCAAATATCTCTAGGTTGTGGCGTCCAACTTTTGATCAAGTCTGTTTCAGAAAGAAAATTGGAAGACGCCGATTGCGCGATGTATCTGTATTGCGCCATTTACCTCGCTTGCGCCATGGAGACCAAGGTGTCAGCATTGATGAGCATCGGAATAAGGTTGTGGGTATAGTGTCTGCTTTGGCCTTTGATTACGCTATTGAATGCTTAGCAGCTTACAGCACTAGGTAAGACTAGACATTGCGAGATTCAGGCATCAGCACGGAAGAAAGAATCCTTGATTACATGGTGTGTATATCAGGATGTTGAGGTGCAGATACCATGTGGAATTCTCACAGATCATCGCAGTTGCACAAGAATATTCGAGACGAAAACCACGCTTCCATCACCTTGATGCGCCTGAAGACCAAGACTTTTGACCTCAAGGTGCACAACAACTTCTCGTGTTAAGAACGAGGATGACAGGGGTGGCTGCATATCAATAAGAAGAGGACCACGAGGCGCAGGGGCCATACTGTGTCTTCTTGCTCTGCAGATCAAAGGGAAAACAAAACTCCACTTCGCCTGCAGTCGAACACTTTATTAAGCGAGTCTAGATGGGTAGAAAGGTAGAAAGCAAGGGAGATCATGATGCTGCTCCATAAGCTCAACGAGGCGGTTTGACTGCAGAGTATGAAGTCAGGACTGAGGCGGTCTGATCTTGATAGACCTGATATACCCGATAGATCGCTGAGAGAAGGTTCAAGGGCTCGAGCAAGCAGAGTAGCCACAACAAGTCAAGTGGACGTTCCTGCCGAATCCGGTGTCTCTGATTCCAACGGGTCGGCAAGAGAGGCAAAGGAGTAAGGCGCAGTGGGCCTTCGACTTCAACAGCAGGGACGGGGACGACCCACGGCTCCAGTCGGGTCGGCAAATGGCGCGCGCGCCCCGTGCCTTGCTCGCGAGCCACTGGGTATTGTACCCGCAACAGCCCTACACATATTGAATCCAAGAACATCAGCCCCTTGCTCCAGTATCTCCGGAGTGGTCAGCAGAAAGATTCGAGCCGACTCGGAGCTTTGTCAGAGGTGTTGGTCTATGGACACCGGGCAAGAGGTTCAGCGAAACACAGTAATACTAGTCTCATGTCATGCAAGCCTCCTCTCTCGAAACTCAATGCAGTTCGATAAGGTGATATTCATACCATGGACACAAGGAGAGGAAGACACAAGCTCGGATCGGGTACCTGACCGACAGCCGCCGTGCATGAGAGGTGCAGCACTTTTCGTGCCACGAGGCTAAAATATATTAAAATACTGTCTGTAACATCATCCTAGGCTTTCCCCATACGACGTGATACGTCCGTACGGTATTTTGACAGCTCGCTTGCGCGGTAATATGAAGATGTAGAGAGAGAAGAGAAAATCTGTGGATGGGAATAAGACTTCAATACTATACATAATACATTAAAAATCATGTCGCTGCACCACGGTGACATGAGAAGCCCATTTGGCCGAAGTCCAAGCAGCATTTGAGCGAAGGCGAAGAGAGAAATGTCTGCTTCTATGAGCTCTGGAGACCGTTGGAAGCAAAGAAGTTTTGGATAACATTGTAAGCACCGGTGGCTGAAACAGAAAAGACGTTAGCATCTGGTCCCCATGCGCGTTGAAACGTTCATGCATATGAGACGACTTACAGTTGTAGTGGAAGTTGATGCCGTGGCCAGTGTTTGGGTGAATGTAGGCTTCAAACTTGCTGGCGTTAGGGAATGCCGCCCCGACTCCAGCGGGAATGCTAGCAGCAGCACCGCCAGTGGCGAGGCAATCACCTCCGCAATAGATCGTGTCTTGACGGCCGGTCAAAACGAGAGCAGGACCGGTGAGAGGAGAGGTAGCAGGAGCACCATTGCCAAGAGTGAAGACTTCTCCAAGAGTAACAGGTTGCTTGGTGCTCTCAGCAAAGACAGCGGCGCCAACATCGAAGTAGCCAGGATACAGGAAGGCGAAGATGTTGCTTGTCAAATCGCTCCAGGTGAGGTATCCGGTAGGCAGGTTCTGCGCAACAGGGGCGACAGTAGCATTCCAGCCGTTGATGATATCACCAACTTCAGTGGTAGCGATTTCCTGCCAGATATCAGAGCTCGAGAGGTCGATACCAACAGCGCTAAGAGCAGACTGAAGTATCGAGATGACGCTCTGACCGAGCCAGGCGGTGTTAGTCTTGGTGCGCGAGACGGACTGATCGCCGAAGCGAAGAGGTTGATTGAGACGAGCGAGATGCAGGTTCCAATCAGCGAGGGTTTGAGCCAGCCAGGTAGCGTTCATAGAGAAGCCAGTGAGAGCAACACCGTCAGAGGAACCGGGGTAGAGAGCTGTCAAAAGGTAACTCTGGAGAGAGCCGAAAGAGTGTCCGACTGAAGAAGATCAGTTCTATGATAAGACTTGGTCTGAAAATGAAGGTCACTTACCGTGCACTACCTTGCCGAATTTCTGGCTGACCTGAGGGAAGGTACCGTTGCGGAGCATGGAGGTAATCTCATACAGAGCAGACACCTCAGCAGGAGCTTGAACGATGTTGAGAGGATCAGCGTGGGAAGAGTTGCCGATTCCGAATCTGTCGATGGACACAGTGTGGTAGCCAGCAGCAACAGCAACATCGATGTAGGAGTAGTTGTAGTTGTTGTAGGACAAGTCCCAGTAGCTCTTGTCGAAACCAATCCCGTGAGTCAGGACCTGGACAACAGGGTTGGCACTGTTGTCACCTTCAGGCTTGCAGTATTTGGCGCTGATGTTGTAGCTTCCAGTGACGGTCTGGAACCCGGTAGTGACAACATCGGTGTAGTTCATGCCAATGTTAGTGAAGTCGAGAGAAAACTTGACTGCATCGAGGTTTGACTCCAGGGTAGGGACGTCGAAGACAGCCTGTCTTGCGTTGATGTAGACTGGCACAGTCACATTGGTGCAGACTTTGGCTGCAGAAGCCACAGTACCCAAGAGGGCTAGAAGGGCGATGGAAGACATGGTGAACACGAAGTGAAGGGAAGAAGATGGTGGAGGGACCTGTGGTTGTAGAGGATATCGACGGGCTATTTATCGTCCTCGGAAGCTCTCAGTCAATGCCTCAGAAGAAATAAAGCATTGACGTCAAGTAGATGGTCGCAATGTTCTAGTCTTACAGTGGATTGGCAATCAAAGGTTGGCAGACAAGAATACACCCGGGACAAAGGATCGGTCATGCAGGTGTGGCAGAAGCGCAATTGTGGATGCCATGGTCGCAGTCAAGACCATTAGCGTTCTGAATGCCACCAAAATCCCTCCCGCCGGTGCTCAAGCGGCTGAACTCAGGCATAGCGAAAGGGTCCCTGGGGACGTCATGATCATCTGAAGGAGACACCAAGGGGAGTGATCATGGCGCGCGGGACGGCTACTCAAACTTGAGGGGCAGTCGGTCGAGTCCTGACCACATGCTCTTAGGCGCAACCCCAACGGGATGGACAAAGCTCATTACTACTGCTGACTCCGTCCAGGGATACAACGTGGGTGTAGGGCCATGCAGCTGCATCGACAAATAGTCTGCACAAGTGTCTCTCGCCTAAGCAGGTGCGCCCGCCGGATCTCCACGCTACAGAGCTACAGTATTGTGAGAGCGGGCGCCTGCTCACTTAGTCGGAGTAAGAAATTACCGAGCAGCAGTCAGATCACTGTTCGTCAGACGTGGACGATGACAATTAACGGACATTGAGTTACAATATGGAGCATCGGATTGACAGACACTAAATGGCGTGTTCGATAGCGCAATTGCGGACGGCACGCAAACGCGCCTTGTGTCAGTGCAATCAAGGCTTGATCAAAAGGATCGGTTGACTGGGCGGGTCAAGGACCATGATGGAACTTGACGGGAGAGAAGCAAAGACGCGGGCTAACTTAGAGAGCTCGAGTGAAACGAGGGTAGGAAGGAAAGTGCAACCGACATGAGGCTAGCAGAAGGGCAGGAAGCAGAAAGCTTGGCGTCGCAAAGCGCGGGAAAGGCCGCTGTCCTGGGAAGTTGCGAGCTGCGGGCTGGAACTGAGCACTTTGGCACCATCAACTCCACTCGTGCTGCTAGTCAATTCACTAACCCATCACTATCAGTATTGGTGCCTCTTGTGCCCTCTATCACGACCCAAGCGAGATTAATTATCACACCTATCTGCGGGCGTACGAAGCCACTGTCGTTTGCTGCGCATCATCACGGCCTCGACCCTGACACTACGCGCAAACGAACATACTACCAAGACTCCATTTCACTCTCTAGTCGATCACAGCCGAAGCACTCCTGAAAGTTTCTCGTCACACGTGGTCTGGTCTTCTGCTTGTACTTTGCTGCCGCCCTTTCCGCGATGTCCAACCCAGTCTGGAATCCAGACAACATCACCGACGTCGCCGAATCTGTTGGCGTCGGCGCTCTCAACCACGACGTCGTTACCCAGCTCGCTCAAGATGTCGAATACCGTGTCAGTCAGATCCTCGAAGAAGCTCTCAAGTTTATGCGCAATGCAAAGAGAACCACTCTGAGCACACAAGACATCTCACAAGCCTTGCGTCTGCTTGATGTTGAGCCTCTCTATGGTTACGAAGCTACGAGACCTTTGCGTTTTGGTGAGGCATCGATAGGTCCTGGACAACCGCTGTATTACGTTGAGGATGAAGAGATCGACTTCGAGAAGTTCATCAATGCTCCCTTACCGAAGGTGCCTCGCGAGATCTCCTTAACAGGTTCGTCAATCTCCGTTCTACGACTGACCTTCGCTGACGCCGCGTGCAGCACACTGGCTCGCTGTAGAAGGTGTACAGCCCTCAATCCCCCAGAATCCTACCTCCGCCGACCAAAGACATCAAGAGCTCCTGCCTAAGGGTCCAGGCGCAAACCCAAATTTGGCCGCTATCGGTGGAAACGACAATGTCGCCGTCAAGCCCCTGGTCAAACATGTCATATCGAAAGAATTACAACTATACTTCGAGCGCATTTGCAGTGCTATTCTGGATGAAGCCAACGAGGAATTCCGCATATCAGCCTTTGCCAGCTTGCGCACTGACCCTGGTCTTCATCAACTGGTGCCGTACTTTGTCCAGTTCGTTGCAGACAAAGTCACACACAACCTGAAGAGCTTGTTCGTTCTCAGGCAGATGATGCAATTGTTGGCGGCCCTGCTGGAGAATCCCAGTCTATACATTGCTCCGTACGTCGCTTCGCTGATTCCGCCGGTTCTTACGTGCTTGATCGGAAAGCATCTGGGTTCGACATCCGCCGATGGGCCCGAAGCACACTTTGCACTCCGCGACTTTTCCGCATCGCTGCTGTCGGCTATCGCTAAGCAATATGGCCAAACATCGGGCACGCTTAAACCTCGTATCGCGCGTTCGTGTCTCAAGGACTTTCTCGACTCGCACAAGCCTTTTGGCACGCACTACGGAGCCATCCTTGGCCTACGAGGCATCTCTGGAGCAGCAGGTGTGCGCACACTGATTCTTCCCAACCTCAAGACTTACGACCAGGTGCTCAAGCAAGGTTTGGCAGATGAGCACAAGAAAGATCAGGCAGAAAGAGTTGCAATGGTGCTGACTCGATCATTGGAGCTTCTGGAGCAACACTCGGCAAACATGACCAACGGCCACCCCGAAGGTGCAGAACTGAAGGAGCGCTTGACGGAAGCCATTGGCGAAGTACTCGGTGCACGGGTATACGAGAGCGGAAGAGCAGGGCTGGCATCGGTCGTGCTTGACAAAGATATGGCGGTGTAGGAAAAGTGCGAGAGGATTAGCGCGTCATTTTTTGGTGAATGCATAGCGGCGTGGGCGGGTCACACTAGGCACAACAACAACGGAGTTGGGGGATTCACGAAGTCTAACTAGATATGATACCAGGAGGATGCACTCGACGTGTACAAAAGAAGCAGGCTCTCTCTCCGGATTGAGGAAGAAGCATTGATGAAACGTGGTTCGGATGATTTGCAAAGTGCTTGTGAAACTTGAAGAAAATGTGAGGGAGCAGCTGGTGCAGTGTAGGGCAACGGCAGCAAAACAAGTGCAGTGGCTGGCGATGGGATGCAGCAAGGAAAAGTTCAGCCAGGGCAGGTGCAGTAGTCTTGTGGGTACTGCCAATGCTTTCGCATGTGGAGCAAAACCTTGTGCACGAGGATGGGGTTCACGCGAGGACCGTGGTTGCGACTCGAGCTTATCTGATGATCAGAGGCCGGATCTGTCGCAGCAAGGGCATGGTTTGTTGTGGCAGCGGGCGGGGTGAGGGACACGAGAAAGTATAAACAGAAAAGCCCGAGGGTCGCAAGGGACGTGTATACAAGGATTGAGAGGTACGTGGACTGGGTTGAGCTGAGAATTATGGAGTTGTCAGCATTTTGATGGGGGTAGATCGGACGCTTGACGGGTTGCAACATGTCGGGGTTGCTGGTTGGCTGTGGTGTCACAGACGGACGGCTGGCGCTTCAGACGTAAACAATCAACACTTGCTTGACAACCACCAATCTCGGACTCTGCGACAGGCCACTTAACACCAGGCCATCCAGGCCGTCGCATGAAGAATCTCGCCAATTCCACTTTTGGGCCTTCCTGCCATTCGGCCAGTCATTCATTTATTCTGGAGGAGCGCGTTTCTGGTTGCTGAATTGCTCGCGTAAACAAAGCGACCTTTTGACTGGACCAACACACAACCAGGCCTGACAACCCAGTCGCGCAACATGGCAGGCCAGTCAATACCGACCAAATTCCCCTGCTGGTGCAAGGCCGTCTACTCATGGGGCGGAGAGGTGGGCAATTACCTTGGAGACAACTGAGGAGCCCGACGCTGACTGACAATCTCTACAGACAAAGAAAGACCTGGGCTTCATCGAGGGAGATTTGATCGAGTGTCTGAATGCAGGAGACGGTTCGTGGTGGATGGGTCGTCTGAGACGCGACCGGCGCATGGTTGGCCTGTTTCCCTCCAACTTTGTCCAAGTGCTCGACGAGAAGTTCCAACCAGCTCCCATTCGCCGCAATGTTTCGCCGCCCACCACCGTCGCCGCACCCCAAAAGTCAAAGAGCGTCTTCAGGAAGCCATTTCAAGGTTACAAAGAGTTCGGATACCGTGATGATGGATGCAATTCGCGAGGCAGCACACCAGAAGACAGACCTGCCAAAAAGAAGTTCAGTCCCTACTCAAGCATGAAGACGGCAAAGGCTCCTGGATCTGACAAGAAGCCTCAATCCTCACCACTAAAAGAGGAGTCGACATTCCGCCTTCCTTCCCCATTGCCGCGCGGCTCTCCTAGCAGGCCACCCTCGCCAGGAGACATGTACAGAGCTTCCTCTCCAGCGCCAACCACCTTGCACCGATCAGTCTCGCCTGCACCTTCGGCCTTCTACCGCCAAACTTCACCAGCTCCCTCTGCCATGTATAGGACATCTTCGCCTGCGCCCTCGGCCATGTACAGAGCTACCTCTCCTGCTCCTTCGGCCATGTATCGTCCCGTCTCGCCAAACCCTCAAGACATGTGTCGCTCGGCTTCTCCCAATCCCTCCGCCATGTATAGTGGACATGTCTCGCCTAATGCTGCTTTGTATCGCGCTGTTTCTCCCAACACAAACGCCGATTTGTACAGTCGAGCTGCCTCACCGAATCCTTACCAAACAATGCCACCGGCTCCCTTCCATCAAAGCAATTCACCCTATCGCGTTGCATCGCCTGCCCCTTCTCAATTCCGCCATTCACCATCTCCTTCTCCTACTCCCACTCCCATGGCCGCACCAGGCCAATACCAAGCATACAAGCCCCCACAGGATTACGATTATTTCAGGACAGCTTCACCAGCTCCCCCACCAGCAAACCACGTCTCGAGGCAGCCTTCACCAGTTCCGCAGGATGATGCATCTTCTCCTCCGCCTCCAGCACCGCCACCTCACCGTGTACTTCATCAACAGAGCAGGCCTGTTTCTCCTCGCCCTTCTTACGAGACTGATCCAAACAATGGCTATACCACACCTGGAGCCCACTCAAGGGACGGCCAGTCTTCTGGCATGACTCCTTCACCTTTGCGCGATGCTATGGCCGATGTGATGTCTTCTTTGCACGATATGAGCAGTGTTGCCGGAAGATCATCACCTGCTCCTGGTCCTGAAAGTCCCAATGGAATCTGGTCACCAGACGCATTCGATCTGATACGATCCCGATCCGCTCATCAAGCGAGAGCAAAGTCTGCTATGGATATGTATCGCAGAGAAGCAAGCCCGAACAGGTTAGCAAATGTACATGAGACTCAGGACTCGATCCCATCTTTACCACCTTCTAGAGATGGACCTCCTGCGTTGGATGGATTTGTTACACGTATGGAAAGTCGTTTGAGACGAGCAAAATCCACGGGAGCCGACCTTCAAACTGTTGGAAGTGGCGGCCAATATGACAGCAGGCCTACGACGGCCGGCAGTCAGAGTAGTTCGGGCAGTGTCCATTTTAGCACTCAGGTGCCCAGAAGTCCCAGTCCCCGAAAGTCCGTCTACGATCTCCCCAGCAGACAACAACTTCGCAGGACACAGACAAGCAGAACCAATGCAACAAGCTCTTCTTCGGGTACTAACAGCACTTCAACGGCCAGCACTACGAGCACTCAGATCACCAGTACCAGCATCATGAGTGGTCACTCTGCAGGCGCCTTTAGCGCCACTAGTGCTGGTAGCTTTGCTAGGCGCAAGTGGGGTTTGACTGGAAGTGTAAAGGGAAGACGGCCATTGAGCGCGTTGAGTTCAAGGTCCTATGGTGATCTACAGGGAGAGTGTAGTAAGGAAGAACGCCCTAAAACGGCCATGCAATCACGACCTCAGTCTCCCGAAACTGGTATCAGCTTCCATTCAAGTCATGCCACGCAGCCCGCCCCAACACCTGTCGCCGACTGGACTACTAATCCGTTCGAGACTGCGGGCGTGCTCGGAGGCCTTTCAGCTCCCAAAGCTAAGAAGAGTGGCTTCTTCAGAAAGATGATCGACACAGCAAAGACAACCGCGAAGACTGGCGCAGCTAATGCGAGAAGTACGATTGCATCCGGCAGACCTCCGAGCAGAGCAGGTTCTCCAAAGAAGAGCATCATACCTGATGGTGTCACCGCCATCTCTGGTGGTATGCCTTCTTCGCCACCTACACTCACGTCGACAGCACATCGTGACATGGGTCTTGGAGGCGGCGACGGTTGGATGCAGGTCAGACGTGATGTTAATCGTTCCAACTCACTGAGCAGAAATGAGAGAGTTGAACGTATTGAGCGTTGCGAGCTGATGGACATTCTCGTTCTCAACCCTGTCGAGGAATTGCTGGAACGGACTGAGGGCGATGAAGGTCTTGATGGATTGGCCATCACCGAGCCAACAGACTTTGCAGCCCCTAGTCTTGGTTTGGTGGACAAGGGCACAAGATTTATTTCTGCTCTTCCTCAGATGGTCACTCCAACATCATTGGCACAGAGCTATCTTTGCAGGCCTTATCGTAGCGATGTTCAACGCCTTCGTGCCATCTTCACGTGGGTCGCCGAACGGATCACCTGGGAAGAAGATTTCGAGGGTCAGATCGATACTAGACGTGTCTTGCAGACTAAGCGTGGCTGTAGTGAGGAGATCGCCGTACTGGTACGCGACCTTTGCTCTGCTGTGGGTCTACATGCCGAGGTCGTCCGTGGCTACCTCAAAGCACCCGGCGAACGCCTTGATCTAGAAAGCATCGCCAGAGCGAATCACTTCTGGAACGCCGTTATCATTGATGGCGAATGGCGTATCATGGACTGCTCTCTGGCTAATCCCACCAACCCCAAAAGAAGCATGTACAGCTCAGCAAACAACACGGTTGCGGACCATTGGTTCTTCCTCACTCGACCCATGGAAATTTGCTACACTCACATTCCTCTTCTACCTGAGCAACAGCATATTGTCCCTCCTGTCCCTCACGAAGTCCTCATCTCACTGCCATGCACCTGTCCGACTTACTTCCGTCACCACATTGAACTGACAAACTACGACACTTCAATCACCTACCTCGAAAATCTAGAAATGGCACATCTTCAACTCACCGTTCCTGAAGATGTTGAAATCGTTGCAGAGGTAGAAGCCCGCGCTTTCGCTCGTGACATGGACGGTGATCTCTTCGAATCAGGCGATGTGACCAGGAAAATCGCTCTCGCTCAGCCTACCTGGATCTCTGGTCGAAAGAGCTATGTTGTGAAAGCACTTCTTCCTGGGGACGAAGGCGAAGGCATCTTGAAAGTCTACGCCGGCAAACGAGGTCTCATGCACAGCATCAAAGATAATCCGCATACCCTTGCCCTCGCAGTGCCGCTCGTCCACAATGGACAGAACCCGCCATATAGTTTCCTCACGCGTCACCCAACTCCTCACGCTCAACGCCACGATCTATATGTCGCCCAACCCCAATGTGCCCGCTTGGTCATCAATAACACCTTCGTGTTCTGTGTACGCCAACACCCATCCTCACTCTCCCGCTTCTCGCCCGACACATGGGGTGGTTCGAACAACGCAGCCTCCAGCAGAGGAAGAAGTAACTCAGCACTAGGCCTTCGTTCTACCTCGCCTGCGCCGTACGCTCGCCCGTCCTCTGCGATGTCCATGGCATCTTCTTCCGCGGGGATGTCTCACACCGGGAGCATGATCTCCGAAAGCTCCAATTTGAGCGAAAAACAACAGAAACCCGCGAAACTGGCCATTCAATCTCCTTCAGGCAAGATCATTCGGTTCACAAGAAAACAGGAGTACGGAGGCAGTAGCAGTGGTAGGGGAGCAGAGGAGGAAGAAGGATTGGGCAGTACGTGGGAGACTGTTATCAAGGTTGGAGAAAGAGGTGTTTACCGAGGTCTTGTATTGGCAGACCGGAGTGCCAGGTGGTGTGTTTTTGCGGAGTGGGAGTGTGTTTGATGCACACAACCACTTTCTTGTTTTCCGCTTTGTTCTCAATCGACATTTCCCTTGGGTTCTGTACTATACATCGGGTTGGAGTTTAATAAAGTTGGAGGATGGGTGTCAACGGATCATCACAGGAGTGTTCGCGCTATTGTGAATTTCTGTACTGTTACAAGGCATAGCGGCTGCTGACTTGCAATCTCATTTCCATTTCCACCATTCGAACATTGTCGTACCGCTGCGTTGATCAAATAGAACTCCTAATTCCAGACTTAGACTGCTCTCATTGTAACAGAATCTTGTCAATGTGATCAGATACATGTTTTCCAAGTTATGGTCAATTTGAGCAGGGTCGCTCCAGCCACCATGTGAACTAATGATCTTCAGCGTGCATGTGCACGTCTTCAATCAAGATTTTCCATGTTGCTTGTCGGTCCAATAACAATCTGCCATCAAATATCTGGAACAATGAAAGAACTTCTCGTCACGTTTGCTCATTGTATTCAGCGGTGCAGCAGTATTACGGAGTATCTGGCTTGTTTCGTCATGCAGTGATCGACAGGAGACGTGGAAAGAGCGTTGCAAAAGTCTATTCTTTGCACCTCTGACGTTCGCAGAGTGAGACAAAAAGAGAACCGCTCAAGCGACGAAAATAGCATCGGTATCGAGCTTGATACATGACAGGCCCGGCAGCGCTTGACGATGGTCTTGTCACTTGTCCCTGATTGAAGCACTCTGCAACAGAGAACGCAAAGAAAATCGATAGACGTGTATCGAAAAGCACGCTTCCTTGGCATATGTAGCACTTGCATATCGAAAGGGCCACAAACAGGCCCGAGAATCCCTGTTACGAGAAGCGTGAACGGACACCCGCATAGGATCGTCATACTCGAGCACAGCAAGCAAAGAATTGTTGAGCCTCGTGTCATTCTGCAATTTTCTCTCTGAGGCTCTACGGAATATAAGAGGCCCTTGATCGCGTTACTGCTGTACTGCTTCTATTGCATCTCTCTACCATATTACTATCGTCCAGTAAACATGCACTTCTCAAAAGCATTCACCTCGCTAGTCCTCAGCGTCAGCGCCGTCACCGCTGCGGTGCTGCCCAGACAAGTTAACAGCACTGGTCTTTCCAACACCACATCCACCAACACAACACTACCACCTGTGTCTCTGGACTCAGATGACTTCATCATCCGCGCTCAACAGCTTAACGACACTTCTATCACCCTGGGTTACATGTATGCCGAATATGCCTATCCTCCAGGCTACTATGCAACTCTGAGACCCTCGAAGAGCGATGCTATCGTGGGCCACTTGACCGACACGACGAATGCCAGCAACAGTAGCCTGGTCTTTGGACATGAGAACCCTCAGGGCTTCGTGCTGTACCCCTTGGTTTCGTATTCCAATGCTTCGATTGCGCAAATCTTCTCGGGTCAGCAGGGAACCAAGGGTGTGTATGTCAATGAAGCTGGGATTGTGGATTGGGCATCTCAGAGGGTGTCTTGGTATGGTGAGTTTTCGATGCTTCTCTTTTCGGTGGTGGATTGAATGCTGACCATATTTTGAATAGCTTGCGACCAGGCTCTCGAGTGGGGCAAAGCTACTGCTATCTGGTATCGCTTGACCAATGTAAGAACGCCTCGCAACTGTGTCGATATTCAGTTGATCGCGGAGTTTATTTCCTCGTAGATGAATTGCAGGCTGGATCTGCAGAATTAGAAGCACCTCGGTATGCGTTACGAATCAATCATGTCTTCATCAATCTCTGTTTCTCGCACATCATTGCTTGTCGCCAACGTGGTTGTCGGTATTGGCGCGAAAATAATTCATGCAGTGGCCTGAGGAGACAGCCATGCCCAAGTCACATCCACTCTGCCGCTAGCTCTAGCCGCAAGTTTGTCAAAGGCTGCCGGAGATACATCAAGGTCTGTAGCCTGGCAGCCAACGCCTATATTCAAGATCAGCACATGTTGTTTGTCTCCATTTTTTCGTTGGCAATGCTCACATCGATCGACGACCTTCAAATCAACGCTTCTTCTTTCTCCAACCTGCTCATCGTATCTCGATGCTCTCAGCTTCAGACCACACAGCGGGTTCTGATTGGGATCGGAGCTCTTGGATGCCTCGTCAAAGACGTAGTGAGACACGGCAACGATCATGTCGCTATCAGAAGATGAAATGCCACAGCTTCCTAGGCCCGTGCCATAATAAGTAAGGTCTCCTACATGCTGTTCGCTATTTGTTGGCAATGGTAGATTTTGACCGCTACAGGATGTCAGCAATTGCGATTAGACTTTGGCAGATGGTCAATTTACCCTTTCGAATGCCTAGTCAAGCCAACAGCTAGACCAATGATGAGAGCCAGTAATGCTAGAAGTGTACAGGCAAGAACGATGAGGAGAGTGCGTCGCTTGAGGCCAAAATACGATCGTGATTTGGGGAGGATGGCATTGAATTTTTCCTGCAATACTGCCTTCGCAGCAGGACGATTCTTTGAATGTGATGTTGTGACTTCAGCTTTGTGTGTCTGCACGGCATTGGAGTCCCACTCGGGTATGATTGTGGTCGGTTCCGCAAGCGGCTGCTGCGGGGCCGTTGACGCGGGCGCCTGTGTCGACATTTTGATGTCTCTTCTTACTTCTCTCCAAATCGATCCGAATCGTGATACAGGCAGGAAACGCGTAGAGGCACGTGTGGTTTTTGTGTAATGGCCAAGATGGGTTGACGAGGGGCATTTGATTGGCGCTCTATTGCGCTCGTCTCGTGACCCCTTAATCTTAAGACATTTCGGTTGGTGGCGTTGCTGCTCACCACAGGCCAACCCTCACATTCAGTTACCTGAGTCTCCAGCTTGCAATCACTACTGGCAATGGCTCTGTCTGGTACGCTCATGAGAGCTGGAGGGATAGAAACTGTGCTGTCGCTCTCTGAAGTTGGGTTCATCTTGCCGAAGCAGACTGGTCTTCAAGCAATCGATAGGTATGTCCACTCATGACTGACTCAGGAAAGCGACGACTGTAGTATTACCTTGATGTACTCTGAGAGTTTCGACAAGTCTGGGTCGAGAAACTCGACAGATCGTCACCCAAGGTATCTGGTACAGTACGAGTGGGGTATTGCCTTCTAACTTCAGAAGACTGGACTAGAAGATGTTGGTACTCGTAAACGTGTAGATAGGTGGGTAATCGAAGGCACTCAGGAGTCCAGCAGCTCAAGCTTCGCGAGCGGCACACAAGGAAGGCACGACCTGGCTGGTCTTTCCAGCTGCAGTCACGAACAGGACACGATCTTCTGTTGCCTAAATGAAGAATGTGACAACGCGCATTCTTCTCTGCGTACACCTAGATTCCTTTCATACCGTCATCGGATGCTGGCACGCTATTGAAATCTGTTTTTCATCTCCCCTAACTTGAAAGACAATGCCTTACTACGACTACGTTGACGACAAGCGAACCTTCCAACGCGGCATCTTCTCATTATTCGCAGTGGTACTTGCAGGCCTGTGCTTTGCCAATCCCGGTGGCATCTTCAGGTCAGAAAAGAAGTACGAGCCCCCTAGCCCCAGCAGGCAATGGCCTCGCAATCGCAGAAGCCTGTCCGAGTTGGACTCGTCGAGCAGCAACAGCAGCAGCCAGAGCAGCCTGGACGAACCTCTTCCCCCGACAAGAGCTCACCATCACACCTCTTCGCGGGATGGAATGAGGGCTCGTTATCCCTACCCTGCGGATCAGGACTACGCCCTCCACACCCACCATCACCACAGCCATCACCAAAGACACAACTCGCCTCAATCAACCCTTTCGAGAGCAGACGACCCCTTCGCTTGGGAGAACACTCTCAAGGGGCTCTGAGGCTCCCAACCGCTGCTCCAGCCGACGACAGCTTCTTTGCTTTGCCCAAGAATAACACCTCAGATGAACATGCATTATCCAGAACTCCAACTATTGAGTACGAGCATAAGTCACTCACCTCAGCTGAGTACGATGGACTGACATCTACTAGATTACACCCTGCACAACATAAACCAGCATCGACTAATGCTGTGCCAACACCAACACCCTCTTCCAGTGATAAGTGGTCGTCCTCAGAGGCCAGCAGCTATGCTCATGTTCTGCAAAGAGAGCGCGTCACGAAAAAGAACTTCAAAAAAGTCATGGTAGCTCCTCCGCATCTCTCGCTACCAAGTTCATCTTGTCCAGCTCCACCTCGCAACATTGTATCTTCACCTGCCATCATCATGCAATCAGCTCCACCCAGTCCTAACTTTCAACCTCCTCTCAAATCCATGACTTTCTCCGAAGCATTCAATGAACCCCGCAACGCGTCCCCGCACCGTCAAGACGCTACCCATCAGCATATCTCTTTCTACAACTCGAAAATCAAGAATCGTCGTGCGAAGGCTTCTATCACACCGGGACACGCTGTTGATACTTCAAGCCGCAAGACTTCCATCAGTAGCCCTTCAAGAGGTCACCATAGAAGTCTAGCATATGGAAACGCTAGACCTCGCATGACCACACGAACCAAGTCAAGCGACTCCATACCTAGACAAGGCACTCGACAAAGACCCGACAATCCCGGAGATCCAGTCTCTTTTGTCAGCACAGTGGGCTCAATTGCGGATCCCATGGCACAAGAACCAGAAACGAAGCCTGCGCCCCCTCAACCTGAAGAAGAAGCACCGAAGCAAGAATTCCTGCGAGTGTTGACCGTACACAGCATCGTGCAAGCTCCAATAAAAAGAGAGGCCACTAGAGTGCTGGATGCTGAAAGTCCATACCGACGTCAATCGAAACAGTTCTCAGTCATGTCAAGGTCACCCTCGCCTGGATTGCGTTGCTTTGGTCTACTCCACCGGGTGTCCCGTCGAAGAAGAAGAAACACGCACGCGTCTATCCAAACTGCATACACAGGCAAAAGCGTCGCTCCCAAACGCAAGGACTCGTATGTCGGGGCCGATGGACGAGAGTACATACATCGACCAATACCTGGATTGAGCTTCTTGCCGTCTAAAATGCAGCGAGTCAACACACCTCCAGTAGGCAGGGGAACGCAGAGCTCGAACTCAAGGTCACGAGGATTCTTTTTCGATTACACCAACCCTCCAGGTACAGGCGAGGAAGCAGAGATACGACGAGATTCTGTCGCAGGATCGACAGAACTGAGAAGAAAGCCGAGCTCTCCATAGGAGGTGAAGCAGAATCGAGAGCACGATGGGAAAGAGGGCAACAAGGCGCCAGATTATTTCTCACAAAAGATGAAGCAAGTGGAGATGGAAGCAGAAAATGAGGAGCAAGAGGTTGCCAGTGATGTGCCGGAGCATCTGCCTAGCAGCCCGCTTTGTCCTCTTCACCCTAAAAACTCGATACATGGACAGTTGCTTTGTCCGATACATGGCAGAGGAAGCATTGTGGCAGGAAGGCGGCCGAGCAAGGATGGAAGGACAACGATGGTCGAAAACACGCTGGCTTGATGAATGAGATGGCTCGATCAAAAATGAGTGGCTCCTGTGTCTAGATGAGCGAGTGATGGTATCGTTAAGCTTCAGTATAAGCAATGGAACAAGAATATCAATACACTCTTCTGAAACGAAAGATTGAGGAAGTGACATTGTTAGAGAGAAAGTGAATGCCAAGGCGCGGCTAACCTTCCGCGTTCGAAGCCGGACTTGAATACCATCAAGCTGGCCAACCACCGAGACACGATTTGATCATTTTGACCAAAACGTACCATCAACATGAGCGCAAGTGACAACGATGCGTTGAACCTGTTCCGGACGAGTCTGGCAGCCTCATCCCCGCCTTTACCGACACGCAGCGCCGATGCCTCAGCAGCCAGCGATGTTGCGCCTTTGACTGATGCATCCCACCTACTCTTCAACACACAATCAGCTGCCGACGGAGCTCAACACACTGCGCTCCCATTGACGACAGCAACGCGGTTCGTCTCGCAGACCAATGGCGCCCTTGATCTGGCTAGTATCTTCTGGTGTTGGCAGAACAAGGACAAGAGCACTGGAGACTACATCGCTGCAACTCAGGAGCTCAACACGGCGCGTACATCCAACGGCCTCAGCGAAGTGCGCAACTTGGTCTTTGCCGAGAAGCTTGACTTGATCAACTGGTTGTCTGGTGAAAATGACAGCGAGTTCATCAAGAGCCTGGACGACAATCGTCAGACGCGTGCCCAGGCCCACGATGCCGCAAAGATGGCCAGCGGAGACGGCGATGTGGTCATGCAAGACGCGAGGGCCGAAGACGACAAGCTACGCGACATTTACGCTCTAGAGCGCAAGACGGGCGACCGCAACTCGATTCTGAGAGGCAGCAAGCCTACGGTACGTCCTCGATGCGCCTCTTCAACCTGAACAGCCATACTGATTTGATGCTATAGGATTTCTCACATGTGCGCAAGTATGCTGAGGCATTTTTGGGTCGCTCCAAGGCATCGGCTCCAACTCCTGCTCTCATTACGCCAGCTCCCGCCATTCGTCCTGCAAAGCCATCCAGCGGCCGTCGCCCCGAGCCCATTATCCTTCTCTCCCCATCAGCGTCCTCACTCCTTCGCCTGTCAAACGTGAAGTCTTTCCTCATGGACGGCGTCTATACTCCTCCTACCTCCACTACTTCGACCACCCTGAACATCCTCCACGTCAATCGCGTCATGCCATCCATAGAACCTACTCGCCCTCTGCGTTTCATCCTCGTCGAGTCGCCTGATAACTTCAAACCCGACTACTGGAACCGCGTTGTTGCCGTCTTCACGACTGGTCAGGCGTGGCAGTTCAAGGGTTACAAGTGGAGTCAACCTGCAGAGCTCTTTAGCCATGCCCTGGGTGTCTACGTTGGTTGGCGTAATGAGCTTCTGCCGGATACCATCAAGGGATGGGGCAGAGGTGTGCTGAACGTTGGCATTGACGCATATCGTGAGGGTCAGACTGCTCAACAAAGATGGAGAGATCGTGAAACGGTGGAAGAGATCTGGAGTGCTATTGAGGCCTCTATGAGAGCCCGCGGCTTCAACAGAGAGACAAGGTAGTCTTGCGTCTCCGATCGTGTAGCTTTTGTTTTGTCGTGCGTTCAAGCGAGGTCTTTGGTTCATCATCAGTACGCCGGGAGGGGAAAACCGGGAGAAAAAGCATCAACGGAAGGCAATGGTAAATTTGGTCGTAGCAGCTATGATATACCTTCTTAAACTCACGAAAGCCATAACCTCAGGCATTTGCTGCCATTTACTGCCTTTCCGAGTACAAGAGTATGTAACGCGTGTCGCTATAGAAATGCACGATACTAACAGGAAACGGGATAGTGCCCACTGAGAAATGACGAGATATCGCCTCTCTATGGACATGACTTTTCTTCCTTGAACAATTGTGCCCTTTTATAGTGTGTATCTTGCTCTTTACTATACTCGGAGCTTGATGGAAGTCATAAACTTCAGCACACAGGGAGGTGAGCACTAAGTGACAGAATTTTGAGCGATCCGCTCTCGATATCTGGTGACTCGTCCATCAGAAGGAGGTGAAAAAGTTCTTGACTTCCTACCTTACTTATCAGAGCAGCGATATGTTGTAATATTTTTCACAGCTACAACAACTTTAGGCTCGACCATCATCGCTCTTCAACTCCTTGAACAAATTCTTCGAGTGCCTGCTCCTTACGCCTTCATTTTCTCTTCACATTATTGATCTCTCAACTGACTAACACTTCACACCCAATTCTAAAGAATGAGACGGCATTGCCGAGGAATTCTAGTGTTCGAACTGGTCATTCATCCATAAGTTTGGTCTGACCGCATTTTTTACTCCGCTAGCAATAGTGACCCGTCAACGCGCACGTTCATACCTGGAGTCCTCACTGGTTGATATAGACCGCAGACGTCTTTCGCGAACCCAGCGAATCGGCTCTGCCACTCACCAACGATATCTTTACTCTGGTCGGCTTCGTTTCTTTCTCCCGACCTCTAGGACATCTTCTAGTAGCTTCTCACCTACCTTGAGCGGAGTACGGTCCCTGGACACAAGGCATATCGTCTACCACGTTTTGCAGTGAGATACCACATTCTCTGTAATCATGACACGCCTTGAGATACCTTTCGATGAAGAGGATGTTTCCCAGTGGACATATATGAGCGTTAGATCCCATGTGGAGAGCGCCAAAAAGAAACTGAAGGCTTTCTATCTGAACTTCTTTGGCTGGTCAGAAGAAGAGTACCAGGAAGCAAAAGGACATACTTCTGGTGAGATCCTCAAGTACTTTGATCGATCTAAGAAGTTTCCTACTACTGGACGTGAGGCCAGACTACGACACACAGTACAAACGAATTTAGTTCGAGACTGGCCCGATCTATTCGTCAATAGACACGGTCCAAATCCTCCTGCTTGGTTTGACATGGAGCTTGTTAGCCGGCCTCCCACAAACACGGAGATATACAACTCGAAGAACGTGGTTCAGCAGTTCATTGCGCTTACCCGACACTCAAGTCATATTACTCGTCAGTATCAATCAAAGCGTAAAAGGTATGCAGACGAGGATGATGACGATAATAATGATGACGACAATCCAAACAACGACGACGATGCCAACGGAAACCGGTTGCGGAACAAGCAGCCACGAACTTCCTGGCTAGACAGAACCACCTCATTCCCAACCATCACCTCTTTATCCGTGGCTCCACGCCAGCCTACTACAAGCGTAGACTCTCGCGTGGGAGGCAACAGACTGGCACATGGAAGCTGCTCATACTCTAGTGGACAAGACAACTCTTCCACTAGTGCTGCCGCTGAGCAAGCTAGCAATACCGGAGTGAAAACCACGGTCCGCCTCGTTCTCTACATGACGCGTGTCACAATCGTCAACCAGAGCCTCCATCTAGAACGCGATAGATTCGCTCTCGTCGACAACCTTTTTGAGAATGATCACCTTGTAGAGCCACGTCTCCATGAACTCGTCTTTGGCAACCCCATGGATAATAAGCCCACATTTCTTTGGTTCTTTGACGACACTTCTGATGACGAACCGCGAAGCATAAGAAATAGACCCAGCGCTGAAACAGCGATCGTCATGCTGAGAGCGTGGGCGGAAAGACTGGGAGCTAGCGGCATACAAATATTTGATGCTCTCGATTATGACACAGCAGCATTGGTGCCTGCTCATGAGGTCACTCGTAGAGACAAATTTGTGCAGCGAGCAAGCTTTGAACTGGAACTCGAAGACAATGGCGACCTTGACGATGACAACGAGGACGACGGAGGAGCGGAGAGAGGATTTGAAGCAGCTGCTGCTGATAGGTCAAGAGACCTAGATCTTCAGTGCGAAGATGAGGCTATCCAGGGAGCACCAGACAGTGAACCCAACAAGCAACAGTATCAGCAGCAGGTCAAGATGGAGAATGAAAGTGAGTCTGAGGAAGAATGAGAAAGCACATGTAGCTTCTGCAGACGAGACACGGGCGAATGGCTCTGCTTTGAACGCAGGGTTCGAGGACAGTGATTTGCTCCAAGGCTCGACTCGACCAGATAACAAGGTGTAGACTATGTCAAAAGGTTTCCTGGCTCATAATCAATTTTGCCTGCTAAGTTTTGAGGAGTAAGGGTGATCCAAGCGGTGTTGTGTAATCTGATAATCCTCTCTGTTTCAAGGAATATCTCTATCTACCAATTTGCTGGTCCCTTGTTACGAGAAGAAAAAGAAAAAAGGAAAAAAAAGGGAAAAGCGATCTGCGACCAACATCCGCTACGGACATTTTCCCTAGTTTGGCCGAGCCGTCAACACTCGTACGGTTTGTCAGCGACGATGATACCATCACTTTTACATCTGACTTCTGTTAGCACTTCCGTGATTGCTGTCTCTCAGCGATGCTCATACAGAGTGGAAAATTGCGGTTCGCGGCCCACCTGATAATCCTTTTCCGAGAAAGCGAAATCTCGACAATAACTTGACCGCGCCTTATCTCTCTGATTCTGGACAGTTTTGTGAACATGACAAACAACAAATCTGACTCTACTACGAAAGAGAAGGATACAAACTCAACGGAAGACAAGTCAATCCGAGAACCAATATCTCAGGAATTAGACAATTCACCTCAGCACGAACCCACTTTCGAAAAAGCAATACCTTACGATAACACTGTTCTTGGAGAACAACCCTCATCAAACAATGACACTGTTTTTGGAGAACAAGACCTATCAAGCGATGACAATGATCTGGAAAAGTACCCAGAAGGAGGCCTTCAGGCTTGGTTGGTGGTTCTCGGATCCTGGTGCGCCATGACTGCAGGAATGGGCCTTCTCAATACCTTAGGCACGCTTCATGCCTGGATCAGCACTCATCAACTGTCTTCTTACTCTTCTTCCTCTGTGGGTTGGATATTTTCAACATTTCCATTCTTTCTGTACTTTGCAGGTGTCCAGATCGGTCCGTTGTTTGATGTTTACGGCCCTAGGGTGCTAGTGATGACCGGAAGTATTGGACTAGTGGTGGCTTTGATGACGCTCAGTGTGAGCACAGAGTACTACCAGATCATTTTGTCATTTGGTGTTCTTGGTGGCTTGAGTACTTGTTGTCTTTTCACCACTGCTGTCTCCGCTATTGGCCACTGGTTCCATGCTAGAAGAGGCTTTGCAATGGGCATTGCATGTACAGCTGGTGGAACGGGTGGTCTTGCCTTTTCCCTCATCATTCTCTTTCTCGCGCCTAAGATTGGATTCGGCTGGGCAATTCGTATCATCGGTTTCATCAGTGCAGCACTCTGTGCAGTTGCATGTCTGTTCCTTCGCAGCCGGTTACCTCCTAACAAGACCAAGGGCGCTAAGATCGATATCCTCGCGCTTAAAGATCCGCCTTATGCTGCTACGACTGTTGCTATTTTCCTCGTCGAGTTTGCAGTCTTTATTCCGTACACTTTCCTGGTTGATCAAGCGCTGGATGCAGGTATGAAGCAGAAGTTGGCATACGCCCTCATCCCAATCCTCAATGCTGCTGCTATACCTGGCCGCTTGCTGCCTGGTTACATTGCCGACCGCTACGGACGCCTCAACACCATGACCGTCACAGCAGTGATTTGCTGTCTTTTGACGTTCCTCCTCTGGCTGATCGGCTCCTCTTCTCACGCAGCCATCATTGCATACACGGTGCTTTTTGGCTTCTGGTCTGGCGCAGCTATTTCCTTGACTCCAGTTTGTATTCAACAAGTTTGCAAGACCGAAGATATTGGAAAGAGGACGGGAACGACATTTACGATCAGCAGTTTTGGAACTCTGATCGGTATTCCTATCGCTGGTGCTATCTTGGGAACAGGGCCAAGGCAGGATTACAATGGGCTGATTATTCTTGCCGGGGCGTCATATGTAGCTGCAAGTGCAGCTTTTGTGGTTGCTAGAGGTTTGACTGGTGGGTGGGGGATGAGGGTCATTATCTAGGCAGGATCGAAATTGACATACCGACTAGCATTGCATTGTTGAATCTGATCACTCTCCTAGAGTTTTAGTACGGCCAGACTTGTCTCGCTAGAATGACCTCAAAACCACTGCAGAGGAAAGCAACATGTATACATGATATGTTATTTGGATATCTCTGGTGTTTGTCGTATATAGGCGTATATTAATTTACAATTGGTTTGCATCTCTATCGCATGGTCACCAGCTCCTCGGCAGATGTAGGGTGAATAGCAACACAGCTGTCAAAGTCAGCCTTGGTGGCACCCATCTTGATGGCAACACCGAAGCCCTGCAGGATCTCGTCACTGCCCTGGCCGAGGATGTGCAGACCGACGACTCTCTCGTTAGGACCCTCACAGATGAGCTTGTAGGCGGTAGGGCCCTTGTCCTCGGGCTCCATCATAGCGTAGTACATGGCAGTGAAGCTGGAAGTGTAGATCTTGATAGATTCACCGAACTTCTCGCGAGCCTCGGGCTCGGTAAGACCGATACTGCCAACAGTGGGGTGAGAGAAGACGACCGAAGGGACGTTGGTGTAGTCGAGGTGAGCGTCCTTCTTGCCACCGAATAGACGGTCTCCAAGACGACGGCCAGCGGCGATCGCGACAGGAGTCAGTTCCATACCGGCGTTGCAGACGTCACCCAAGGCGTAGATGCCGTCAACGTTGGTGTTCTGGTACTTGTCGACCTTGATGTGGTTCTTATCATCAAGCTCAACGCCGGTAGCTTCCAGGTTGAGCTTCTCAATCTCAGGTGTACGACCGATGGCCCACAGAACGCAGTCAACATCCATGGTATTCTCGCCCTCCGAATCTTTGTAGTGAAGCTTCTTCCAGCCATTACCCAGATCCTCGAGCTTGCTCTGCGAGCTGTTGATGTGGATGTGGAGACCCTGACGCTTGTACTCTTCCATGATCTTGTCCTGAATCATGGGGTCGAAAGTGCGCAGGAACTTGTCATGACGGATGAACAGGTGGGTCTCGGTTCCAAGGTGGTGGAACATGCCAGCCATTTCAACAGCAATGTAACCAGCACCGACGACTGCGACCTTCTTGGGCTGCTTCTCGAGCTCGAAGAAGCCGTCACTGTTGATACCAAGCTCGGCACCCTCGACGTCAATTGTGCTGGGGCGGCCACCGACGGCGATAAGAATCTTCTTTGCGCGGACCTGTTGTTCTTGACCATCCTGACCAACGACTTTGACGACATCCTTGGAGACGAAAGAGGCAGTTCCGTTGAGGTATTCGACCTTGTCGTTCTTGAGGTTCTTCTCGTAGATTCCGTTCAGACGCTTCACGTAGGCGTCACGCTTGTGCTTGAAGGTGGTCCAGTCAAAAGGAGCGGTCTCCTGGATAGAAAAGCCGTATGCCTTGGCTTCGTGGATGGTTTCTTGAATGGCGGCGGCGTTCCAGGTGACCTTCTTGGGCACACATCTATGGGGGTGGGTCAGAGGAATAATTGTAGTGATTGAGAGGATGCGACGTACCCGACGTTGACACAGGTACCGCCCAGTCTGGAGTTCTCGACGGCAATGGTCTTCATACCATACATACCACTGGCTCTTCTGGCAGCGGCGAGACCACCGCTACCGATACCGAGGACGAGGAAGTCACATTCTTTAGGAGTAGGAGCCATGATTGGGCGAGAGGTGGAAAATTGACGGGACAGGTTGTTTAGTCTTGAAGAGGCCGTCGGTATGGTGTGGAATAACCGCGGGGAAGAGGTGAAGGCGCGCATATAACCTTTGTCGCAAAGCAGAGAGTGATGACGAGGGGCAACGGATGGAAGGTTGATGTGAAATAGAAAATACACAAGCTTTGCTTACGTCAATCACTCAAGAACGCCACCAATGAACGATGGCCGGCAGACGTGGGATGCGAGATTGATAAAAGTCTGGGGCTTGGGCAAAGCAGAGGAAGGATGACAAAGCTTGGTTGAGTGCTTGATTTCCAATACACGATGATCAGAAGGGTCTGTTTCTCAGCTAATCATGTCGAATCGAGCCGACAAAGAACTGGAAGGTGCCAGGCGTGCCTCAGGCAGCAAGTTGCCCCTCGTGAGCCACGGCTTCTAAACCTAGATGCCGTCGGTGCACGGACGATCGTGCATATCACGAGCATCATGATCAAGCCGGCCAGTCCAAGCTATCACCCCACCTGCGTGTGCAGCTCTGTTTCTTCCTCCATGTGACGAAAATCCATCTCTGTAAGCGACAAACACACCAACCATGGGCGGCAGACTGTCCGTTCCAAAAGGGCCTGCGGGTACCACCGAAATGAGCCACCCTAGAGCCTCGCCCTACCCTCGTCGCAAACTGCCTTTCAACTCGCGGACCATCATTGCTCCCGCCGCTGCCTTCACAATGGCTTGCATACTCTTCGTCTACACAAGAACCTCAATCCGCGCCGCCAAAGCAAATGCCCAGAGACATCGCGATGCCGACAGTGGTGGTGAAGGTCTCGATCTACTGGCCGAGAGCAGGAGAAGACATGGTCGTGCTGAGAAGCTAGACCAGGGTGGTGGTACTCTATCCGAGCTAGCACATGGTGCTAGAGAGCAGTTCTTGGGCTCCTCTAAGTCTGCTTCTCAGCCTGAAAAGTTGAAGGGTCGCTCGCCAATCTCTGAGAACGAGGAGAAGCTGAGAGCTGCCATGGGCAAGAAGAGCGATGATTCCGCATCATGAAGCCTACATCACAACTTCTGTTCTGTCAAACTTTACCGTTTTTCAGAATCAATGTATTCTCGAAGCCTTGCGCGATTCTGCTCCCAGAGAGCAAACGTCACTGCCTGCACAAGACAGTCTGCCAGATCATCTAGTTTACCAGAAATGGCCGATGCATCTTTGGTTTCAACCTCTTGTTCTTGCTCCCCGTCTTTGCTTCGCCGGCGACTTGGTCGTTCTCTAGGCGAACAGAACGAAGCAACCATCGAAGCAAGGTCTGCATCAACCATCAGCTCGTCCGTAGTCAGCGCAAGCGAAAGCCAGTGTCGGGCCAATGCAATCTTGTCCTTCTTCTCGAATGACTTCTTTTTGATTTCTGTCTCCACAGTCTTTGCCGTGTCCTGAGAAACCATGAGTGACGCAGCTATGTCTGCAGGTGCTGGAAAGAAGTCTCCCCGAGTCAGCCAAAACATGCCAACTCGTCGAGGGCTCATCTCCAGGACGTTGGGGAAAGTGCTTCCTTGCGCAACTTGTGTCTCATGGTGACCACGTCGCATTGTCTCCAGTGATGCCCATAGCATGCTCTCCAGCATGTTCACCCGAACTGTCCATTCTTGTATAGCTGGTCCACCACCTGACCGAAACCTCTGCCGTTCTATCAGAATGTAATCAGGTTTGTATTGCAGAAACTCAGAAGCTAGACCAAACGCAATTTTGGACAGAGAGGAGGGCGCATACAGATTTGAGCCTTCATCAGGAGTCATCTCAGTCGCTTCCAATTCTTCAGCCTTGCCAACGCGATTTTCGAATATCCGTGATACTGTTGCTATTTGAGAATTTGTATGTCGAGCCACAAGCCTCTCTGACACATCCAGGCGTTTCCAGTCTGAGAGGTGTAAAGACAACGTTCTATCGCCGTTGTCGGCATTGATTGGCTCAGAACCTTGAGGCAACCTATGTAGATCCAGTAGGCAGAAGGCGAGATTCTTGACTCCCATGTCTATGCTGAGGATTCTGCATCGGGGACCAGGGAGGGTAGGCTTCCTCGTACAGTCTACCAGTGTTTTACATAAATGCGCTTTTGTTCCTGTAGAATTGAGTCCAGTAAGGAATGCCAGGTGTTTGAGTTGCCATGCTTTAAGGGCGGATAAGAAAGCGACAGGATTGGCCTTGGTCATGTTTGTGGAGGAAAGGTGTTGTTCATGTTATCAGAATAAAACACCGACTCCGCGTCAAAGCTCAAGGCCAACCAGTCAAGAACGTATTCCTAAGAAACATGCCTGGCTGTACATAACTCGAACCGCCTAGCTCATGGCGATGCAAAAGGCGTGAGACTGCCCCTCAATTATACCTGCGAAACAAGATGTCGATAGAAGCAAAACAAAAAGGCCTCAACCCGGGATTGAACCGGGGACCTCCTGCAATTTAGATAAGCCCAAAGCAGGAATCATACCGCTAGACCATTAAGGCAACTTAGCATAACTGATCAAATTCTTCCATCGATAACTCTTAGATGTTGTCATGCTACTAACGACCTTCGAATCCGCGTCTCAGCTGACACGATGTCCTGGCTATCACGGCAACAACCAGCCTTGCTGATTCAAGCAGTCATCCATCCCGAGAACCTGACAATGTGTGCTCGCGTATATAAGCATGTCCCTCGTTCCTTGTAGATCTGGGTCGTGAACTGATACACTCATTGTTGAGCTTCATCAGAAGATGGCAGACCAGCACAGCGAAAACACAGGCCCCGACAACAGATCACAAATGCAGTCTAAGGTTGAGCTACAACGACGAGATAGTTCAGCTGCCATGAAAACTACTCTACCGTCTTACGATGAGTCGCTAGCCTTAGGCACCCCACCTGCATATCAATCTAGTCAACCCAAGAAGAAACCAAAACCTCAAGAGCTCACAGCAGGAGCTTCTGCAGCCACGATTAGAGCAATAATGGGCGATCCTATTCCTGAGGAGCCGAGACGAAGTTTGCGAGATCGACTTCTTATCCGGGGGCCGACATACAATCATCGTCGTCCTTCTTCTGAGCGATCACGACGATCACGAGAGAGCTGTGCAACGTGGAACATTTGGGGGTCGCCAATCTCCGATTCCAACAAGTGAACAGAATTTTCTGATGACTGAGGGATTTATGCAGCAAACACCTTCGTGGAGTATTGTGATGCGCAGGCTGATTGCAGATCCAGCCATGATCTCGACACTGCGCTCAAAGCTGGCCAGCCACCTGGACTCCTACATGCTCACCGCTGACTACTGCCACAAGCTCACCATCATGTATCTGTTCGTTGGCAGAAAGGGACGCAATCGTAGCCTGATCCTCAATGGCATCGTCGTCAAGTATCCAGATAGCATCGTACCTTTGGAAGCGAAAGGATCTGAACGTGAAGCATACCTCGCAGTCACCGCTCGTGTTGCATAAAAACAGCAGACTTGGAACGACCCAGACATAGGAGATGAGGAAGGCGATATCAAGGCTCTTCCGCACTCCGAGTTGGGATATCTGACTCTCCAGAGCGCAATGAAGAGTTTGCAGCAGTTGAAGGACACTCTAAAGGGTAAGGTTGTGGAGTTGTAAGCGACTGGAGGAGGCATCGGCTTGAAATAGATTGCAAAACTATTGTATCAACAGAGACAGATGTAATAGGCGTGATCGTTTGAAATTGTCATGACGTCTAATTGAAGTAAAGCAATGCTAAGGTATCATGGAAGAAAGTTGACCAAGAAGATTATATACAAATGTCAAAGGGAAACCACAACTTTTCGACCTAAACAGAACCACGAATGTACAAGAATTCCTTGTACTTGTTGGCAGTCAACCTGCGAGTAGCCTTGCCGAACCACATCATAAGAATCGTACCGAGGAACATAACGCCAAAGCTAACACATCCAAGAGTGACAAAAACCTGCGTCAAGCTGTGGGCATCAAGCCAGATCGAGCAAACAAAGGTAAAGATGCAAGCAAGTGAGTTGTTGTAGACGGCAACACCAACCATGCCTTCCAGGACAGCATCAGGGTAGCAGTCCATGAGGTAAGCCATAGTCAGATCGCCTCCGCATCCGAAGCCAAAGCCGATGAAGCCTAGAGCAACATAAGGTACTGGCCACGGCCAGACGCGCTGAGTTCCCATGCCGAAGAGGATGAGGCCAATGGGTGAGATGATGGCGGGTAGGTACATAAGCCAAAGGCGATCTTCAGCCTCAGAGACATTGTTGCGACGTTTTGCCATCCATCGCACGAATACATCAGAGAACCAACCTCCGTACACACAGCCAATAATGGAGCCGATGAGAGTTGGGATACACATGATAGCATCCGCGCGATCTCCATAGTTGTAGGGTGCAGAAGTCCAGTTGTCGTCCTCGACGGTCATGTAGAAGGAAAGGAAAGCATCTTGCATACCCCATTGCAGACCGGAGTAGATGACGGCTGGGAAGTAGAAGATACGCAAGGTGTGGAATGTACGACGCATGTATTGTTTAAATCCGGTTCCGATCAACGTGGGTGAAGGAGTGATGAGAGCAATGCGCTGCCAGTAAGACTTTGGCACCAAATCGTTTCCATTAGGAATCAAATTGCCTTTCCTCGGTTGATGATCACTGTTGGTTCCGTCGCTAATGATAACGGATGTAGGATCAGCGACCGTCTTCTTCTCACCAGACATGTCGGTCTCGGCGGAGCTTCGTCCAGTGGCCAAACCATCCAGAATACTGTCGCGGTCAAAAGCGGTCTCCTCCAATGTAAAGTAGAAAACAACAAGAGTGCAGCCCGAGATGATCAACGCGAACCAGCCCATCCAGCGCCAACCAAGAGGACTGTCGGCGATAAAGCCAGAGATCATAGGTCCAAGGAAGGTACCAACGGAGGTCGCAAGCACATACACTCCCAGAACAGAGCCACGCTGGTGCTGGAACGTGACATCAGACAACGAGAGCTGTGCAGTGGCCTCTGCAACAGACTCAGAAATTCCCAGGAACAACTGGCAGAGAATAGTGTCCGCCTTGCTGTCAGATCGAGCAAACCAGGCGCTGCCAATGATAGACGCGAGCAGACAGACGATGTATGAGATACGTCTGCCGTACAACCAATTGGCAGAAGACAATGCCAGACATGAGTAGCCTATACCCAGGAACAGCACACCAGCAGCAGTGTTTTGGACGCCCCACCCAATTCCATAATCATCGACCAACGCTGTACCTGCAGCACCGGCACTGTTGGATGTGGCTGCAGTCAGGGCAGTGATGTACAATACTAGAGCAGCCGACCACATTCTTCGCCAATAGCTCCAGTTCAACGGATCATTAGGCGATTCCGTGGGCTGAGGAAGCAGTAGAATCTTGTCCGAGGATGTCGAGTCCGAGTCAGCGAACAATCGGATGGTGCCCGCAAGCTCCTCATGGGTGGAGTTGATGCGATCCATCGTACGGGATTATCTCCTCTGTCAGGTAGCAATTCCAGTACCTATGCTACAAATTGCTGTTGTTTGTCCTGAGAGCAGGTTCCAGAAGAAAATAATCAACTCTCACGTCGCTGTACCGCGTGGAGTCGCAGGTTTATCAAGCCGTCGGGTCTTTTTGTGGCAATTCCAGAAGGTGTTATCGGTGACCTGTGATTTGCTGGGTCCAGTTGTCCGCGGTTCAATGCAGGTAGGATCGAAAAGTATTAACAGATAATTGAGTTACAAACAACCAGGTACAAGGGTGTTATTGAATGCCCTTGACGTATCCGAATGCTGCATGCATCATTTCAACACAGGGGAGACCATTAGGTGCGACGGTGAGTCCAAAGAAGAGGAAGTAGGCACTGGTTGAGGAAAAATTGTGTCGCGTGTCAGCCTCGCGAATTGCCGGGAATAACTCTACGTGGCGACCACGTTGCAGACCGTGCGTCATTGCACATGCTCTGGATCGTGGATGTCTATCAGTTTTGAAGAATATTGCAATGCCACGCTTCCATCAATGCATGTTCAAAGCTCATAATGGTCGTGTACAGCTGGCTGAAGGGGATACGGACTTGATTGTTCCTCAAGATTTTGGTTTCATGGACCTTTTAAGCATACCGCAGAAGCTCTCAAAGAGGATATTATCCTTCCCTTGAAGCCAGTAAACTTCCATGTCGCCCTCTCCAACATCGATGCTGAACCTCAACGAGACCTCAGCAGGATCTCCAGTCTTGAGTGCTTCAGATTGAACTTGTGCTTCTCGATCATCCTCCTGTTCCATCTCCACTCTCTTACGCTTACGTCTTGCCGAACGTGACCATACATTCTGAGTAGCCGTCCCATGACCAACCCACTTTTCAGCTCGCCATTCCCATTTCAAGCCGAGCGCTTCCAGGGTATTATTGAGCAAATCAGCCGCTTCCTGCCTGGTAAATCCGATCGTGTGGATAGTCTGAGCTGTTGGATAGGCCAGAATATGAGCGCCAATATCACTGCCCCTAGCGACCCACTGTTTCGATTAGTATCTTGTCTACGATCAAGAGGTGACTGGTTGCTCACATTGCTTGGCCTTCTGTCTCCATAACTCCAACCTACAGCCCATCTTCGGGTCTTGTTTCCTGCTCGAAGCAGCGTAACGGCCCAGTTGTGGATGCCAATTTCCTTCAACCGATCGATGACTTGATGCACACTAGAAAGCTTTCCAAGCATGCTCGTATACCACCTTACAGTGTCCTTCAACTCTCTGCTCTCTTCAACCATGCGCAGCACGAATCCAGCATCGCCGCCTGGACAAATCATCTCAACTTCCGCACCAGTGCAGACGGCACTGGGTGGGCCAGACTTTCCAGCGCTTGAGACTGCCAAGTCTTCAGCGCTTGAGTAGAAGGGTGGATTACACATAGTGAAATCGAGCTTATCATGTCCGAATGCGCGAGGTGAGATCAAAGTGTCTTCTGCGGTGTTCAGTTTGATCCGGATCCTCTCGCTTAATCTGTTCCTCTCGATGTTTTCATTGGCATATGAGAAGTTTTGAGGATCGATGTCAGTACCGAGCATGTTCCAAGATGGCCGTGAGGAACAAGCTAGTAGGCTGTAAATGCATGATGCACCAATTCCACTGTTGGTAGAGTCAGCTCTACTGAGCTTGTTATGTGCTGGTTCTTTGACAGAGTACCCACATATCTAACCCAGTGATTTTTCGCTTGGAGTGGTCCTCGGTGTCAACATCGCTGGTTGTGTCCATCAGGTCTTGAAGCCATCGAACATAATTGTACCTGACAGGCACCGGAGGACACAATCTGTCGTCAGGCAGCTCAAGCTCGAGGTTGAAGTCTCTTCTCAATATACTCTTCGTAAGTTGTCTGACGATAGTCAGTCTCTACAATTTTTGATTGAATTAAATTACAGGACGACTTGCTGTAGTGCCTTAGGATCTTGAAAATCGACATGGCTGTTTGCAGCATCGTAAAATTTAGCGAAATCAGGATCGGTCATCGCCAGAGCCCGGAAGTCGATATCCTCGTCATAATTTGGGACCTTCGTTGTGGGCGGAGTCATTGTAATGTTGTTGGACGAGGTTTGCAAGCGAGAAGGTCAAGTTGAAATCTGGAGTCAAGATTGACAAGTCAGTCAGCGCCAGACAACCCCCATCTATGACACTGAACTTTTGAATAACATAATTGTACATGGAAGCGAAATGAAATCAACACATCTATTGCCAACAATGACTGGTATTCCCAGAATCCACACCAGACTCCATACTCCATCTTGTGCATATGCTCATAAGATCTAGACAGCAAACCCAAAAGAGCCATCAAACTGCCAGACATCAGGGTCTTCACCTAAGCGAACTTGCTCGAGAGTGGGCACAACATCTGGCGCATAGCTCTCGAGTAGAGCCTCCATGTCGCGCTCCTCCATTGTGCAAAAGTCCTCGAGGGACCACTTGTCGCAAACCTTGATCATCCTGAAAGAATTAGTTTTGTGCGATCGCGAGCATAGATAGTTATATGCGTACCACTTCATTCTCTTGGGGCCCTCTTCGTTACCAGGGGCGACGACTCTGAGCTTCTTTCTCAAGGCACCGACCTTCTTGATGGCTTCACCCATGTTCGGGGGCAAGCTGGCAGCAATCCTCCTGCGAACAATGTTTGCCATTCTGGGACCATTGCCACTAGTGCTGACCATGATCTGTAGTGGGCCATCTCTATACTGACTACCGAAGTAGAAATCACACTCTGGAGGGACATCGGCAATGTTGGCAACGATTCTCTTCTCTTTACACAGCTTCCAGATCATGGTCGAGGCTTCTGGGTCGTCGATGGCGGTCATGACCATGGCAATATTGGGATCGTCGAGGTCCGAGGGCTCAAAGGTACGGTCAATGTATTCGACAAGGCCTTGTTCGACGCGATAGGCGACTTCATCGTTGAGGCCGTCACGAGGGCTAATAAGACGGATTTTGGCATCCGAGTTGAGGAGGTTCAAGATGCGACCGGCGGCTACCTTGACTTGCGGGTCAACGTCAAGACTCAAGGTAAGACACAAGCTGTGTATGACTAACCTCGCCGCCGCCAACCATGAGAACCAGCTTGTTGCGGATCTGCCAAGCGAGCATCAGAGAGCCGCCGCCCTCGATTTCGGGAAACTTGGCCATGGCGACAGATGCAATCGCTGCGCAGCGTGTTGGGGTTACGAAAAGAGAGAGAGCAACTGGTCTTGCAAATTCCCAGGGCCAGAATAATATCTTTGGAGATTGGCGATAAGAAAGGCAAACCCCGCGGACAAGGTCATCGGCGGCGGCATCGCATCATGGCGGGCGTCAAAGACAACCAACTTGTGGTCCATGCAACGGGCCGAGCGCGCCGAAGGGCGGTGAAGTCAAGACCCAAACAGAGGAATAGCCAGTCTACAACTGTCGGCCGCGTGCCGCTCGTATACCATGGCATCGCGAAGGTCCCTAGGAGGAGGACGAGTCTTGGGCAGCGGCCGCTCGCTGTCGCCCGCCGTCATTCCCCAGCGCCCGCACCAACTCACTCCTTCCGAGAGCTCCCTATCGCTTGCCTCAAGCTCCCACACGTCCACCACCGAGACAGACGACATCGCGTCTAGAGTCGCCCTCGACTCCAACAATGGCCCCGTCGGTGGTGCTGCTGCCGCCAGCTCGCGCCTGGTCTGTCCCATCTGCAACGAGGACATGGTCACTCTGCTCCAGCTCAACCGCCACCTCGACGACAACCACCAGAACCTGCAAGAGGTCGAGCAAGATGAAGTCAAGAATTGGTTCGAACAACAGATGAAGAAGGCCAAGCGCTTCCAGCCCCTCGCCGTCCTCAATCAAAAACTAAAAGGCCTCGATGTCTTCGAGTCCAACGCGACAGCCCCTGCACACCAAGTCTCAACCCTCTCCTCGAGTCCCTCCAACTCTGGCCGTACTACCCCCTCCCAACCCTCTGCTGCTCCGTCAGAAACTCGCCTAGATCCCGATCAGGTTGTTACCAAAGCACACTGGCAGCGATCCACCGGTCACGACTCCTGTTCAGACCCCTTGTGCGGCAGACGTCTTGGAAGTACCAATGGCAACATCAACTGTAGACACTGTGGTAAGCTTTTCTGCGAGGAACATACCATGTATCAGATGAAGCTGTCTCGCTCCGCCCAACATGAACCCGTCCGCGGCTTGTGGTGTCGCGTGTGCGAGACGTGTTACAAGAGTCGTCCAGGTTACAACGATCATACTGGACTCGAGCGCGATCATACAAAAGAGTTCGCTGCTATCCGTAGACGCACAGTAGACAAGGCATATCTCGAAGTGAGCCGCCTGGAGAAGCGCCTCTCGAGGCTAACCCAATTGTTGGCCAATCCACCTCCGCCCGAGAATGATCAAAGCACTAGTAGCTTTCTGTGGTCGCTTGCTGGCTCTAAAAATCACATCCGCACTCTGGAACAGTCAGTGGTAACATGGGAGGACGATGCCCGCGTTCTCCACTGTCCGTTCTGCCAGCAACAATTCTCTCAGTACTCTTTCCGTCGCCATCATTGTCGAATATGTGGACGAGTCGTTTGCGGCGATCCAGCCACTAATTGCTCTTCTGAAATTGGCTTGAATGTCGATGCGCCACTCAAAACTAATAGTCTGGAGAAGTCTGCCGGTCAAGTGGCCGTCGATGTTCGTATGTGCAAAGACTGCCAGCACACAATATTCAGCAAATCAGATTTTGCCCGCCAACTCTCGGTTCGACCTCCGGATCAGCGAGCTTATGAGAACCTTGTGCAGTTTGAGCGTGGTATACGCCTTCTTCTACCAAAGTTTCAGAAACTCCTCCAGGCCCTGCAGGATCCCGATAAACCTCCGACACCCACTCAGCTAAACGATGCTACTAAAGTGCGCAGACGTCTTATGGATGCATTTACACAGTACGATGTCGCGGCCAGGCGGATCAGAGACCTGCCTACCGAGAGCCAGACGCAGGACCGTTTGCAAAAGGCCATTTATGCACAGGCGACCACTTTCCTTCATTTACACATGCTTCCCCTCAAATCCTTACCCAAGTTGCTTCAACACGCAACGCCACACGGCAAACCGCAAGCCAAGTCCTCGGCAAATCCTTTGGCTGCAATCAAGAATGATCAGGCCAGACCCCAAGGTAGCCGAGCGAGTAGCTCATCATCCGCTCAAGTCACGGCTCTGGAAGCTGAGGAAAAAGAACTTCGGGAGCGAATGATCGTCTTAGAGGAGCAAAAATTCTTTGTTGAAGGCATGATTGCTGATGCCAATAAACGAAGGAGATTTGACGAAGTGGCTAGTCTGGCGGGTAACGTCGAGGACTTGACAAGAGAGATTGATCAGTTGCAAGGTCAGATTGCAGGCATGGACTTTGCTGGTGCATATACCGTTGGCCAAGAAATTTGATCATCATCTTTCTGCTCATCATAAAGGCTGACCTTGTTTTCTGCTGACACACGACATTGTTTTCTTCAATTTAGCGCGGCGTTCGTGGCGGTGGCTTTTGACTTTTCATTCTATAGGTTTGTAGCCTGTTATGACATGATTTTCTCCCCATCCTCAGTCCCTGCCATGTTCCTACCTAGTCCACGCGTACAGCGGGTTTACAAAACATGGAAGGATTGCGCCAGGGCGATATTGGCTAGTGTTCTGTCTGACGGTTGTGTCATGCCATCGCATCCTCCTGCACAAAATCCTACGTCTTGCCCTCAAGACGCAGCTTCAAGCCATGACCTGATATCTGGCAGAGCGTATAGCGCATGTATCTAGTACTAGTACCACCCAGTCTGGGAAGGTACACTAGAGTTAAGTATCTGAACCATGTGCAGCAGAACGTATTCTGAAGACTGGAGAGCAACTGTACCTTACCTAAAGGTGTGTCCTGCCCTGAAGATTGCACCCTTTGATTGCCAAGTCAAGAAGCATGATCTACAGGTCTGGAACTGCTTTGCTTTTGCGCCCTCCAAATTCCAACCTCCTCCACGTCGGCTCATGCAGCCGAGTCCGACAAGTTTGTCTCTTTCTCCGCATTCAACCCCAAGATCGTCATTGCATTCGGCAGGTGCGGCCCGCAAACCTGATTTCACGGTGGCTGATGCCCCTGAACATCAACTCGCTGCATTAGGAAGACTTAACACGGCGAATGCATGAATAGAACATAGCTTATAGATGTAAAAAAGAAGATTCGTTATATTCGTAACACCTCACTAACACTTATGCAGCCACGTCTTTTGGTGACTTGACCCAATCGTGGTCCCAAGGCATCATGGCATCCTTGCCGACTACCGCCTTGATAGCTCTCTCGCTAATATCCCAGAAACCAGGACCCAACGAAGGATCAGCGGCTAGATCTTTCTCTCGTCCGGGGACGCCCTAGAGTATTTACGTCAGCAAATGTACAAAAAACAGGGTTGTCTGCAAAGGAAGGCTTACAACGTCGACTAGGTACGCGCCATTCAAGTACTTGTTCTCGACGTCGGGTGATGTGGCTGCGTAGAGAACGATGCGCGAGCTGCTGCGTACCGCGAATTTGGTATCCTTGGAAAGAGTGTCCAGAATGTGATCGCAGAGATCTGAAGGTTGCCAATGGCTATCCCTTCTATATTGGCTGCCTGCGTCTGCCAAGTTCCTTGATGGTTGCACGGCGAGTGCGTAAATGTTGTCATGGTGGCGCTTGACAATGCGCTCAGCAAGGCCATGCCTGACACCAAGGAGCAAGCTAGTTTTCGAGCGACGGAAAATCTCAGAACAAACTTCTGCATCGTAAGCAGAGCGGTGTTGATCTTCTTCGTCACTGGATGAGTCGTCGGAAATGCTTGGTAGGCGTTGTTGTCCTGGGGCTTCGAAAAGGACACGAGGGGCTGGTGTATTGGGTATTCTGGAAGTTTTGCGAAGTAGGGGCCAGAGAAGATTGCTGGCGTAGAAGTGACCCAGCCACATCATACCAAAGTAAGCATCAATGCAGTGGAGATCGGTTTTGAAGTGAGCCTGGTCGATTCCTGAGCCGAATATACACAAGTCCAGCCGAGGAAGCTCATCGCAGAGGGCAGAGAAGACTTCTTGTACTTGGATAAGGTCCGTCATATCGCAGTATCGATAATCAAGAGCAGCGTCTGAGCCAACCTCATCGCGGACAGTGAAGATCGTTTCTTTGCTTTGCTTCTCGTGAACATTCACCATTATGACTCGGCATTTGTGGATGACGAGGGCTCGAGCAATTTCGCTGCTGTCGAACTTGTCAGATCAGATATACAAAAGACGCAGGCACAAATTGGAGGCATACCCAATCCCGCATGCACCTCCCGTAATGATAGCAGTCCTGCCTTGTAGATCTGGCATGCTGTCTGGAGATTGGAAGATGGGAAAGTAAGAGCCTGGGGCGCGCATGTTGATTGTTGTCGGGACACTGCTGGCTTGGGTTCAGAAGGGGTAGAGGTTGAGGTCGAGATCGATGAGGTATGATCGGAGTAGCAGGACCAGACAAAGCAATTGGTCAGGTCGGACATATATACTTGTCCAAACAAAGAATTGATGCCTTGAGGAAAAAAAACTTGATTGAGGATAGTGTCGTTCCTGGGCAGGGACCTTATATAAGCACTCCTATGTACTTCTCGCCTGATAGTCAGATAACTTAAGATTAGGATCGGGAGACCTGCTTGGTGCATGAACGGGCCGGAGAGCCTACCTCATAAGCACATAATTGTGAATAATGATGGTAGAGGATCCACATCCCTGTCACACTTTGGCGGCTCTTGCTCTGGCTACAACTTCCCCGGATGCAGGCCAGTGACCATGTCGCATTCGGCAAGAATTGCATTGGAATGTTGGCAACTTTTAGACGCGCTTCCCTGATTTTAAAGGGAGCATTCAGGTTTTGCTGAGACTCCTATGACCAGTTGCGTCCTCAGAACTCTTGACCTGTTTCGCTTCCTTGAAGATGTTATCAGGATCGCAAAATTGGTCAGAAGGTTGCGACGAGTTTTTCTTTGTCTGGTAAGTCGTGTTGTTTGATCATTCGTAGGCCAAGCCAGCCGTCGCACCAAAGTCAGAAAATAGCATGCTTGTCACTTTAGCATATCGCCGGCTACGCGTAACGGCCGCGAGGCTAACATTAGCGGAAAAAAAACATGCGCATAGCAGGAAAGCTGAGGACGAAGAGGCAAGTTCGTAAAGATGACGCAGAGGGTCCCGGCTGATTGGCATCGCTCGTCCCCAGACCCCAGAATGCCGTTGTTGCTATGAGAGAGATGAGCATTCTTTCCGTCATGAGCGCGATCCTTTCTCGTGTTGAGTGCTCAACCCGTGCTGGTGGAGTAAGCCCTATTGTGAGCTTGTAGGCGAAATAGGCACAGAAGGTAGCGGCTGCCGTTTCGTGCATGCAGCTCGACGAGCTGTGTTGAATCGAAATCTTCGTTCATCATACTCTGGCGTCGATGGAAAATCCAAAACTCGATCTGCTGTGCGATGACAGAGACCATGCTATCTCCTGCATTCCATCCAGCCAATCTCGATGCTCATGGCAATGGTCGGCAATGGTGTGACAGGCAAGGCACCCAGCCCCCTGCTACAACGCACCGAGCGGGCCGCAGCAGCAGTGCAACATATCTCGTACGTGAACGAGAGAGGAGCTGATTCCGCTGGTCATCACAATCGCCATCTGACCATTACCTGAGACTGATGCGGTGGCGGGCAGTGGTCTGAGATTAGAATCGTGCTCAAGAAACTGCAGATAAGTCACATCAGATAGAGAAGCCAACAGCTCAGATACCAACCCACCAATCATTTCTTCAATGCAAGTTGCGGGTGATACGCTGTGTGGAGAGGGTTTGGTTCATGCGCCGAAGCTTCAGAAGACAGATGCAAGGAGGAGGCTCAAATCAGCATTCGTGGGGTATTACCGGCCTCTTCTCCGCTGAGTGCGATTCTGGGTTTTAGGAAGAGATGCTGAACACTCTTGTTTTCTCTCAAGCGCTCTGTAGATCTTCTTTGTCGGAAGCTTTTAGGAATGTGAGCCCAATTACAAGGTATCATATACACTAAACCATGAATTTCCATCGCAATTGTTCGATTCTTCCATGATACAAGAATTGATGAAGATAATACGAGAACATACCTTCAGAGACAAGCTTATTCCAGCAGAATAGAGTTATGGCCATACAAGATGCTCTGTAACTATTGATTCGCGTCTCTGGTCTTGTCCGCCGCCCCTTCTTGTGTCTACCTTACATCGTGAAGAACACAGCAACACCAGCCTTCATTTGAGCCGTTTTTTCATCCTAGGGCCTGACATACATAGAAACTCAGAGTTCATCTCTCTGTGGCTTGGTACTTTTTGGTTTGCTACTCCTATGGTTAGTATCGATAGAATTGGTGGCTGGGAACAACATACAGCTTGAGGTATTTCCTGAAGAGAGCATTCAGTGTCTTCAAATGCAGGTATCCATCGGCGTCTTCTCCTAATCCCCATGCAAAAACACCTCCGAGCTTACGATACTTCACGATGGCTGGAAACTTCTCTGCCATAGACGCAGGTGTGTCCCACGACCAAAAGATCTTCTCATCTGGATCCCAATAGTAGTTCCCGTCATTGTCCCATTCTCTTTTGTTCAAAGCGGTGTGGAATGACTTCTCAAGTTCTTTTGGTACCTTGTCATGCCATGAAAAGGAGCCGCTTTGACCAAGGTCCTTTCCCGTTTTCGGATCTTCCATCAACGCTGTCTTGCAGCCTATGGGCATTTGGCTACAATCGCCGTCTGTTCGATACCACTTAACGTAGAATGCAAATCCTAGATTGGCCTTTTCCGCGGTAATGCCGTTCGTCAGGTATGTGTCTATGGCAATGAGAGAATTGTCAATGCCAGTGTGATGCATAGTAACATTGTCTCGCCTGTTGAAAAGGTCATATGTCATGATATTGAAAAAGTCAAGATGTCTTGCTGCCTCGGCAAGCGTTTCTCTCTTGAAAGCCACTTGGATATCGACTGGCTTGCCCCTTCATGGACGTTAGCAGAATCCGTTTCAAGTGAGAGCATGCCACATCATGAGTCGAGCGCGCTACTTGCCTGCACAGAAGACATCTACAAATGGTTCAGTAACACTATGCCCCCTGTGATCCCGTCGACAAGCGTTCTCATATGCATATCAATGCTCGTCAAGGAAAGACCTGCTCTTGGTGATTTTGTGTCACGACAAAGAGTCTTTTCGTTCGCTAGCTGATAACCGAGGGCACCTTTGACGAGAGATTGAGGACGACAAACTAAAACAGTGCTTCGGCAGGCTGATGCGGGCCGACTCATGAGTGGACACACGTTCATAGACTTACGGAACTGCTGCAGACATAATTTTGTCGGGTCCAATGGCAGCTCGGATCTCAGCAAGCAGCTTTGGATACGCCTCGACTTCCCAGCTCTTCTCGGAATTTGAAAGTTTCTTGTAGTCCTCACCGTTGCCGCCGGGATATTCCCAGTCAAGATCGACGCCGTCTGCATTGGTGAAATCAAGCATAGCCTTTACGTTCTCGGCGAATGCTTTTCTGCCCATCTGAGAAGCTGCGGCTGCAGAGAAGCCATTGGTATCGCCCCATCCTCCAATAGCAATCATCACCTGGACTTTATTGTTTTTTGGGAACTTGGCGCGGACACTCTCGACAGATGTGAAAGGCTCCCAGGTTGAGGGACTCTTTCCGATGAAGGACGAAGATTTCATGAAAGCCAACACAACATGCGTCACGTCCGCGAGATGAACGTCAGCAGGAAAGACTGGGTGCTGGGCTGTCAGGTAGAGGACGTATCGCGAGGCATGGCATACATATGCCATAGCCGCGACTAGCGCGAGCAATGCCGTCCGCATCTTGTGTTTGAGGAGAGTCGCGCTCGAGGCTGCGGAACGTAGCTTGCGGCGTTCAAGACTTTGGTATTGATGAATGAGGTATGAGGTCGGGATGTGTGGTGATGATCAGATGTACTAAAACTTTGGAATTTGGATGTCGTTTCAATTGTGGCTGTGGTGGCTTTGCTAGCCCCATGTATGATCATGATCCTCCGAATGCGTCAGCCACCTTCTGTGGCTTCACATCAGTCAACATCAATGGCCTCTGTTTGGATTTCTATGTGAACATTGTCTTGTGCAATCTGTTTCGATATTGTTTGAGCTCACGAGATCGTAAGATGCTAGTTGAGATACGATATTGCCTTGCTCAACTACAGGAAGCAAAATGTCGCTTCACGCGTGGCAGTGGAGTTGTAAAAGCGCGTCCTTGCGGCGATCGAACGGCGACCATCGACCAATTCGTCCACTACTTAGGGCACTCTCATATGCGTCGCCTCTGGAAGACTTCCTGCTTGTATCATATTTTAAACCCTACACAACTTGAAACGACATGCTACCCATAACAAATAGCTTTAATAGGGTCACGACTGCGCGGCCGCGATCAAATACAAGAGATTTGCAGAACTAGGTTCCGTGTCAGTTGATCGATTCCGAGTCGAGGCAGACTGTACAGAGATGAGTTGAATGATTTATTGCAGCAGCATGTAAGCCTGCAAACTCGAGATGTAGACCCCGTGGCAATCTTCTCAATTCTACAGAATCGATTAACAGGTGGCTACTGAATATCATCTAGCCCGGATACGACTGTTCTACTTGGCCATGTTCGAGGTTTGGCACGACATGCCCTAAGTCAGTATCTCACTTTAGCTGTTTGCTTACGACACATGCTCCTCGACAGTCAGGTTTAGTATTGCGTGAGCTGGGCTGTCATCATTGCTGGACTCATATATCTAGGTCCAGTTGCTCGCTGACTTGATGGGAAGCTCTTCACATACACTCTCTCTTCTCTTCTACGATCATCTGGCTCATTGCTATTTTCTACCATGAAGACCGCCGTGGCTCTCTTGGGCGCTGCGACCATTTGCACCGCATCCATCAACAATACAGAGGAAGGTCTCATCACCAACGGACTCGTCTCTCTTGGAGATTGGCAGACAGCCTTCACTAAAGCTCAGAACTTCGTCTCGCAGCTTACAACTGAGGAAAAGATCACGATCATCGGAGCTGGATCTCTGACGAACGGTTCTGCCAACTGGACAGCTCTTACTCAGTCTGATGGACCTCAAGGAGCAGAGAACTTCTATTACGAAAGCGCGTTCTCCATGACTTGTGCGCTAGCCATGACTTGGGATAAGGATGCTATCTACAAGCAAGGTAAAGCTGTAGCTACCGAATTCTATCAGAAGGGCTTGCAACTGTTGGCTGGACCTGTCTCCAACCCTATGGGTAGAACGGCTTGGGGTGGTCGGAATGGCGAGTCCTTTGGACCTGACAGCTACTTCAATGGAATCCTCGGTGGTATCAGCGCCAAAGCCTATCAAGCTGGTGGTGTCATCGCAGGTGGCAAGGTACGATTTGGTTACCTTCGCCATGCCACGGTCGCTAACCAGTCCTCAGCATTTCATTCTCTACGAGCAAGAGACCAACCGTAGCTCTTCAAGCGGAGGTGGTGGCGGTGGTCTGGGCGGAGGTATGGGCAGTGGCTCTATGGGGCCAGGCAACAACTCTATGGGTTCTATGCCCTCCGGTTCCGCCCCTGCAGGCTCTACTCCATCTGGCAATGCTTTGAGAGTACGAGCAGACAACTCCTCCACGACCGAGTTTGCCGAATCTTCGGCCGAGACTGCCCCTTACTCGTCCAACATCGATGATAAGACGTTCAGAGAGACTTATCTCTGGCCTTGGTACGACATCATTAAGGGTATGATTCTGACGACAGCATCTTGATCTTGTGCTAACATATCATAGCTGGAACTGGTGCGGTGATGTGCGCAATGATCGAAGTCAATGGTTCTGCGGCTTGCGAAGACAAGTCTCTTCTCATGGGTACCCTGAAGACCGATCTTGGCTTCCCAGGATTTGTGTTCCCCGATACCATGGCTCAAAAGACAGCATTGGGCTCCATCTCTGGTGGGCTAGACTATGGCTCCAGCAGCACCTGGTCCACATCAACTGTCGAGGCCTTCCTAAACAACGGTTCTCTTACAGAGGCACGTCTTAACGATATGGTCATTCGTAATGTGATCGGCTATTATAAAGCCAACATGGATAATGGAGAGCAACCATCGAAGGCAGGAGTAAGTGTTCGAACGTGTCGGATACAAAACAAACGCTAACCTCTCATTGTTCTAGTATGATGACTATGTTGACACTATGTCCAATCATGCTGATATCATCCGAGAGAATGGTGCCAAGTCAATCGTTCTTCTCAAGAACGAAGGCGGTCTTCCTCTGCATAAGCCTAGAAGAATGACACTCTTCGGTGCCAATGCCGGACCAGTAATGGGAGGACCGAACATGCAGTTCACAGTTCAAGGCTCGGGGCCTACCTATGATGGCCATCTTGCCAGCGACTCCGGCTCTGCTCAATCTTCGTTGCCTTATCTCATCACGCCTGAGGCGGCTATCACACTGAGAGCATCAAAAGAGCATACCAACGTTAAGTGGATTCTGAACGACACCTATACTGCTAGCAGCTCCGGCAACACTCTGGTCACCCTTTCATCCTCGGAGACCGCGGTTGATGCCTCTTACGCAGGCTATGCAGCTGCGAGTGATGCATGCCTTGTTTTCCTGAATGCTTTGTCTGGTGAAGGAGCCGATCGTACTGAGCTCTACAACAACGACCAAGACACGATGGTCAATATTGTCGCTGCCAACTGCAACAACACCATTGTTGTTATCACCACAACTGGCATTCGTCTTGTAGATCAGTGGATCGAGAACGAGAACATCACTGCTGTACTCTACTCAGGTCCCCTTGGTCAGGAGAGTGGAAACTCCATCACTGACGTGCTCTACAGCGATGTGAACCCGTCAGGCAGACTTATTCACACGATTGCAAAGAACGAAAGTGATTACAATGTGGACATTTGCTACACCAAGAATTGCACCTTTTCCGAAGGCAACTACATCGATTACAAGTACTTCGAGCACAGCAACACCACTGCTCGTGTGCGCTATGCCTTTGGTCATGGTCTTTCGTACACCTCTTTCCAGTATAGTGATCTGAAGACCACCAAGATCGTGTCCAACCTTTCATACCACGCCAACGGACCCCTTGAGATTGGAGGTCGTGCAGACTTGTTTGATGTTGTCGCAGAGGTAAGTCGATCAAACACAACGGCTGATACTTGTACTGATGAATCTAGGTTGATGTCGTTGTTAAAAATACCGGTTCGCGTGATGGAGCTGAAGTCCCACAACTTTACATCGGCTACCCAGAAGATTCCAAAGCTGACCAGCCCATCAAGGCACTCCGCGGCTTCGAACGTGTAGAACTTAAGAAGGACGAACAAAGCCAAGTGAGGTTTTCACTTCGCCGTAGGGATCTTTCGTTCTGGGACGTGAATGCACAAGAGTGGGCTCTGCCGACTGGCGACTTCAAGGTTTACGTCGGTGCCTCTTCGACAGATCTTCGACTGACAGGCACGCTTACCATGTAGCTCTCGGGTTTTCGTTAGCAATATGAAGAGGATTAATAATGAGAAAGGTGGGATTTGATACCGGGATGGTGGGGCTCGTTGAGGAAGCCTGGAAGCAAGAGAATAGGCAAGCGGAGTTGCTACCGAACGTTCTGTACCCAACGACATGGACCGAGAATGGCACTGCGCCTGATACTATCACAGGTACTAATTCTGTCAATGATGATCCCAGCCAGGATGTTGCTTTCGAGCGTAGTCACTGCGAGTTCCCTTACCGCACTACCTACAAGGGACCAGACTTTGACCCCGATGTTACCACCAGTTGGACATGCGAGAAGACCAAGGACTGGTAAGAGTGTGGTCCTGGTACGCTTCCCAGACTGTGCTAAGCACTGGTCTAACAGGCACCCATGAGAAGAATATATTGCTACACAACCATGATAGTCGATAATGCTAAAAGATACATGTGTATATTTACTTCTATTGTCATAATCCTTGACATAGACTGCTCCTTCAGCATACAAGTACAGTCTTAGATATTGTTCTTACAGTGTGGTTCTCGCTCAAAATAGCTCAAACATATCAGTACTGTCGTGACACTAGCAATTCAATGGTTTTGAACGCAAGCCTCTGTGCATGCTTCTCAATGCATCCTCCAGCAAGGTCTTTAGGTCCATCTAGTGTAAGCCGATAGCCATCCGACTCAGACACTACCAAGATCTCATGTTTCAGCTTGATTGATTGCTCAGGCATCGTATGCAACTAACGCAGATGTCCACACACCGATCGGCGGATCCTTCACTTGCAGCTGAAAGCCTAAAGATAGAGATTTTATGCACGCGGAAGGAGGAAGGTCTTGGTGGCCGGTGATTCCGATGGACAGAGCTTCTCTAGTATACAAGTGCGCGTGGTACAGGCCAGACAGGAAACAGCGGTCAAGAATACAAGGGGCATGAGCTCGAAATCGACGTGTTCGAACAAAAAGAAGCTTGCTGCCAAAGAAAGGTGCGTCTGCGCGAACAACAGTTATGGTTACTGGACGACGGGGTTTCCAAACCAAAGTGCCTGCCGTTCTGAGTTCTGGGGTCAGCCATCGTAGACATATTGTTGATTGCATAATACGATGACTTTGGCGTACACCCTTGACTAGGAACGAATATGATTCGAGAGCAATTATCTAATATCATTCATGTAATCCCTGACTCCAGCGCCGTGGTCCACGCTATGCGATTGATGCTCCTACCGTCCCTTCCCATATGAACTGTTGCACTTTTTTTACACAGCAGCAACGACCTCGCTGCCACCACCAACGCCTTCAACCTTGATCAAGAATTCCCTGACTCTGCCTGCCTCTTCCCGTCCGAGCGCTCCTTTTTCTGACTCGACAGCCGCCAGAAGCGCACCGAGCTGATCCTCGACTTTGTCCTCTGCAACACCGGTACACAAAGATACAACCTTACGGTACAGGTGTTCGAGCTGTGAAGAGCGTGATTTGAGCTGTGTGGACTTTTGGTGCAGACGGTCGTTGTTCGTCTCGTAGATTGTTTTGAGGGCACGTAGCTCAGCAACTGAAGGTGCGTTGTTGAGAATTTGCTGTTGCAGTGGAGGTGACAGCTGTTGTACTGCTTGTGCCGGATCTGTAACATTCGATGGTAGTTGGTCGACGATCGCAAGCACAGGAGAGACAGATTTGTCTGCATCTCCCACTACCGTGTTGGTCTTGGTCACCTTTCTACCGTTGCGGTGACGTTCCTCGAGGATGCGTTTTAGATTCGCAATTTTTGACTGAGCTTCACTGCGAGATTTGGCACGGCGCTGAAGAGTTGCTAGCTGGTCGCTCTCTGTCTTCGCTACTGCGGACAATTCTTGAATCTGGGCGTTGAGTTTGTCGATCTGAGTAGTTTTCTCGGCGAGCAACTGCTTATGCTGGGCGAGGTTTGCGGTGAGCATACTCGTGAGTGATGAGATCACATCCTGATTTTGTTCTTCGATAACATTTGTATTGGAGACGGGTGTTGTCTCTTTCTCATTCGCACCTTCTGTGGTCGCATTTTGGGATGGTGGACGGTTCGGAGCTTGTGATTGGGAGAATATTGGGTCGATGTTCGACGGGTTGTTGAAGCCTGCATTGGCTTGTCCGTTCTCGTCTTCGATCCCGACACCAAAATCACGGGCTGTTATACCTTTTTGATTGGGAATGGTCGGATCGGCTTTGACTTCCAGCAGCTGCTGAATGATACCTCTGTTGCCAATTCTGGCTGCAAGATTTAGAGCAGTATTGCCTGCTTTATCTCGAGCATTTACTATATGCGTGAGAAAGCGCATCAGATTCATCCGCTCTTTGCCTGCCTGTCCAGGAGTTGCAGAGCCATTCTCGACCGGTGCAGGCTTGGACACACTGCGAACCAAGAATTCCAACAGGGCCTCCAGATAGTACTTGCTGCTGGGTGCTCTGCCTTTAATACCACAAGATACAGCAATGTGGTGGAGAATGGTACGTGCTTGAGCATCTCTGACTTCGATGAGAGGACTCAGAAGCTCTAGAACATCTGGAAATGAAGAATGCTCGCAGCAGTTGTTGACCAGAACAGCCGAGATCAAGGCGCTCTGGCCTGCAGCGTTGCCTCTGAATATGTTGGCACCCTTTTGAATGAGCAGTCGTAGTAACGGCACTCTTGACAGCGTTGCAGCCCAATGCAGAGCAGTGTTTGCAGAAGGATCCAGGGGTATGTCCAGATCCTGGGGTGATAGGGAGAGAAGTGCTGGATGTGAAGCGAAGTCTTGTCTGGATGATTCAGCAAAGAGGTCGAGGAGCAACAGACGCTTGTTTTCTTCGTCAATGCCCATAGGTGTTGGCAAAGGAGGGAGTGTGACAGGCTCGTCGGAACCATTGACATTTTCTTCGAGATATTGTTGAGTACTTTGGAGGAAAGATTCTCCAGGCTCGGTTGGGTCGAGTGACATGATTGAAGCATCTACCGGGATATCATCGTTGGGTCTCATACGCTTTCTTGGGGGTTCTTGACCACCTGGGGCGGTCCTCCAAGCAGCGCTCTGGGTGTTGTAGCCAGAGTCGGGGATTTGGTAGCTGGCATCGGCCATGATACTGTGGGAGGAGTTTTGTTGTTGCTGAGAAGAGCGTCTTATATGATTCGGACGTGCTGGCGAGTTAAGACGGGCAGCCTTGTTTAGGGCTGCAAGAGCAACGGACGACATGGAAGAGATGTTCTGGAAGAAAGTGTTTGAGGTAGCGGGGCCACTTCTATCTTGGGCACCTGCAGCGTAGAACCTTTTTCTGTTGGCAGCCATGGCTTGTTCCTTGGTCGGCGTCTCGGTGGTCTGACCAGCACCAGAGCCATCAAGGTCATGTTCCAGTAAGGGGAGAAGCAGGTCCTCGACACCGTACTGACGGCAGAACTCGCGACCTCGGCGGTAGGTAATCCAGGTGCCTTGGTATTTGCCGTATCCACCTTGGACCTTCTCGTGCTCGCCAGGTAGGATTTCTTTCTCGAGGACTTTTGTGCGTTTGCCCTTGTCGACGCCGGCAACCTTGAGGATCTGAGTGGCATTGAGCCAGCCGTCGGAACGTCGTCGCATACAAGCAATGTTGTTCACTTCCATTTCGTAGACCTGGACTCCAGAGTAGACAGCCTAGCTTCACTGTTAGTGAGTTAAACATGGCAGGTGCACATGAGGTAGCTCACGGTGTATATGGTGGGTTTCTCAAAGGTGGGACGCATGTTCTGTTGGGGAGTGGGTGCTGAAGCTCCTTGACCGTAGCCAGCATCTTGTAGGGCCTTGAAAGTGTGGGCCATGCCTGGTGACTGAGCGACAGCATACTGAGCTGTCTGAGAGCCGTAGGGCATCGAGTAATGGCCCTGGTCCTGCGGAGTTCGGTTCGTGTGATGAGCCATGTTGGCTTGTGGCCTGTGGAGGGATTCACAGAGCAGAGAGCGAGTCGTTTCTGGGCAGACGGTATGCAGAATGAATTGTGTAGAGCAAGCAACCAAAAGCGACAGCACTCATGTCTGAGATGGTCGGCTGAACGACTTTGGGGTCCGTCGCGATACTGCGAAAGACGCGATGTTCGCGTTGCTCTGCTGGCCCGTGCCCTAATAGCCCGTGCCCCGCCCGTATATCCACGCCCGATTGGCTCCCACCCACTTGTGGGCTCCTCTGGCACAAGAGACGACGATAACACTATTAAAGTGTATTCTTCTCGTGCTGAACTAATCGCTCGATCCCTTGCAGCCTTCCTTGCAGATTTTCAGGGGCATCTCTTCAGCTTCTTTGAGACAGCACGTTTGGTATCCACTGTGTCTGAGAAATATAGCCTAATTGGCTCATCATATTTTGGGCGCTTCCTATTCCGTTCACTATAGTACAAGATGTGCATATAACGCCGCCCCAATCGATTTTGAACATGTACAAGCTGAAAAGATATCCATCCAACTCCTTCAACGTCTGCGGAGGTACCAGTTGAATGCAAGAGCCATTGTCTCGTTGGCAAACGGTGTGGGTACTTCTGCCAATCCAGGTCTAGCAACTGGGTGACGGAGGTACACGGCGCTGCAGATCTTCTGATTGACCTCCAGGTAGCGCGGGATGAATGCAAATGCACTCATAAACTCACGCGGCCTCCAAGGTGTAGCATATGGCTTTGAAGCATCAATCGGGTTTTCGTTTGCACGTGCAAGTGCGGCGTGTAGTAGCTCGGCATCCTTGCGTGCTCGGAATGCATCTTCTCTCTTGACCGGTTTTTGTTGCTGGTCAGGCAGGGCAGCCTCTGCGGCCGCATCTTCAGCAGGTACCTTGGCAGCAATAGCCTTTAGTGTTTCCTCCAATGAGTCAATGGTCTCGGTACCAGGCTTAGCGATTCCCGAAGGTCGTAGGCGAGACATAGTTTGCTTAACAGACTTGGCAAAGGCGCGTAGATCCTGCTTGCGCTTGCCAGATAAGACGTCTTTGCTGTCTTTGGTAATGTCTTGTGCACGAGCAAGCAATGACTTGAGAGCGGCCTTGGGGTCCTCCTCAGCTGATGGTGTTGTCTTTGTAGATTTGGCGCTTGCCTTAGAGGCGTCTTCAGTGTCCTTGTTCTCGGATCCTTCGAGGATATCCTCAGCATCATCGTCGACAATTTGCTCAACCTCATCGGGCTCTTCGCGACCTTGCAGTGTGTCTGGGGAGTTCTTGTTGTGCTTGCGTGCGCCAGTAGCGAAAAGAACGCGCTCAGGATCTACTGAGAACATGTCACCAGGGTTGAGGAGGTAGCCAGGGTGTTGCATCTGAATTTGTTAGCTTGCGAAGCAGATAAGCGATCGAGCGGAAGCAGTACCTTCTTTCCGTTGACCTTGACAAAGCCGTGAACGACAAATTGCCTTGCCTGACGGGCACTGCTGGCGAATAGCGCACGCCAGACAGCAGTATCCAGTCTGCGCTCAGTTGGGAAATATGTCATGTGCATGTAAGGAGTCCTTTGCGGAGCCTTGTCTCTTTCCGATAGATCGGAACCATCCTTTCTCTTTGCGATGTTGAGACCAGAACCACGACCAGCAGCCTGCTCGGAGCCATCTGTACGGGCGAGAAGTTTGTAGTCCATGGGAACGACAGCGGGGAGGCGACGGTCAAACATGCGGGTCCATTTTCCTTCGCGGATTTGCTCGCCGTGGTAGGCACGGGTCAGGGACTTTGCCAGCCATTTCTGCTGGAAGAAGGTCTTTGAGGCGGCGTAGGGAGTTTGTAGGCGCGAGATGTTATAGAGAGTCCATTTTGACCAGTCGGCTCGGACTTTCTGCACATTGTCAGCGGCGCAGCGAGGGAACAGAGCAAGTGTGGCATACGGGTTTTTTCAGACCGTGAAACCTCTTACGCATGGCGAGGGTGGGCGCGTAGCAGGTACAAGGCAATGGATCAGTCTTGAGCGACGGCTGGCATCGACTTGAAATTCGCCCAAGACGCCATGCACATTGCAGCTTTCGGCGAAGATTTGTGTCCGCCGGGTCGATGCTTCTGACACTCGGCCTCGCCAAATTGCTGCCACAGGCAGCGGTGCGCCCGCCCACACTTCTCTCATCAAATGCCGCCGCTCTTTACCAATCAACAATGCAATGAGGCTCGACATTTGCTCCGCGCAATCTTGCGTGAATCAACCTACCTTCCCGACCAACAAGCTCGCTTGTACATAGCCACCCACGCCCTTGCTCGCTTTCGAGACTACACGCCTGGACACAAACCTGACAATGTCTTGACTCAACGGAGACGCTTGCAGCTCGACAATGCTCGAAAGGCTTTGTCTGAACTGCGAAGGGCGAATCAAGGAGAGCTGAAACCATTGCTCAAAGTCCTTCATCTGACCTATGCCCGCATCGGCAAAAGACGACACGAGATACTGCGTGACTTTCAATACAAACCGCCTTCACATGTCGATATCAAGCCCGACACACCCCCGAAGCTATCTCCCCAGCATATTGCTCTTCTGGACTCACAGAGAATTGCTTCCCCGCCCACTGTTGTCCGTCCCCTTCTCCGATCGTGGTCTTTGAAGATGCCAAAGACGAACAGCTGGGAAAGACCCCTGCCCAAGAAACGCGCTGCCAAAATCGTCCGGGACTGGTATGCCGATGTTCTGGAACGAACTGTTGTGCCTCTTCCCATTGCCGAGTGGGAGCGTTTGCGTGATCTAGCTCTTGGCAAAATCGAATTTCAAGGCCCTACACCCCGTCGTCCTATGCCTGCTTCAAAAGGCAGCTTTGCTTCTCCGCTCGAAACAGCCCTTGGCCTCGTTCCACTCAATTCGCCTGATCTTGTTTTGAGTAACGCAGGCAACTCCATCCATGCCCGTAAGCTCACTGCGCGCTCAATGAGGAGATGTTGGGCCACAGTTTTTGCACAATGCCCTGTAATGTCATGGGACGCCAAGTCTCAGAAGTGGTCAATCCAATGGGGTGGTGATATTTTAAATCAAGCGAAGATTGCAAATTCTACCGAAGCCGCTCTGGACAAGACTTGACTCGCTTGACATTCCTGGTGTTGACAAGCACATCTGTCTTTGTTCCATTGTTCTTGCTCATTGCTAGCCTCAGATTCAACAGGCGTTCATAACTGTGGAGCATAGGCTTCATGTGCTCGAAGATATTAGGCATACCCTTAAATTAATGGGCCTTGTGCAGTCTCGCTTATAGCCGAAGATGCCAATTTGCAGGAACAGTATTACTGCTCAAACATCAAAGGGTAAGTAGTGAAAGTCTTATGCGTCTTTACGGAAGTGGCATTGCGTGATGAACAGATCTTATGAATACTTATCTACATTGTCTGAACAACCTTGAAGATAAATACATCTGACAACCTGACTTGTTGGCTCATTGACCACCATTTCCCACGCCCACTTGACCCATCGCTAATACGCTGTGCGACAGGTATTAATATCAGGGTCAAGAGCAACATGTTGTACAAGTATGTTCTGGCCACTCGGGCTGTACTTAGTTGCAGTATGTGCAGTTTTGACCCTCGTGGGGGGGGGGGTTTTTTTTTTCATCCTAGAACTAATCCAAGCCTGCTAAAAAGGTCTCGATCGGTCACTGTCTTTGTTTCTGTCGTAGGTATAGATTCATAATCACCTTCGAACTACAACCTTCTCTCTGCACACACCTCGGTCCATTTTAAAGTCGTGAATTGGTCAATGGCAGGAGAGCCTTACAGACCGTCTCCACGATCGTCGCTGCCAAGAATTTGGGGTAATGGTCAACATTTATGTCTGCACTTTGCGGCATGTCATCGACAGGGCGTCCGTCTTTCTCGATATTATTGACACTCATTGACCTGAAATATCTTTGTATCGTTATCATAACTTACCTGCAAACAAACCAGCAAACTCTAGCCCTCTTTTTATTCACAGACCCGTAACCAACGAACATGTCCAACCAACCAACAATAAGTCATGCAACCCGCGAAGGTGAGTCTGAACACATATCTGGATACGGGCAAATATTCATGCACTACATGCTTGTGGATGGTTGTCCATATACTGAAAGCGTTACAGATGTGCCCCATATCCTGAGCCTCATTCGTGCACTTGCAGACTACGAAAAGGCTCTCTCGTCATGTCATGCAACCGAGGAAGGTCTAGCATCAACTCTTTGCTTTGCACCTTCTAGAGGTGAACCCCCATCTGGACCTGGCTATGCCAAAGTTCTCTTGATTCGTACGCCAAGTGATGAAGTGGCCGGTATGGGATTGTACTTCAACAATTATTCTACTTGGTGGGCAGCACCTGGAGTCTACCTCGAAGATCTGTTTGTGCTTCCTGAACACCGCAACAAGGGCTACGGAAAGCTTCTCATTGGAGCATTGGCAAAGGAGGTCAAGAGGATTGGCGGCAAGAGACTGGAGTGGTGTTGTCTGAAGTGGAACAAGCCATCTCTGGACTTCTACAAGATGCTGGGAGCCGAGCAGATGGAGGATTGGGTCACTCTAAGGGCAGACGGAGAAGCTTTAGACAGGCTAGCTGGCTCTGCTGACAAGGCGGCTAAGGTACAGGTGGATGGCAAATGAGGGGATGGATGTGATGGTGCGCATGGCATCAGAGACTCGTGCCAGCTCTCGAGCCTGCATGGATGGCCAGAAGCTTTGGTCTGTACATAAAAGTGCTTTCTAGCGGTGTGGTGGATTGGCTGCATAGAATTCTTGCAGATCATGCTGTACGTTAACGACGCTCAATTATCCCTACAATTCCTGCCAAATACACGAGATGAATTCAACACAACAAAGTAGGCGCTGTACAAGAGACACCAGTCTATCAGAACTTCTTATACGCTACAGCAAACGAGTGACTTTCTCCCTGTCACAAAATGTTCTCCGTAACTGTGATGTTGACGGTGCTGTCGCCAGACGCCATAGTTAGAACGGGTCATAGCCTCAACAAAGCACAACTTAGGATGAATCAACGTCACTCGAAAGAACCGTGCGTCTCGAAACGCCGAGAAGATTCGAAAAAATCGTGTTTTGGGTCCCAACGACGACAGCGCTACTGAGAGAGCCCCTCTATCCCACCTACTCCCACTCTGCAATCTCTCCAGACTATTCAAGCGCCTTTTCTTTGATTGAGATACCCCCCTGTCGCCGTGAAGACGACTCTTGTTTGACCCTTACAAAAGTTCTTTCTTATCACAACAGACCACACATCATCCATCATGTCGTGAGTTACATGCTTTGCCCGCCACACATCGAAGCTTTCAACTGACCTTTTTGCGCCCAGTGTCGTCGGTCTCGACTTTGGCACACAAAATGCCGTCATTGTAAGTTTGCGCCTATGCTTGTTTTGCGCCTTGGACGAAGACGTACTGACACGTTGCGCAACAGGCTGTCGCTAGAAACCGTGGTGTCGATGTTATCACAAACGAAGTCTCGAACCGCGCAACTCCTGCACTGGTCGGTTTCGGCCCCAAGTCTCGCTACCTCGGTGAGACCGCAAAGACACAGGAAGTTTCCAACCTCAAGAACACCGTCGGATCCCTCACCCGTCTCGCTGGCCGATCGTTGAAGGACCCCGATGTCGCCATTGAGCAAGAACACGTCTCATGCAAGTTGGTCGACATCAACGGCCAGGTCGGCGCCGAGGTCCAATACCAGGGCAAGAAGGAGCAGTTCACTGCCACCCAGTTGACTGCCATGTTCCTCACAAGGGCCAAGCAGACTGCTTCCGCCGAGCTCAAGCTTCCCGTCAACGACATGGTCATCGCCGTCCCTGCCTGGTACACCGACGCTCAAAGAAGAGCCATCATCGATGCTGCCGAGATCTCCGGCCTCAAGATTCTGCGTCTGATCAACGAGACCACCGCTACTGCCCTTGGCTGGGGTATCACCAAGACCGACTTGCCCGGCCCCGAGGAGAAGCCCAGAAGAGTCGCCTTTGTCGACATTGGTCACAGCAACTACACCGTCTCCATTGTCGAGTTCCGCAAGGGAGAGCTCAAGGTCATCTCGACCGCCTACGACCGTCACTTTGGTGGTCGCAACTTCGACAAGGCCATTGTCGACCACTTTGCCGCCGAATTCAAGGAGAAGTTCAAGGTTGACATCAACGAGAACCCCAAGGCCAAGCTCCGTGTTGTTGCCGCTTGCGAGAAGCTGAAGAAGGTCCTTTCTGCCAACGCCGGTGCCCCCATCAACATTGAGTCTCTGATGAACGATGTTGACGTTCGCGGCTTCCTCAAGAGAGAGGAGCTTGAGGAGATCATGAAGCCTCTTCTCGAGCGCAGCACCGCTCCTCTTGAGCAGGCCCTTGCTGAGGCCAAGCTGAAGGCTGAGGACATTGACTCTATTGAGCTTGTCGGTGGCTGCACTCGTGTTCCCGCTCTCAAGGCCGCCATCCAGGACTTCTTCGGCAAGCCCCTGTCTTTCACTCTGAACGCCGACGAGGCCATCGCCCGTGGTTCCGCTTTCGCCTGTGCCATTCTCTCCCCCGTTTTCCGTGTCCGCGATTTCTCTATCCACGACATCTGCAACTACCCCATCGAGTTCACCTGGGAGAAGAGCGCCGAAATCCCCGACGAGGACACTTCGCTTACCGTCTTCAACCGCGGCAACGTCATGCCCTCGACCAAGATCCTTACTTTCTACAGAAAGCAGGCCTTCGACCTCGAGGCCAAGTACGCCAAGCCTGAGATGCTCCCCGGCAAGATGAACCCTTGGATCGGCAGATTCAGCGTTAAGGGCGTTAAGGCTGATGAGAAGGACGACTTCATGATCTGCAAGCTCAAGGCCAGATTGAACTTGAACGGTATCCTGAACGTCGAGTCTGGATACTACGTCGAGGACATGGAGGTTGAGGAGCCCATCGAGGGCGAAGATGTGAGTTACGATGAAGAAGCGACTTCGCAATCTCGATTCAATCATGACAGAGAAAGCAAGCGACCCAAAATTACGCACAGTGCTGACATTGATTTACAGGGCATGGACACTGACAAGGAGCCCAAGACTCGCAAGGTCAAGAAGCAAGTGAAGAAGGGTGAACTCCCTCTGTCCGCCGGTACCGCCTCTCTCGACACACAAGCCATTGCCGACTTCTCCGAGAAGGAGCACAGCATGATCATGGAGGACAAGCTTGTCGCCGACACCGAGGACAAGAAGAACGAGCTCGAGGCCTACATCTACGAAATGCGTGCAAAGATTGACGAGGAGTACGCCGAGTTCTCCAGCGAGGAGGAGAAGACCAAGCTGAAGGAGAAGCTTGAGGCTAGCGAGGTAAGCACTGACTTCAACGACAGTACCAATTCATATACTGATGTTGTACCTACAGGACTGGCTCTACGACGAGGGTGACGATGCCACCAAGGCCGTCTACCAATCCAAGATTGACGAGATTCGTGCTATCGGTGGCCCCATTGCCCAACGCTACCTTGATAAGTTCGAGGAGGAGCGTCAAGCGGCCCTCAAGGCCCAGGAGGAGGCCGCCGCAAAGAAGCGCGCCGAGCAAGAAGCCATCCAGCAGGCCCAGCAAGAGCAGGCCGCCGCCGCTGCAGCAGCAGCCAAGATGGCCGCTCAGCGTGAGGAGCAGGACAAGAAGGATGCCGAGATGCAAGACGCATAGATTGACGGCGGCACTGGTACCACTTCCTCTCCATCTACCCCAACAAAAAAGAGACTCATGAGGAGAATCTCGGGGCTTTTTACACGCAACAATACGAAATGACTTGAACTACCAACCAAGACAAGAACACTAGACTCTGCCGTTACGTTACTATTTCACTTTTCTTCTAATGTTTTGCATTTGATGTCAACAAGTCGGTATGATCCGGACAAGGCGTGGAAAATGGGTAGCTTGTTATGTTTTTCGGTTGCACTACTACAACAGTACGAAAACGAATGATTATTTTGAAGTTAATTCACAGAACCAGTAATCCATGAAAGCGTGTTTATCATTTGCACTCTCATCCCGCCTGCTTATGACTCACAACCACGACCTCCTCAAGGCAGCATAGAACAATAGCACACTGTCAAAATGCACATTTATCTTTGATATCACAGATGTAGCCAGAGACAGGGAGAGTGAGAGTGACTCTCAGTAGACACTCCTCGTCTCCTAAAATTACTGTGCATTCTTATAGCTGCACGTATCGTGGTCCAGCATCCAGAGAGGCCATGGGGGGCTACTACAGTATCATCACAGCCGCAATGCCCCACAGCAACGTGTGGCGATATAGTGACTATAGAAATGCACAGTAGTATTGAATTCAGAGCTCAATCCAGTGAGAGCCGCCAAATTAGGGGCTCTCAGTGGATGGGCCTTGCCCCAACAAAGCAGTGTGCAATTTTATAGATGACTCAACTCCGCATATGGGAAGAGGAGATAGCAAGTACTAGGCATGTCGTGTAAAGCTGACCATGTGATTGTAAGCTATTCCCGTGCTGACTTGAGTAGTATCTGTTGCTATAAGAATGCATGAATCTGTTGTGTTTGGCAGTCGTTGCCACTGAGAGCCCACCCCCTCACTACACACTCAGTCGTCGCTGCACATACCCGTGTAGTCGACTGCTTTTGTTCTGCGTCCTGCTCTTGTCTTGACTGGTATGCCCTTCTCGATTGCCTCCTTCTTTGCTTCGGCCTTGTCCATAGCCTTGCTCATGTCGTCATGTAGCTTCTTGTAGTAGTCATCGTATGCCTTCATCTGCTTCTCGCACTTTTCATTGACATAATACCAGAACATGCCATGTTTGGTACAACGCCCGTCCACTGCACCTGGCATAGTAATGATGCCAAAGGCCTCCTCGCGGCTCTTGCCACCGTCCGAACACAGCGACTTGAGCAATGGCAAGAGAATCGAAGGCCAGTCATGCCGAGAGCGGTAACCGTATCTGTACTGCTTGAGCTCGAGCTTGGCCAGAGAAACTGCGGGAGACAGCAACTGATAGGCTTCCCTGCCAGAGACTTTGTAGGTTTGATCGACGGAGATAGACACCAGAGACTTGACACGCTCTGGGCCAAGGTACTCGAGGAATCTTTGCAGCATCGTAGAGTCAGGAAACTCAAAGGTGTGCCGGCTGAACAGATATGGCGACGCTTCAGAACTGGTTTGCTTGTTTACTCTCACCAGACTGGTGCTGTAAGGCTCGGCTTCTTTCGAGATAAGTCGATTGTTGCCTTCATACCAGTCGGTGCTAATGATTCCAGAGTGCTTGCCTGAAAGACGAATACTACAGCCGGGACGTTCAAGAACCAAGGAGTAGATCATGTTGCGGATCTCGGCAGGTAGATCGAGGAATGGGAACTTTTCATTCTCATCAGGCTCAGGTTGCATGACAAAAACGTGACGTCCAGCGTATGGACCTTCGTTCATCAGGACAGGTTCCAAGGAGAAAGGCTTTTTCGAAGTGAGTTTGATGGTTTGAGCGAAATTCTTGTTGTTCTTCTTGCGCTGCATTGATTGTCAGCAGAGAGCGTGAATATTGTCAACTCGGAGAGACTCGCGACCGCAGAAGTGCCACCGGGAATCGTGCAATGAATGTTGCGGACCATACGATCGCTCTTGGTTTTGAGAATAGCTTTGAAATCTGCGTTGAGTTCGACATCGCTACTGGAGTCATCGGCTGGCTCTGGGTCGTTCTTGATGGGGTTCTTAGCTGGAGTCGCCTTGGTCTTCTAAATTAGCCATGCGCAAAGGAGCGTGATGTGGTACATACCTTGGACGCAGCTGAGCTGCGGGTCGAGCGAGGCATGATGTTTGAAGATGATTGAAGTCAGGAAGTTGTGCAAGGTTGAGAGATCGAAGGAGGAGAGAGGAAGTGTACGTTCATCAGAAGCTGAAGAAGGTAGGTGTTGCAGCCTTAGAAACCAACGCGCCTTCCTCCCGAGTGACAGTGAGAGCTTCACTCTCACTCCCAAGACTTTCTTATGGAAGTCTCACAAGTCATGCCACCTTCCACTTGATGATGCAGAGTGATATGTCAATCACAAAAGTCGCAAATGTTCTTCAGTCAGAGGTTCAGGCAAAGTAGCCCTAGGTTCTATCACCTTCTCAACGAATACTGCCTCATCTCGAGTTCTCTTGATAGAAGGCAAAGACCAAAGTGCACATTCACTTGGCTGGTCTGGCTCTTGCTCCAGAATACACAATGATTGTGAAGAGAGGTGAAGACTTGCTAGGACTCACAACCACTCCATCCGATTACGGCAACTAACCTTGACATACATATATATCGTTCTCTGTCTGGACCAAGCCATTCTATGCCGTAGGCAGGGTGCTGATTTTGCGTCAGGAAGAAGTTCCGCTCTTGCTGTGCATACAGACAGCATAGTGCTTGATGATTCTTTCGAAGGCCGCAAGCTGCAGCGTTGGTCTGTTCACAAATCTCAATGTCAGTCATACGATCTTGAAGAGCGAGGTGGTTATCGCTTAAATATTCATCACTCCTTGGTCAAAAAATGACCTGGCATGCAAAACTTCTTGATATACAAGTTTACTTTTGGATCTTCTTCTAAGTGCCTGTCATCAAGCAAGGTGTATCACTACAGGACGGCGCCATTCACTCCGCAACGCCTGTATACATATCCTACAAGTCCCAAAGCTGATCGAACAACATTCCTACATCTAATGACTGCCTTTGCTCGAACGACGCCCGCTGAACATAGAATGTCTAGTGGGGCTAGTCAATCCCGACATCGTCTTCCCGGTATGAGCAAATGTCTTCACACCAAATTTGATCTCGGTAACGCGAGCCCATAGTCCTTGCACCGCTCGCTGGAGCTCGGGACCCATATCGCGATTCATGAGGCCAACGGCAAGCGGTGTGAAAGTGGTGGCGTGACGCTCGAAATCATCGGCATGGAAGGCCGTGTATCCTTCAAGCACATCAACCACAACAGGTCGCCAAGTCATGATGTTGCGTTGTTGTGTATCCTCATCGAGCTCGATATAAGAGCTTACAATGTCGGCACAGAGAGGGATGAGTGCCTGTTCCGTCTCGGTGCGTGATGCTTTGCGCTCCTCTCCTTCATCAGAGAACATTCGCAGAAGAATACTAACATAAACGGATGCTGATCCGGACTCCTGCTTGAGCAAGTTCGGGGGCTGACGCATGAAGCCTTCTCTGAACAACTTCGTACGCAACTCGCGATCTTCGTTGAAGCGTTTGGCGAAGTGGTACGACTTCTTGAGCAATGCCATCAAGCGCAGCAACAGATGAGAAGGAATGGCAGCGTACACGGAGTCGTTGGAGAACAACTCGCTGACAGTGTCAATCATCAGCAGTTGTAAGACACACTTGGTGATGATCTGATTGAAGAAACGGCGACGTGCTGCAGTGACGACCACTGGCGCGTTGGGTGTTTGCGACGTGTTATTGAAGGACTCGAGCTCGTTACCTTCGCCAATCTGTGCCTGCTTTGAAGGAGACAAACTTCGGTCGGATTGCATAGTAGCCGTGGTATTGCCCCGGGGACGTCTGGGCGATCCCTCGCTCGGAGGGTGTTCTTCCCCGTTCATGCTCAAAGGACTCTCTGATGGTATAGACGCTGGATCTGCAGAAGGAGTTTCGGTCATCGAAAGGCCGTCCATCGGTGCTGGAGCAGCCTTGGAGCCGTTCGAGGCACTGGAATCTTTCCTGTACGAGGAAGAAGTTGCTGCTGAGAAGAGAGCTGTCGCTTCGGTTCGTGCGAACAAGTCGACGAAAGCGCCAACAACTTTTTCCCAATGTCCAGGAGTAAACTTGTGGACGTTTTGAAGAATAAGTTGTTGCAAGCAGTTGCTCCCGATCCTAGCCAAAGTGTCGTTCTCTTGGCAGATGCAAAGTGCCAAAAGATCCAAGAACCGATCAAGCATGTACTCGAGAGAATCGAAGAAGTGTGTGAAAAGACTGATCATGTTGCGAAGCGCTTGTATCATGGTTGTCGATAGCCATACCGAAAGCTCTTCGTGGTTGAGAGCCTTCGACATCTCTGACTTTGATTTTAAGACCATGAAGATAGGGTAGAGCAGCTGGCGCCATAGAGTGTCCCAGAATTCGCGAGGGAAGTCACCGCCATATCGTGTTAATGTCTCGAACAAGTAATTGAGCGCCCTAGACTGTTAGCATCCGCAGACTAGCGATAAAGACAAATCGAACATACCTGGATCGGACTTCGAGATCATCGCCAGTCATCAACACATCATGGAAAGCAAACAGAACAGGGAACCAAAATTGCTCTTCTTGAGTCTGTCTGGTAGGTTGTTTGGGCATACCCTCTGCTGTAGGAGCATCTTTGACTGTGCTGGCTTTAACACTAAGTGGGCACTCAGGTGTACGAAGCATCTTTGAAACGGAAGACTTGAGCATCTCAATGGCTTGCAGAGACTTTTTCTGGAACTTGTGGTTCTTGGAGAACTCGGTCAAGCAGACGATAAGGTCAGCAAAAGCACCCTGGGTGATAACCACAGCGAAGCGGTCGTTGTAGACTTGTGTGACATTGTCGTAGGCGAGATTCACAATTGATTCTGAGAACTGTTAGGAAAAGCAGTTGCGTTGATCACTAAACACATACCATAAGGCTCACGAGCGGCGACAGTGAAAACACCGAACATAGTCTTCCATCCGGAGCGAATGTTGTCTCCCCTGGCTTGGATCATCTGGATCAGACAGCGCAAGACCATGTCTTTGACAGGAACTTGTGTAGCATTGCTCAGAATGTGTTCGAAAGGCTTCAAGAAGTCTTTTTGGAATTTAAAACCAGGCAATTCTTCGATCTCCATGAAGCGCATTGACAATTGTCTCAGTGAGTTGAGAGCAAAGTAAACGACGTTCGTGTTGTTGTGGCAGCCGACCTGGATGAAGTGTTCACCCAGCACTTGCCAAATGCTCGTCCATTCGAAACGAACACGAGTCATGTTGTAGCCACTGATCTCGACCAGCTTCTGCAGACTATAAGTTCTAGGAGACTCGCTGTTTCCAGACGACTGGATCTCCTGCCAGCTGACTTGAGTAAGGGCTGTGACAAAGTGAACGATCGCATCTCCTGACAAATTGGCAGTGTTAGTAAAAATACGATCAACGCTGCGAACCATGTCGGCAGATCTGCTCTCCTCGGCAACATCGGGTTGATAGACTATGCCACTGACGGAGTTTCTGTTGCGGTGACGAGGAGGAACACCAAGAGATTTGCGGTTAGGTGTGCTCATAGAAGAGTGTGTTCTCAACATATCGGGAACGTCCCCCTCGCTCACACCGGTGGAAATGAGCTGGAATCTGTCGAGTTGACTTATGCACGTAAGGATGTCTCGCCATGATTCCTTTAGTAAGTTGCCTTCGTTTTGTGCAACATCGAGAACAGCTTTCAGAGCCTCGATGTTCTTCGCCTTCATCTCCCCAATATTGTAGAGGTTTGTAAAGCGAGCGAGGGAACCGATAAAAGCCTGTCGGGGATCCGCGAGGTCGAACAAGCAGCAAATCCGGATAGCCAACTTTTGGCCTTCCATACAGAGCCTGATCCTCTCAATGTTGTTTGTTTCTTGGATTCCGCCAGAAAGCGCGGTCAGGAAAGACATCCAGGTCACTTCAAACATCGGGCCGACATGTTTGAATGAGGATGCAGGAATGAATCTGACCAAAGACGACTTGGCAGCTCCGCGACGCTGAGCTTTCATGAGGTTCTTGAAAAGTTGTTCCGTCTTGGTAGCCATTTGATCCGAGGCTTGAGCATACGCCTCTCTTTGCAGATCACGACCAAAGTTGGCAACCGCTTGACCGATGTTTGCAGCCAAGCTACCGGTGCCCTGCGGCAACATGCCTAGATTGGCAGCGTTCTCCCGCTCAGTATCCAGGACAATCTCATTTTGAGCGATTTCCTCGAAGATAGACTTGAGGTAGTCATCTGGCAGACTCTGACCATCGTTGATGCCACGATTGTTCTTGATAAAATCTTCAGGAGTCATGCGAACCTTGACCTGTGCGCTGTGCTGATCGGTATTGAGCATAACAACTGAATATGCTAGCACATAGGCAGTATCGGCATTCGCGAACGCATTAGGGTTACCTCCAGTATATCTTTCGGCGAATTTCAGCATCAAACGATCGATCTTCTGAGCCTCTCCCGGAAGACGGAAACTTTGCAGGAAATTTCTAAGAGCATCGACAAATCGTGTCTTGGTAAAATCCATGCTGTCCACGAAAGCATGCATGATGGCAATATTCTCTGGTTCGCCTTCTCCAAGGAACTCACCGAGAGCTTTTTTGTCTAATCGATCATTGGAAATGAGGAATCGGGCGACATCTTGAGGTGAATCCGAGGGGATGAAGCCACCAGCGACCAGAACTTTGATACCCTTCTTAGGCTTGAAGTTGAACTGTTTAATGGCATTGTTAAGCGCAGTCTTGTGTTGTTTGACTCTTTCAAGCTCGGCAGGGTCATCCTCAGCAAGGGGAGTGCCAGCCACTGCATTCGCAGGAGCCTCCACGCTCGGTACAATAGGCGATTGAGCAATGCCATTTTCACGAGCGTCGATCGAGTCTCTGAAGTCTTCTATTGAATCGCGCGATTCAGGATTTGAGAGTGATGCAGCAACGTCGTTGAGTCCTTGCTGAGACCAGTTGACCATAGAACGTAGCGTCTCTATCAGACACTCAAGAGAATGCTGCTTCATGATGTATTCTGCAGGTATGTCTTGGTTGACATCTGGAACGCTGGCGATTGTCGAGGTAGATAAAGAGGGAGGTAGAGTACTCTGGGCTAACCATTCGGACATAGCATTACCATGCTTTGACTGCTGCTCAATGTACAACAATTCCTGCTGCGCCGTGACCTGCACAGGCGAACTGGCAATCCTGGAAAGGTGTTCAATGATACGTTGGTAAAAGTTGTCGAGTGCTGCTCGGTCGCAATCATAATTGAGATAGAGTTCAACCAGTGCCCTCGGGTCCGAAGCCAGTCTGGTCAAGACTGTAATGATGCATTGTTTCTGGAATGCAGGCGCTGTCCGCTTGTCCAAGATTGCGAGATAGATCTCCTTGAGGAAAACCTCGATTTCTCTTTTGAGCGTGACTCGCAAGTAGCGGATCATGAGCCAAAAGATTTCGCAACTAATTTCGAACACTTTGTTCACAGAGCTAGCTCCATTGCGACTCAAACTAAGGCAGATATATTGTTTGATTGCCTGTGTGAAGCTTGTTGGATCGTTGTTGGAGCTACTACGAATAGTCGCAAATGGTGAAGTGAAGACGGCATGGTGATTGAAGATGGTAGTCTGGATGATGTGAAGGGACAGCAGCTTCGAACGCATCCCCTGAGATCTCAGATCAACAGTCTCCTCGACACGAAGCGTTTTTGTACTGAGTTTGCACATTGCACGGAATACTAGGAAGGCGTCCTTAATGAAGATTTCGTCTTCCTCGTCTTCCTCGGTAATGTCAGAACCATCGGGCTGTACGGTGATGGCGGGAACGCCATCATTGCCAGAATTGGTCCGGGGAGGCATTCGTGACTTCTTTAGGCGGGTGACCATAGTAGGAGCATTGTCACCTATCCGAGCATCATCGAAACTCTTCTTAGTCTCGAATGTCTGGAGAGTCATTCTGGTCGTGTCAACATCCTCTTCTTCCTCTTCCTGCAAGTCAGTGGAAGCTCGTGGTAACCCATTTTCTGCGCCCTCTGAGGGCGACTCGACGGCGTCAGCGGCATCGTTGGCATGGGGTGACTTGGAAGATTCAGCCCTGGCAGCACGTCCAGCAATCCGTGCCTTTACCCTCTCGAAAACGGTCCCAACCATCTGTGTCAAGGTACCTTGAGCAATTTGTTGGTTGGAGCTATTCTTGGACAGCAGGAAGATGTTGTATGTTTGACGAACACTCTTAAGCAGGCCTGCACCGTGGACGACAATCTTGTCGTTGAGAATGGCAGCCAACAAGGATTTGAGGATTTGCATTTGCACCTCGGCAGGGGTGGTTTCGCCTTGGAAGCAGTCGCATATGGTGTCGATGGCACGCTCAATGAGTGGCAGAGGTTGCTGGTTTTCATGGTTCGGGTCTGTAGGAACAGAAAAGTAGGAGTAACTGATAAGTTTGCCGATGCAGTCTAGAGCGGCAGTAACAATGGCGACGGTATTTGCGCGGCTAGCCAATTGTAGGGGCGCGAACAGAATCTCGGGATCTGTCTGGGTGGGATCTCCATGGCTCTTGATTGTTGACAAGGCACGCTGGGTAGCATCTGCCAGAGGCTTCTCCTTACGAGCATCCTTGGAGGCGGCAATCTTTTCCAAAGCACTCACAACAAAGACCATGGATGAACGGGTTGTTGAGCGGGAGGTAGCAACAGTGGACTGCGAGTCGGCGCGTTGGCGAGTAGGCTGGATGAGACGGGGATCGACGGCAGATTGGGGAGCATCTTCGGACTGCGGCGTTGATGTAGACTCTGGTAGAGGAGTTGTGATGGTAGGTAGGGTGGGTTGCTCGGGTTCTTCTGACGGGAGCGAAGGTTGAGTTGTAGGCAGGGCATCCGGATGCGATGTCTCCATGTCTGCATCATCTTGTTGATGTACGGGATCCGAGGATTCGTACGTGAGAGTAGGAGGACCATCGTCTTGCGAGTCCGGGGCACTGTCTAAGGGGACGTCTTGTAGTTCCTGGCTGGAGTCCATGTCGGGTTGCGGCGGGCCGTGTGGTTGCTGCTTGTCGAGAGCGACATCAGGCTCCGTGTTGTGAGGAGCAGGAGCCTCAGTATCTGCCATGCCTGCTTTTTCAGATGGATGTGCAGCAATGCGACATGTGACTGGCTATTTGCTCGAGAGGTATAGTCGTTGGTTGCTGCAACACAACTTGTAGGACCAACTGGACAGCTCTCAATGTACAGTAATGCAATCATGGGGGAGTAACTACAACGCTCGGCCCGTCGCCAGACACCGCCAAGCCAATGCACTATGAATAGGCCACTTTCTCGAAGAACCGGCAAACGACTTGTCTGCCGATATACTCGAGCCCTGCGGACTGAGATGCTAGCTGCTGGCGCCTCTGATACTCCGGACTATCGAGTATACGGAATCGTGAGATCTGCGTGTTTGTTGAGCTGCTGCAGTGCAGGTCTTAAGTACGCGCCGCCCGGGCATGCCAATCTTATCATGGCGCCCGCCGGCTGGACTTCACTTTCGGAGGCACAATATCAGCTCTTACACTGATTGTTAGACCACAGCGACTCTTCCTGAAGACGGCAGAGATTTTGCCGTAGCTTGCTTGAGTGGGAAAATAAATCATGTCGCATCTAGTACCCGATGTTTGATATGGTTGCAGTCACGGGTAGAGTAGGCAGAAATCGGCAAGCATGGACCCCTTCGGAATCGGGAGAGATTCGCCAAGAGGCTTTCGGGGCCAGTCGAGAAGTTGAGTAAAATGTCCGACAAGAGGGCCGACCTTTGTTGAGAGCTACACGACCTCCTCGCTCCTCTCACACATCTCGACCTTCGTTGTGCTCGGTGGCAGAGATTCCTGGTCCTGCATATCTCTCCTTTCTCTTGTCCTCCCCTTAGCCCCCACCCACACACCACACACAATGTCGGCCGCAGCTCTGCTTGCCCGCGCATCGGGAAGATTGTGTCTGCAGTCGCTGAGGGCCAGAGAGTCTGTCGCAACTCCCGCCCTCTTCGGTGCCCTGAGCAGATACTATGCCTCCAAGTGTATGTATCTCTCTCTTCTGCTGCAATTACAATCGCTGATCACCCGTCAATGCAGCTTTCCCCCCTCACACCATCATCAGCATGCCCGCCCTGTCACCCACCATGACCGCCGGCAACATTGGTGCTTGGCAGAAGAAGGCCGGTGATGCCCTGGCTCCCGGTGATGTTCTGGTCGAGATCGAGACCGACAAGGCCCAGATGGACTTCGAGTTCCAAGAGGAGGGTGTTTTGGTGAAGGTCCTCAAGGACTCAGGCGCAAAGGACGTTGCTGTCGGAAACGTAAGCGCACAACAGCTTCATACAGCCCTCGCAACACGCTTTACTGACTTTGTCACAGCCCATCGCTGTCATGGCTGAGGAGGGTACCGATGTCTCAGCCTTCGAGTCTTTCACCATCGAGGATGCTGGTGGTCAGAAGGAGGCCAAGGAGGGCAGTGGACAGGAGGCCGCCAACGCTTCTGAGCCCCCATCCAACTCTTCCGGCACTGCTCCCGCCCCCGCCCAGTCATCTCCCGCTCCCCAGGCACAGGAGTCCGAGTCCACTGGTGAGCGCCTCCAGACCGCTCTCGAGCGCCAGCCCAAGCTCAGCCCCGCTGCTCAGAAGCTCGCCCTTGAGAAGGGTGTTGCAATCAGCCAGGTCAAGGGCACTGGACCCGGTGGTCGCATCACCAAGGAGGACATTGAGAAGTTCAAGCCCGCTGCCACTGCCGCCGCTGCTCCTGCTGGTGTTGCTAGCTACGAGGACGTCCCTGCCTCGTCCATGCGCAAGACCATCGCCGCTCGCCTGACCCAGTCCATGAACGAGAACCCCCACTACTTTGTCGCCTCATCCATCTCGGTCAGCAAGCTCATGAAGCTCCGTCAGGCCCTGAACTCCGCTGCCGACGCCAAGTACAAGCTTTCCGTCAACGACTTCCTCGTCAAGGCTCTCGCTGCTGCTGCCCGCAAGGTCCCCGCTGCCAACTCCAGCTGGCGCGAGGAGAACGGCAACGTCTTCATCCGTCAACACAACACTGTTGACGTTTCCGTCGCTGTCGCTACCCCCGTTGGTCTCATGACCCCCATTGTCAAGAACGTCAACGGTACCGGTCTCGAGTCCATTTCCAGCCAGATCAAAGAGCTCGGCAAGCGTGCCCGTGACGGCAAGCTCAAGCCCGAGGAGTACCAGGGCGGCACCATCACCATTTCCAACATGGGTATGAACGCTGCCATTGACAGATTCACCGCTGTCATCAACCCTCCCCAGGCCTGCATCATCGCTGTTGGCGCTGTCAAGAAGGTCGCCATTCCCTCTGAGAACGAGGACGGCATTGAGTGGGACGAGCAGATCGTCATTACTGGTTCGTTCGACCACAAGGTCGTTGACGGTGCTGTCGGTGGTGAGTTCATGAAGGAGCTCAAGGCCGCCATCGAGAACCCTCTCAGCTTGATGCTGTAAAAGCATTCATGAAGAGAATTCTGCATTTGTAATCTAGTAGTCATACGGGGATACCATTTTCATTTTCCCAGGAAGAAAGTTCACGGCGCAATGATTGGTTCTTATTCGCAAAATTTATCTTCTTTATCACTTCACCAAATATTGAGCTTCACATTTCTCATCAGGCCTGGCTTGTTCAACAAGGATCGGATACGTACCGCTGAATACCTGTTCTTCTGAAAACTTGTGGCCGTATGGCTGGGAGAGTTTACTGACCGCTGCAGATGATTATCTGACGTCTCCATCGACGAATCAGAAGTACGGCCTCTCAATGTGCCAAAGACAGTTACAGTGTAGCTATAGAAATGCACAATACTTTTGTAAGAGTAGGTGTTCCAGAAAGAGAAGCTTATCGGAGGCTATCTGAATGGCTAGCCTCATACTCGAACTACAATTGGGCATTTCGACAGCTTGCTATAACCCTAATAGGTTGGAATGGAGAAGGGCTTAATTGGCAAGCACACGGCGAGGGTGATACAAGGCAGACCAAAGCCTGAACCGGGCCTGAACCGGCTTTCAAGGCCGGTCGATACATCACTCTTAGATATATGACTACAGCTCTTCGCTACCGATGGATATACGATCCACTTACTACTGTCAGTCTCAGGTTGCAAAATTAACTGCCAACGGACAAAGATTGCCGAGCACAATAAAGAACCAGTACCGCCATGCAGCAGCCAAGCGCAACCCTGGCTTCGACCACTGCCCAAGCACAACAAAATCACCAAGATGCGACAAACAATCCGAATGTCGATGCCGAGAAGACAGTCGGCACAGCACTTGCTGCTGCAGACCCTGAGCCCCCCTTCTCTGTCTTTACTCTTACGGAAAAGAAATTCATCGTCTTAAACATATCTTTCATTGGCTTATTGTCTCCTCTGGCAGGAAGCATATACTTTCCAGCTATCGGCACACTCGCGAAAGACTTGCATGTTTCAACTTCAGACATCAATCTGACTGTAACAACCTACCTGGTGAGTCGTTCGGTCTCTGCTGGCGGAGGTTCAAATATTAACACTACATCCTAGATCTTTCAGGCGATTGGTCCAACCCTCTTTGGCAATTTGTCTGATATTCACGGCAGAAGACCAGCCTACATCGGCTGTCTTACTGTCTCGATCGCGGCCAATGTCGCATTAGCCTGTCAAAGATCATATCCTGCTCTTCTGGTCCTTCGTTGCCTGCAAAGCTCTGGCTCAGCAGCTACGGTTGCTTTAGGCCAAGCTGTCGTCGCCGATCTTTCGACAAGAGCAGAGAGAGGCAAGTGGATTGCTTATGCTAGCATGGGCATGATGATCGGTCCCGCTCTAGGGCCTTTAGTCGGTGGATTACTGGATGCCTATCTTGGCTGGCCATCTCTTTTTTGGTTCTTGGCCATATTCTCTGGAGCAATGTTGATGGTGGCACTTTGTTTCTTGTCCGAAACCTCCCGCGCTGTCGTTGGGAATGGATCTGTTCCACCGCAAAAGTGGAACCGCACCTTGTTGTCATGCTTACGAAAGAAGGATGTCGCTAAGCAGACCAACACGATACAGCGCTCGACGAAGAGGCCGAACCCTATCACGTCTCTACTTATCATATTCAAGAAAGAAGACGGGCTCATTCTGCTATATGGTGCCTTGTTATACGCTGGGTTCTACATCGTCCTGATCACCCTGACCGATCAACTCTCACAAAGCTATGGCCTGAGCACTGTGCAGATCGGTCTCTGCTACTTGCCCTTCGGTGTCGGATGTATGGTCTCACGCTTCTCCGTCGGTGTACTTCTAGATCGCAACTACAAACGCCTTGCACGTCAGCTTGACCCATCTGGCGATGCCAACCCCAACGCCAAAGAATCAGACGCCTTCCCCATCGAGATGGCTCGTCTACAAATTGGCATTCCGACGGTTTTTGCTGCGGCCATCGTTACCATAGTCTACGGCTGGGTCTTGTACTACAAGACCTCGCTGGCAGGTCCACTGATTATGTTGTTCTTCGTCGGCAATTTCACCACTGGAGCTTTCAATGTGTTTGGCACTCTGATTGTTGATATCAACTTGCACCAGCCAGGCACAGCAGCTGCGGCAAACAACCTGGCCAGATGTGGAATGGGTGCGGCTTTCACGGCCTTTGCACAACCTTTGGTGGACGCTATCGGGATCGGGTGGGCGAGCGTTGCAGTTGCTTTTCTCTGGGTTCTAGCAACGCCTTTCCTGTTTGCTGTGATCAAATGGGGACCTAAGTGGCGTGCTGCAGAGAAAACTAAACTAGAGCAGAGAAAGGGTCAGAAGTGAGGGATGCTGAGATGTCTTTTCAACAATTCGTAGCACAAGATCTTGCTTTCGGCCAAGATGCACTTTTGTTGAACAGAGCGATATCAGAAAGAGCTCTCTCAAGGTCTTTTAGTTCTAGCACATGAGAAGAACGTTGAGATGACAACAGGCAAACACAGAAGAGAAATATAAGAATTCAAAGCTCGAATTTCATTCAAACAATGTAAAATAAGGTTAAAAGATGAAGACGACCTGACGGATACATCCAAGAAAGAAACTTCGACTATACCACCCCAAAATTTGTTGTTTTATCCAGCTATACGTGCTCAGCCTGCTAGATTTAGAGGCACTGAGAGTAGTAGTCGTTCTGAACCTTGCAAGTGGTGCCAGATTCACATTGAGTTGCTCCAGTAAAGCCCTTACCGCCGCACTGCTGGTATCTCTTGGAGGTGCCGCTGGTGGAGCCGCCAACAGAGCCAGTGGCAGTGGAAGCAGCGGCGCTGGACTTGACGACAGTAGCCATGGTAGTAGGATTGGCAGACGAAGCGGTGGTGGCAGGGACCTTGGCTGAAGCGCTGGAGCTAGAAGCGGGAACAGAAGCAGCAGCAGAAGAGGCGGGTGCGGAATCAGATGAGCCGTTGCTGGGCCAAACGGCAGGACCAGGGGGCTGGTAGTTTTCGGGGATAGGGTAGTAGATGCTCAACTCAAGGCTGTCCTCGTGGCCAGTGTAGACACCAGGGATCTTGACAGTAGGGGAAGGCTTAGCAGTAGAGCTGCCAGAAACCTGGATCTGAGCGCAAGAAATGTAGAACTGGGCACCACCGAAGGAAGATGCACTGTGAAGACCGATGTGCTCAACACGGAGGAGGTATTGTCCAGCAGGGGTGTCCTTGGGGAGGTCGAAGGTAACCTTGCTGAGGTGGTCGGCCTTGAAGGTAAGACCGTTGTCGCCGGGCTTGTTGGCACCCATAGTGAAGATCTTGAACCATTCACCGGAACCGTCATATTCAGAAGCATCGCCATCAGCCTTGGACATGTAGACGTTGAGAGGACCAGGGTGCTGGATAGGGGTGTCGAGAGCGAAACCAACAGTGTCACCAGGGGCAACCTTGTAGGTCTTGGTCTGGGCACCGGTGTCGAGGCCACCAGCATTGCAAACGAGGTCCTTGGAGGTAACATCGGTAACGGGGGAGTTCATGTTGCTGTTCTGGCGAACGTACTCGTACTCCTTGGTGACCTCGTCGCCAACAATGAGCGAAGTGAAGCGGTAGTGGGCCATTGCGGTCTGAGCCAGAGCGGCGGCAGCCATGATAGTAGCGAAGGAACGCATCTTGATAGGTTTGATGTGTATACCGCTGGGGTCTTCTTGAAGAACGAAAGGTGGTTGAAAGAGTGACTTTTTGGTTGGTAGTTGAAGGACGACCAGCGACCTGAGTGAAAAAGAGTGAATGAAGAGGCTTGAATGCTTGAGAGGAACAAGCAACTTGCAAGAAGGAAACTTATATACTTGACCTGCTCTGAGTACCCACAGCTGGGTGGGGGTTGTATACTGGGATGCTCTGTTTCAGGATATTTCGGCTATACTGTAAGCGAAGCGGCAGAACGTGGTTCGTTTCGTGTAAAAGCTTCAGCAACAGCAGTTCACATGAGCCAAGCAACGTCCTCATGGCTGCATCTAGACTAGAGAGTGTAGTGAAGCCAATTCATGGCTATTCTTGAAATAGTGTTGCTTTTCGTGGTTGACTCTCTGCAGGCAGGCCACATGAGCAACTACGAAGGGCATTTGTGCCGAGTTACAATGCCTTCAATGAGAAAGCGCATAGCATGTATGTATCTATGGTTCCCCAAGCGAGATTAGGAGATCACGCTCAGGGCGCATACAAGGTTGATCACACCGCGGTCGTTGGATGTGATGCAGGACAGCGCGTAGGAAGATGTTTGGAGGAACCCGTGAAGTGGAGAAACAGCGGCGGATGCCAAGGCTTGGCAACGACGGTCCGTTCCCGAAAGTGTGTTTCAGCCAGGAGAACGTCCACTTGCGCCTGCCTTCAACAAGACATGGTGACCCACAGTGTTTTGTGAAAATTAACTTCTCTGCTAGATCCGGCGTTCGCTACGCTCGCATCCTGCCATCGACCGCGGTTGGTGAAAGAGTTTGAAGGGGAGAAGGCGGACCAACCACAAATCTGCCATTACCGCCAGTGCTCGACGTGGGTCGCCTGAAGAATCTTGTTGTCAAGTTAATCTAGACCGTATATAGGAGGGAGTCATTAACGTAATATGTGCAACTACTCTATCACAGAAGGCGCATTTGCTAATGTCTGCAAAGTTCGCCGCAGGTAGTCATGAACAAGAAGAAGGCATGCACCGAATGTAGACAACAGAAGGTTCGTTCCATCTCTATCAAGCGGACTTAGATGATCCATTCTGTGCTTAGCAATCGTGACAGGCTAAATGCGATGCATACCTCAACCCAGGCGATGCTTGTTCACGATGTAAACGAGTCGGGTTGCAATGCACGATTTCCGATCCCTTTAAAAGAGAGAACAAACGCCAGTATGTGAGCATGAGCATAACACTAAACACCTCGCTTATGCCTCTACAGGAGATTGTCAGAGCTTGAGAAGGAGACAGACACTTTACGCAAGCGGCTGATGACAGAAGACCATCGATCGAGCGTCATCGAGCCCGTGCAAGCAGAGCGCCACGACCACTCTAATATACCTTCTCATCCTGAAGCTTCAACAGCGAGATACTCCCGTGTGCCCAGTGCAGTATCGCCTTCCGGAAGTCTTGGCTCGGTATCTCTTGCCACTCCTGTTCATGCGACTAGAACTGCAACCTTGGATGGTCAAGCACTAACGACAACCCCTCGAACCTTGGATGGAGTGACCGTCCAGGGCTCTGATATTGATGGCATCTTCGAGTTGTATTTTCGAGAATATGCACCGTATCTTCCTATCCTCGGCTCCAGGCCGTCGGCGGATGGGTGTTACAATCAGTCACCTGTACTATTCTGGATCATCATTGGAACCGCTTGCAGAAGCTACACGCGGAATCCAACTCTTCTGAGTGCACTCAACAAAGGCATTACTAACTTGGCGCTGTCATCTTTGATCACCACTGGGTCACCCTTGCAGCGCGTTCAGGCATTCGTATTACTGGTCACATGGCCTCTTCCAGACGCCGTCGAGACCAATCAGCAAGAGATCAACTATGTCTTTGCCGGTATTCTGCTGCACCTGGCGCAAAGAAGCGGGCTACATGTGCCCGCTGGTTCTGATGAGTTCTTCAGAGCCACGACGCCCAATCTTCCAGACATAGGTATTGCCCGTCGAACAGAACTATGGGCCTATATCGTTTTGACTTATCAGAGGTGTCTAGAAGCATCACCGTGATCCTCAAATGTTGCTAACTTGGCCAGGACTTGCATGAGCAAAGGGTTTTTGGCCCGCACTTCTTTCGATATCTCTCCTGAGATGAGTCAAAGTCAGAGCCGACAACAAACACTATCCTCAGCGCTCAAGCTCCGTCTCAAATGGCAAGATCTCTGTATTCAATGTGGCTCTGCTGTGTCAGAAAACGGGATGCGTCACTTGACCTCAGATCAAGATCGTGCTCTATCAATCATTATCAGAACGTATGACCTTCAGATCAGGGATCTAGAGTACACTGCTGCAGATGGTAAGTACCTTGAATCATGTACACGAAGCTTATGGCATTTGGTCTCCTTTCACAATGGCATAGATTAGAAAGCACTTTGTCAGGAGGCCATTGCTTCCGGATGCAGACATGCATCAATCGTTATGTAACGATTACATATATCTCTTGAGAGGCTACCCAGCCCTCGAAAGCATTGTGCATTCCTGCAGTGATACACTCTACACGGGAAGGCTGGGCGAAGGAGCTCTTATGTCTCAATCAACACTACCTGGCTAGCTGAGGACCTGAAATACAGTACATTCACTAACTTTTACTAGAGTCGGATCGACTCGAATGCAACATTGCCCAGCTCTACATCCGAAGTTTCTACTTCTTGAAGCAAGACAAGACATCGTATGCCACTAGCTTCGACAAGATCCAACAAGTTGCCCGTCAGGTCATCACTAGAGTGGAAAAACTCACACTTAGTCTGCGGAACCCTTTGTCAATACCAAGCTACATTGTAAACGCTCTCCTCTTTGCCTCATATGCACTCCTCCGCATCCTGAAGTCATCTATCCCTTTCCTTTCGGGAGAAAGCGAGGAAGCAAAATCGTCGCTCTTCGCTGCTATCGGCCTCTTGAAAAGCTATTCTATTGACAATAACGACATGTGTTCCAAATCATACACGTGTCTTACAACGCTCTGGAATAGTCCGAGGGCTTTCAAGAAAGCAGATGGAAGCGATATGTTGGAGCTAAGAGCAAGAGGTCGGCTCAATGGCAGCCATGTAGTAGACGCCATTCTCTGGTGGAGAGAAGAGACTGATCTGCACTTCAGAAAGCAGATGCAAAACTTGAAAAACAGCGCTCTAGGTGAGTTTCCTGGCACATTGCCCTGCAAGATCTTGCAAAAACTGACTTTCTGAAGATCCAACAGATCCATTGAGGTCGGGCGCTTCGTCTGGCCTTGCAGTTGAGAGCGAGCAACAACAGCCAACATCGATGGACTTCGGAGACACGCCCTTGTTCGATTTTGATTACTTGATGGGAGGTGATCTCTACTTACCGCAAGATCTCTTGAACTTTCCAGGTCTAGATACCATGGGACCGAGCAATACATGAGCATAAAATGCCGCAAAATTAAGCGTAGATCATGCATAGGGCAAAAAATAGTATTAGTAGTTCAGGCCTCAACTGTATCATATCCTCTAAACTCTAGATTGAGAAGCATGAAGGGCGCTACCTCTTCAGCTGAGCGAACCGCGCTGCCAGCTCATTCACATCAGGGATCTTGCCTCCAGGACCCGTTGTGTCTGGCTTGTTTGCCTTTACCATCTTAGCTGAGGGTTTGAGGTCTGGCGGCCCTGGTAACTTGATACGTGGGGAGACATTGTCGGTCGATGGACTCGGTGGCACCACACTGACAGGACTTTTCGGACCCAGGTTGCGCGGAGGAGTCGCGGCGACTAAAGGTTCCGTACCTTCAGGAGCTTCCAAAGCCGGCACTTTCTGTCCACCACTAGGGTTATCATCATCGTCTTCGTCATCGCCTTGGTTGGCGGCCGCTTCCCTGGCCGCCAGACGACCCTTAGGCCAATCGATGTTGTAGGCATCCGCGATGGTGGACAAATAGGCCTCGACCAGTTCTGGCTTTGGCGGCTCGACCCTCAAGCGATCTAGCACACGCTTTGCAACCTTGTCGTCCTTGTTCTCGGTCGCATCCAACACAAACTCCTTGCCAAACTTCTCGGCCAACAGGGCCCTCACGTTGTGCAACTCCTTGACGTCTGTCCTCGGTGCCGCATAGATGATGCTTTTCACCGCCTCTTCGAGCCCTGCGTCGCATTCTTTTGCCTCCAAGAGACCGGCTCGCGCGAGCAGCAGTTCGCAGTATAGTTCGAGAATCTCGAGTAGTTCGGTGGTCAGGTCGCTGCGGATAATGTTCTCGACACGGATGCGGGCGGATTCGTCTTTGCCTTGCTCGAGCAGTTGGGCCATGGCGCGACGTTGCTGTTTGGCGATTGCCGTGTCCTTTTGTTGTACCATGCGTAGGCGCGAGATGGACAGCTTGAGCTGCACTTTGAGCTTGTTCTGTTTAGGTACGCGCGCATTGTCAGTTTTGGTGATCTATTCGTGATGTCGAGAATCTGCTGTTTCCATACAACTAGGGTCGACGCTGGCGCCATGAGTAGGGTGTTTCTCAATCTGAGTGCGTGGTTGGCTGGTTGCGATGCGTGAGAATTGGAGCTGGTATGCATCGATCCGCCAGAACCCCAGCCATCGTCTGACGTCTGCGGGGTTCGGCCAGACCCTATCCAGACCATCCTCGCCTTCACCTTCCTTTTCCGGCCAACTCGTACACACAATTAGACACATCAGTCATCCTTTTGTTCCTAGAGATCACACAGGATATTCACTGTCTGCACTGTCTGCACTGTCTGTGGAAAAAACTGTCGTTTGTAGATGTGTAAATATGTCCAACCATGATGCGAATGCGGTCCAAATGCGCCCTGTGATGTTCCCGCTCGCTAAGGTGACTTGTCCAATAAAGTGCTTTGCTATAATTGCCCCAAATTTTGTACCAGAGCTGTGAAGAATATGGCTTCGATGAAGAGGCCCTTGGTTCCCTTGCCCAGGTATTCCGAGATGTTTCATGTCGCGTATTATCGAGGCGGGTATCATGGCCTAGGTGAATGCGCCATGGGTACTGCTGGAACTGGTGGTGCTGAGCCTGAATCGCTACGCGCTGTTTCGTAAAGACTCTTGGAGCTAGTAAAGTGATCAGGATCCTGCGTCAATTCCGGGACTGTGTCTGCTCACCTCTTTTTACTTCGTAAACTCGACATACTCTTCTGTCTTACCATACTGAACATCTTGCGCAGGCCCTTCTTCTCGCGTGGTGATTCAAGACTGGGACTTGCTGTTGGTGCTGTCGTTACTGTAGGAGTACGCTGCATGCATGTTAGTCCATGACTTGTAGTCATGTCTCGCAGGGCTTGATGCATACTTCGCTGCTGTTCCTGCTTTGCCTGCTACGTCTTGAACTCGTTGTATCGCTGTAATTGGTGTAGGTGGTCTCGGGTGTGGCCCCTCCGTTGGGCACGCCTTCTTTGGATGATACTGGTCGAGTATGCGCTGTCCCTCGTACGGGCAACTCGACCGGCACTGTCGCATTTGTTGCATAAGCTTCTTCCTCCTCCTCTTCCTCAGGACCCACGTCGGTGCGATCCTCATCTCCACAGACGACAACAAACCAGCCAACCTTCTCGTCCGGCGCAAGCTTATCCCTCAGTTCCATGATTGCGTTCCATTGCTCATCACCGAGCCCCTTTCCCCTGACTTCGTCTACTTCAATGCCCAATTTGACTTGCTCGCAGATATCAGCAATATAGGCGTACGGCTGCGAACAGGCAGCTGGGGACTCATCGGTAGGATCGAATTGCTCTACGAAGCGGAGGTTGGGCAGATTTGCCATGGTCTGCGGCCACAGCTCGGTAAAGTTCTCGAGCATCGTCTCGGTCGTCGCAGGCGCGATAAGCCATTCCGCAGCTGCATCGTCGAGGTTCTGAAGAATGATATGGATGCGAATCAGTGGTCGCGGCCACCGAAAACCATGGATCAGATATGTTGGCATGACGCGCAGTTGACGTGTCAGGAAATGCTCGAGCTGTGACCAGACACGGCTGACGTGATCCCGGGGCGGGTTAATATATGGAATCGACTTAGATGTTGGGAGATGGTGGGGGGGCAGAGAGAGGAAGCACGAGTGAGCGAAATGTCAGATAATTCAAGAGCAAGTCTCGCGAGTCTTGTGCTCTTGGTCTTAGTAGAGTTGGGAAAAAAAAGTATGTGAGATTGCAAAGTGTCCGAGCCCCTGCAATTAAGCGGATCGCTTGATGGATGGGTCCCAGCGAAGTGTCTTGGGTAGACACAAGAAGAGAGAAATGGCTGGGGCGGCCGCTGGAGGGAAGGTGTGACGCGGGTGGTCGAATCCTTTTCTCTGTCGCCGTTGGCAATTGGCGCGTCCAGTCGTTGATGCTGGCTTGAGAGCTGAGAGGTCCTCGATCTTCAGGAAATCGCAAAGAGAGGGAAGCGCAGCGTAGGTCAGAGGACACGAGAACGGCAAAGGACAGTAGAGAGCGGGGGACAGAAGCACAGCGCAGTCGCACAAGGTAACTCAGACTCGCGAAAGAAGAAACAGATACGAGTACTGGCTCGGCTCATGCAGGTTCGTTTGGTTTTAGCTGTTTGCTGGAATTGCGTTCGCGTTCGCGAGTCATCATAGGCTTTTCGAGCCCGCGCCGAACCGTTGCGCTCCACTCCTAAAACGGAATGATACCCGTCCGCCTCTCATTCGTCGCTCGTCTTTCCATGCCGTTTCAGCTCACACGTCAAGCCACCGAGAACCAGGGTGCTTTCTTTTTGACACAACGGCCATTGGAACAACTGTAACAGTCTGCTTTGTGACTTGCGTAAATCCTTACAATCCTCGGCAACCCTAACGCCATGGTCCTCCACCTGCTGGGCAAAAAGTCCTGGAACGTCTATAACAAAGATAATATCGACCGCGTGCGCCGAGATGAAGCAGCCGCTCAAGCCAGAGAGGAAGAGGCCGAGCGTCGAATGGACCAAGAGGATGCTGCTCGACGCATAGCCATCTTACGAAATGAAGTTCCACCACCACTGACAGCGCCATCGCCTCCACCGGGGGAAAGTGCTGCTGCTCGTCCGTCTCGATATGTTGATGACGGTCGAGATCGCAAACGAAGACGTCTGAGGGGCGAGGATGATACCGATAGGGACATGCGTCTTGCCAGAGAAGAAGCCGCTATCGGGGAAGCTGCTCGTGAAAGTTTTAGCCAGAACCAAGGAAGAAGGCGTGAGGACGATGTGGCCTTGACTGATCACGCTGGTCATATCCAACTCTTCACGCCACCCAATGAGCGCACTCTGCTAGCTATCTCTCGCAACGCTGAGGCAGAAGCTGAGAAGGCGAACAAGGCACGTGAGTATGAAGATCAGTACACCATGCGGTTCTCCAATGCAAGTGAGTACAAGCAGTCGGCATCTTCGGCACCATGGTATGCTTCATCAAGCAATCAAGGTTCCATGGTTCAGGAACCGAGTAAGGATGTTTGGGGGAACGAGGATCCGGGTCGTAGGGGAAGGGAGCAAACAAGATTGACTTCGAATGATCCAATGGCATTCATGCAAAAAGCACAGACACAGCTCAAGCAAGCCGAGACAGACAGAGAGAAGTGGAAGATGCAGAAGGAACGAGAACTGATAGAGTTGGACCAAGCTGAGAAAGAAGAAAGACGGAGGAGGAGAGAGCGTCGACACAGACGCGGTCACAGAGAGAGAAGCCAAAGCATGGGCAGTCTTGACGGCTTCTCACTTGATGATCATAACAGAAAGGAAGGAAGAGGCAGCCCCCGCAACAAGAGGAACTTGAACAGGCGGCATAGAAGCCGAAGTCGAGATAGAGTCAACAGGCATGGTTCTTCGCAACGCGAGTCACGCCAATCACATCATCGGCGATCAAGGAGTCCTATCAGGCGAAGAATAGTCTGATGCATAATGAAAGATATCCTTAAAACACCTCGTACTATGTATGATCCTGTGAAGCACTGGACTTGTTACTTCCTATGATTCAAGCTACTCCCGCTCGAGGCTTCAGCATCCGAATCATGGTCGTAAGACGGCACTACTGTGGGATTAGCCTCGGTCACATGTTCCGCTGTGCTAACTCTGTCTCTTCTCTTAGACCTGTCTTCATCATTCACGCCGACACCATCTCCCCTGTGCTCTTCATCGTCCTCGGTAGGCACTGCCTGGAAACCTTCTCTATCAGATTCCTTGCTCTTGATGAAGCTGTCGATGATGTAGTATTGGATGGCGTTCATAGCCACAGGGAAGATGAACATCACGAATGCAATCTGAAGGGCTTCATTGCCTTCGGTCCAGCGCAGAGCCCAGTCACCAACCCATGGCAACCATGGGAGCATTGCAAAGAGCAAGAAGACGAACAGCTTCATGCCGAACAGTCCCAGGAAGTAGATGATAGACTGCTTGAGCCACCAAGTGGCTCGTGGTGGGTTGCCATAATAACCAGACTTGATCGACTCTGGCGGGTTTGCGATGGGAGTTCTTGCGAATAGATTGTGTAGGACACGTAATAATATGACAAGGACAGGGATGCCAATAGTAGTCTGTGAGTGTATCAGCACCGTCTGCTCCAGGTCAGTCAGAATTTACTCACATCAATAGCCAGGTTCAGAAGATAGAATGAACAGGGATTTGGCATGTTGCCGTCGTCAGCAGTAACAGCAGAGACACTTGCAGAAATATCCTCGGGTTTTGTGCTGGCCAGATCGAACTTGCCCGATGAGAACATAGACATGCCCAAGTTGGCGAGATGCAGCAGGAAAGTACCGGCCACCTGCTTGGAAACATCAAAGAACCAGATCTTGAGTGGGCGTCGTGGACGTTCTCTCCAGCGCTTGAAAACAAGAGAAAGCAGAGCGAGGGCACCTAGTGCAGCCTGAACGACAAGGGCAAAAGGACCTAGAAGCTTACACTCGCCATCTTGTGCTTGCATCATACCCTTAGGACCCTTCTCAGACCCGGTGCCGGACTGTGGATGTGGGGGTGGAGGGAAATCGTCCTGCGGAATCGGAGGTGGTGGTAGCAGTTCTTCGGGCCTGAGCGCAGGCTCTTCAGCCTCGACGGGTACACCAGCTATCTGAATAAGCTCTGTATCGAAGACTTTGAAGGACGTCAGTACAAGTACATTAGTTCGACGATGCGAGTAGGCATACTCAATGTGCTGTCTGGAGGGATGACACCGAGATCGCTATGTCCATAGGCCAGTTCTGGAGGAATGACCAGCTTCCTTTGTTCACCAACACAAGCGTCTGACAAGCCCTCATCCCATCCTTTTATCACCTCGCCAACACCAAGCTTGAAGTCGAGAGGCACTCCACGACTGTATGACTCATCGAATACGGTGCCGTCAGACAGCAGCTTGCCACGGTAGTGTACACTGATCTCGTCACCAGATTTGGTAGGACGTTTGCATGTCTTGGGATTGGCCGTGACGATTTCGAGTCCGCTAGCGGTGACCTTAGTCGTAGGGCCACTCAAGTGGTCATCGGCAGCAAGAACGGCGGTGGGAATGGAGAGGATAGCAGCCGAAGCAATGAGGAGCGGGAGCTTAGTGGTGTGCATCGTGTGTCATAGAGGTCTCCGCCAGGGAGACGACCGTGTCGGAAGTCGTTGATGATAAGCGACGCTGGTGAAGGCTGCAACAATGCGTACGTCTTTGTTCAAATGCCGTCTATTTCTCGATCTCGACGCGGTCCTTTGGGGGCACGGTCTGCAAGTCGAATGGACCTACTTGCAAGTCGCACGAGGAGGTCTAGGGGACGTCAGGTCGAGTGTCTCAACCTTTCGGCTGAGCGAGCGCCTCCTGCTGCTAAACTCGCCTCCGGCAAAACGACATCATGATGGATTCCCCGCAAAACCCAAAGACGCAGACCCACTTGCCCTTTTGCTCTCCACGAAACAGCCACGACAAGCCATCGTTGCCATTTTCAGTGCACAATATCATGTTGATTTTGTCTACGTCTGTAATTCTCCGGCCATGCCTCTCAGCTTGACCTTTCTGGAAAGGTTCGAGACTATATCGAAAATGTGAGCCATGTGTCAACCGAGGCATTCGCTATCGTCAATGCCCAAACTGCTGACCACTCCTTAGACAAGCGGCTTCCAGGCTTGCAGATGGCACCCTCTCTTCCAGCGATGCTCAGCATCAAGCCACAAATCTAGAGCAAACCATCCACGACAACTCGGACAATTTGGTAATACAAAGAACGACATCTCCCTTCTTGAGAATTTGTGTTTCTGATCCTTCGCATCTAGCAAGATTACCAATCTCGTATTGATGCCGTGATCCGTGACTTGTCGTTGAAGTCGAGCACACATGAGCGACCTGCAGAATCATCAGAAGAGTCTCTCGTGCTACCCTTAGGTGGTATTAACATTGGCCGTTACACGAATGCAGTACACCATAACGATGGTCTGTTCTCTGAAGTCTACAAAGCAGTAGCTCAATCTGGTTGTGGTATCATCCCAAAGACGCATGGCTACGAGAAGCATCCTTGTCTGGTCGCTCTCAAAGTCACCAATCCGTCTGCCACAGAGCCACCTCACGATTCCGTGCGTGAGGTACGACTACTGGAACGAGCTCGCCATCAATCCGTTGTAGAGCTCGTCGAAAGTTTCCAACAAGCTGGCGGCCATCTTGTGTTGGTGTTTCCATTCATGCCGTATACCCTTGACGATAAACTCAAAAGGGGCAAGCTGCAACTGAAAGATCAGAAAGTCATTCTCTCGCAATTGATGCAGGGCCTTGAGTACATACACAGTTGCGGGATAATCCATCGAGATATCAAACCTTCGAACATTCTACTAAGGAGTCCATCTGGTCCGGCCTACATCTCCGACTTTGGCATCGCGTGGTCGGCTGATGATCCCTCATCTGAACCTGCCAAGGAGAAGATCATGGACGTAGGTACAACAAGCTACCGCCCTCCTGAGCTCATGTTTGGTAATCATTGGTACGATGCGAGTCTCGATATGTGGGCAGCAGGATGTGTGGTCGCTCAAGTGGTGAGCTTGGGTCCTCAAACATTATTTGATTCTGGTGATCTCGGAAGCGACCTTGCCTTGATCAAAAGCATCTTCTCCACGCTTGGAACCCCAGACACCGGAAGCTGGCCTGTAAGTGTGGGACGAGAATTGAGTAGATTGGGCTGGAATCTAACATCTTGCAGGAAGCCAAAACCTTACCTGACTGGGGCAAGATGGCCTTTGTACAATATCCTTCGAAAGACTGGAAAGATGTCTTACCCGGTGCTTCAGCGGATGCAGTCAACCTGGTGCAAAAAATGGTCATGTACGAAAGCGGCGACAGGATGAAAGCGGACCAAGTAAGCCTCGTTGTCTGTAATTTGCAATTAACTACTAACTTTTGGCAGTGGCGGATACAAAGCTTCTTTGGCGAAGAACCTAGCTTTTAGGACCGGCTCTCAGAGCCGAGATATAATCTCCTGAAGCCTATGTGTGTCATCCAATTTTATATACCAGTCAAGCAGATCTGGGGTGGATGCCGATTTCTTGTATTGGTCAATGAAGATGTTATACTCTAAACTTTCTTCGAAACATGTCCAGAATCCGCTTGCCTCTCACACAGCAGAGAAGCGAGTCTTGATCTTCCAGGTACTTGGCGCCTCCGTGCAAGTTTTGGGTAGCCTGATTCCAATGTATAAATTACGGCCCTGGGCCTGAGCTAGCTTCATTCGCCCTGTGGAAATCGTCGTCCTTGAGAGACACGGCCGCGGATGGACAGCTGCACGTCTGATTAGCTCGTGCTCATGATGAGTGTATAGGAGCAAGCGCGCAAATGAAGTTACACTTCGTTACTTCGTTAGTTGTAGCAATCTTAACTCGATGATGGCAGATCGTATGAAACATTGGAGATGTTCGGGCCGCCTGACATGCCAACTTGCCAAGTCAGATTTCGGTGACGGCGTTTACTTTATGGAAAGTCCGGGGGTTCACAACGGTAAACACATAGGCGGTGACGACTTGTTTGCAATCCTTGTTACTGTATTCTTCTGTTGTCTTTTCTTCTTGCCTTCTTCTTTCTCAAGTTAGCACCCTAACAGGGAGTCTTTGTGTTTGATCAGCGTTGCAATTCATCCACGACCTGCAACAACCCCACCCGCATTACAGATATACCAGACAGAGCTGCACACAAGGCACGAGCAGCAGTATGGCGTTCTTGTTTGGCCGCAGCAAAGCCAGGTCTAACCAGGAGTTGACCCGGTCGACCAAAGATCTAATATTGAAGCTAATCGCTGAGGACAAGCCTTCACAAAAGGTATCCGACCACTACGACCCGAGCGAGCTGGACTGGGCTGACGACGGTCAGATCGAGGAAGAAGTGGCACGGAATCTTGGCCAGATGAAGGTCATACTTCAAGGCACGCCCGGTATGCAACAGTCCAGCTGAACAGCAGACCAGCGCACAGCGACTAACGACTGCGCACAGAACTCGACGTCAGCCCCGACCAGGTATTTCAGCTGGTAAATCTTCTCGTTACTGAAGACCTTCTACGAGTTCTCGCCGAGAACATTCACCGTCTACCCTTCGAGTCGCGCAAAGATACACAAACCATCATCTCCAACGTTCTGCGATACAAGCAACCGGGCGAAGACCAACCGATTGCCCTACAATACATTATCACTACCCGTCCCGAGGTCATTATCGCACTTTGCAATGGCTACGATCGTCGCGAGAGCGCTATGCCCTGTGGAGGAATATTGAAAGAGGCCTTGAAACATGATGCCGTTACAGCTCTGATCCTCTACGACGAACCAAGCCTACACGGTCAACCTCTGGACCTTGGTAGCATTGACACAGATCAACCCGCTTCTGGTCAAGGTGTGTTCTGGAAATTCTTTGATTGGATCGACAAGAGTTTGTTCGAGGTCAGCACTGATGCCTTTGATACTTTCCGCGTGAGTCACCTCTATATCACACTCCAAGATAAGACACTAAGCATGGATGACAGCAAATTCTTGTGAGGCACAAGCCTATGGTCGCCAAGTATATCGACACCAATTTCGACCTCTTCTTTGACAGATACAACAACATCCTCATCAAATCAGAGAGTTATGTCACCAAGCGCCAATCGATCAAATTGCTCGGTGAGGTTCTGTTGGACCGCCAATTCTACGAGATCATGACCCGCTACGTCGAGTCTGGTGACAACCTCAAGCTTATAATGTGGCAGCTTAAGGACGATCGCAAGATGGTACAGTATGAGGCTTTCCACGTTTTCAAAATCTTCGCTGCGAACCCCAACAAATCACCCGACGTCAAGCGACTTCTGACCATGAACCGTCAACGTCTATTGGATTTCTTGCCTAACTTCCTGGCCGACCGCACAGAGGATGACCAGTTCTCGGACGAGAAGAGCTATCTTATCAAGCAGATTAAGCTGTTGCCTCAAACACCTCAGCAACCTAGAACTGCAAGTCAGGAATCATCGAAATAGAGTCTCGATGCTAGGCAAGCCTCGAATCGCGATCGAGAGTTGACAAGAACTATCGCAAACATGGAATTTAGGCGCAAGCTCGAAGCTGTTACCGCTAAGAGACTGGCACGAAGAAAGCTTGTCAATTAATGAGAGCCGCGAAGACTTCTTCGCCAGGCTGTTTGAAGACATCAGAAGGGCCAACAAAAGAAGGACGGAATCAACTATCGATGTGAAACTTGCGGAGTGCAGTTCTTACATAGATTGAGGTTTGCATTGCTATGGCGTAGAGGCGGGATGGCGTTCAGGACGTGAGAGGGATTGTATTGGTTGCTTTTCTTCTTTCTTGCGAGCGATTTGCGTTTGCATTTTGGGTGGAGGTTTTGTCGCATGACGAGAAGACTGATTAGTTGTTTGTCCAGTCTGTTGATTCTTCGTGGCCAATGGCCTCAACAGTGTACATAAAGGCATGGTTGTTGTTGCAGCATTATTTATCCTTGAGGCTCTCTACTACAGAGCTTGCTCGAGCATCAGCAATTCCCTTGATATCCACAAGGCAGTACAATCGGCGGTTGACCTTCGATGTTGGCATCAAAGCTGGATATATTTATCTCGGTGCCTGACGCAGGAAGTTTGAGGCTCTCTGCGAGAAACCGGATTATCGATCTCGAGATCGGCCCGATCTGCCGCTAAGGTCGTATGTGGCAACCCAAAGTGCAGATCATAGACGTCGACCGCTCGGCAATTGACCGACATTCAATACTTTATACAAAAACAAAGAAACATACCCATTCATCAGTCAACAGGACAGAGGGATATGTTTGCTTGCTCTCAGTGAGTGATGCCATCCGGAAGCGCTGGGCAAGCCTCTTCCTTGGGTCGTCATTTCAACCCTCGCAATGTATGTTCGGAGCCGCTTCCACCGCCACGCGCTTACTGCTCACAACCTCGAAGCTCAGAAATGCAACATTTATTCTCCCACGGACAGGGGAACGCGTTAGACGCGCATTCTCGTTGCAAACTCTAGGAGACAATGCCCGTGAAGAAGCTGGTTCACCAGAAGAACGTGAGGGTCTGCTGGGTACGGATCCGGACGTGTCATGTCCGCCAGCTCGTGAGCGTAACGCTATACTGAAGCCCCTGTATCGCTGGCGGGACCGATCCATCGATTTTTGGGCTTCGAACCTAGGACAGGGTATCTTCAAGTGCTCCATCGCCTATTTACTAGGATCTTTGGCCACGTTCCTTCCCTTTATCTCGGCCTTCCTTGGGAAGCAAGACGGCAAACATGTTGTTGCAACCGTTACGGTGTACTTCCACCCTTCAAGGACAGTCGGCAGCATGATCCAAGCCGTGGGCATTGCTTTAATCGCCTTTGTATACGCAGCGTTCGTGTCCTTCACTAGCATGGCTATCAGTATGGCCCTTGGCAAGCGCGATCTTCTGGTTCTTGGCCATGCAATCGTTTTAGTGATCTTCTGTGCTGGCGGCCTGGGCTTCATAGGTTGGCTCAAGCAGCGACTTGGTCATCCGACCGTGAACGTAGGGTGCAGTCTTGCCTCTTTGGCGATTATCACCATCCTAACCAAAGAAGGATCCATTCAAGCTGCGAAATTCTCCGAAGAGAAGGTTTTCCAGGTTCTACGCATGGTACTACTGGGCATGGCGGCTACCACGGCAGTCAATCTGCTCATCAAACCTCGTTACGCCAAAAGAGAGTTGCGCCGCGACTTTGTCAAGATGACCGACTCTTTGGGGGACAAACTTATTGCTATCACGAGAGCATTCTTGACTGGTTCGGAGACGGAGATGCAGGGGCCTGCATACAAGCGAGTTGATAAGGACTGCAAAGCCAACGAGACCTCGATGAAGAAGAACCTGATTGAAGCCAAATACGAGCATTATATGCTGGGTAGAGAAAAGGAATATCGCATTGAGGTCAAGCTTGTCAAATGTCTGCAAGGGCTTTCTCAGAGTATTGGCGGTCTTTACAGTGCGGCTGACACGCAGTTTGCCCTTATCAAATCTTCACCAAACATCAATCGATCAGACTCAGCAATAACATCCATGTCGTCGTCCTTCTTGGGCGCTTCGCAGCTTGTGAGCGAACCAGGCGAAATCCGAGGATCCTTGACACCAATTAGTGAGACTCCTGAGTCGCCAGCCGATCAGCTGATTCCGTTCAGTCCTATGGCTTCGAGCTTCACCAGCAACTTCACAGACAAGAGGCCTTCATTATCACCTTCTGATATGTTTACAACGTTCATAACACAGCTAGGACCCCCGATGAAGTCATTAGCCTTTACTCTCAAATCGATCTTGGATGAACTGCCGTTCCAGTCCGGAACTGACGATGTAATCGCCGTCAATGTCAACTTCAGAACAAGTCTTGCCCAGGCCATCGAGCTTTTCAACAACGCCAGGAAAGAAGCATTGTCTACATTGTATCGCAACAAGGAGATCACGAATGCCAAGTCTCTGGAGCGTGTGGCCGATTTGGAAGAGGTTGCCGCGAGCTGCGGGCACTATGCTGCAGCAATGATTGATTTCGCCGAGGACACGCTCAGATATCTGGAAATCTTGGAAGAGCTAAAGGAAGAACTGGAACAGGAAGATAGAAATCGGTCCTGGAAGTGGCTGGCCTTCTGGAGGAGACATAAAACTGACAAAACTGCAAATGAAGAAGCAGGTCTATCACTGTTGCATGAACCTGATGAAGCTTTAACGACGGACATCGTCAAGCCCATCCTCCAGGCGGACACTTTTGCTAGAGCGGGACGCAACATTAAGGAACCGTTCAGCCACCGACTTTATCGCATGTTCAAATTTATTCGAAGGGATGACATTCGATTTGCGATAAAGGTCGGCGTCGGCGCAGCGCTCTTCGCCTTGCCGTCTTTCATGATGTGGTCTCGACCCTTTTACCAACACTGGCGTGGAGAATGGGGTCTTGTTTCCTACATGGTCGTATGCTCAATGACGATCGGAGCTTCCAACACGACTGGTATTGAGCGTTTCATAGGCACAGCTATGGGCGCTGTACTCGCGATTGCGGCATGGATCATCTCAGACGATAGCCCCTGGCTTCTCGGTTTCTTTGGCTGGCTGATGTCGCTTGGCTGTTTCTATATCATCCTGGTGCAGGGCAAAGGACCCATGGGGCGTTTCATCCTGCTTACATATAACCTATCTGCCCTGTACGCATACTCGCTATCCGCAAAGGATAACGATGACGATGACGATGAGGGCGGCATAAACCCCGAAATCTGGGGGATTGTCCTTCATCGTTTCGTGGCAGTCATCGCTGGTTGTATATGGGGCATCGTTGTGACCCGAGTGATCTGGCCCATCTCAGCTCGTCGCAAGCTCAAGAATGGCATTTGCTTACTTTGGCTACGTATGTCCTTAATCTGGCGCAGAGATCCACTGGCCATGTTCCTCCTCGGTGAGCCTGCTTCGGCATACATGGATATACGTGAAGAATCTGAACTGCAGACCTTCCTGGCGCAACTGGAAGCACTTCGCAAAGCTGCAGCCTCTGAGTTCGAATTTCGAGCTCCATTCCCTGACAAGGCGTATGGCAAGATTTTGGAAAGGACAAAGCGCATGTTGGACAACTTTCACTCTATGAACATGGTGATAGCCAAGGACCTCAAAGCCAGTCCTGGAGAAGCAGAAGTGCTCAGGTATACTCGAGCGGAGCGATTTGCGCTGTCGGCGAGAATCAGCCATCTGTTTTCCGTGTTGGCTAGTTCAGTCAAGTTGGAGTATCCTCTCAATGATGTGTTGCCCAACATTGATCACACAAGAGACAGATTATTGGCAAAGATCTTTGAGTTCAGAAGGGATAGTGACAAGGCTTCTCTTGCGACTGAGGAGGACTATGAGTTGTTGTATGCTTATGGTGAGTCTGACCGACATGGAACACTCGACGACGTATACTGACATGAACGACAGCACTCGTGACTGGCTCGCTGGCACAGGAAATCATAGGCGTCAGTGCAGACTTGGAGGAGTTGTTTGGCAAGCTGAACGAAGACAACCTGGCGCTATACTAGTCCGCACACAACATGTTGAGAAATGTCATGGAATTACCCTCGTCTAATGTGATGTGAAGGTGTCATTGTACGTTTATGAAAGGTTTAATTTGGGTATACAACAAAGCGTGGTGCAAGTGTACGGAAGTGAATGCCTATGACTGGTGGTAGTCTCTGGCGAAAATTTGGTCAAAGACCTTCTTGTCAACGGCGTACTCGCGGACATAGTCCTTCTCCATGTCGTGCATGGTCTTTCCAATGAGGACCAGACTGTGCAGAGGCTTGCCCAAGTCAGCCTCGGCCAGCTGCTCCAACGTACCAGCAACGATTTGTTGGTCTTCAGCGCCAACGCGGGCAACGCCAACAGCGAGTCTGTCCTTTGAGCAAATGCCTTCACCCTTCTCTTCCTCGGTCTCGATCATCTGTAGGGCGCATTGGGCGACGGTCATGAAGCGTGGTGGCTCGTAGACGATTCTGCCTCTGGCCAGAGCTTCGAGGTTAGGCTCCTTGACCTTGATATCAAGCAGGACCAGAGTGTGCAGGCCCAGGGCGACGTTCTCCTTAACACGGTCGTAGTAACTGGCGGGCTTCCAGTTGTCTGTAAAGAAGACCATGGAGACGGTCTGGCCGAAGTTGTAGAGCGAGAGACCAGTGCAACCGACGCCAGTCAGGATGGAGGCATTAGGAAGGATGCGAGTAGGGATGTTCTTCTCGCGAGCGCGGATGATGAAGTCGGTGTGAGTGGTAGCTGAGAAGGGGTCGCCAACGACCAAGAATGCAATGTCGACCTTGTCGGCGCCTTCGAGGATCTCGTCCGACTTTGATTCGACCATCTCGCGGTCGGCGATAATGACTTCACGGCCATAGTAGGCTTCCTACTGCGATTGCGATTAGTGCTGGATTGCGCATGCAAAGAGGAAGGTTGCGTACCAGGACTTCCTTCTCGACGAGCAGGACGGCGGTATAGGCTTCAAGATAAACACGCTCGGCGCGCTTGATGATCTCGAGACCCTTGACCGACACGTCCTTTTCGTCTGCCAGACCCAGTCCGATTGCGTAGAACATGATTGCGGTGTGTATGCGGTAAGAAAGACTGAGATGGATTTCTTAAAGAAAAACATGGACTTTCCAGACCCTCGCAGTCTC